ATCCTCACGACAAATGTAAACTTGATTCATCTGTTTTCACTAATGGGCAATGAATGCTCTTTTCTAGAAGATAGCTCTTTCTAGAAGACACCATTTAGAAAGCACGAAAAACACAATCAAATCTTAATGATAAGATTAGAAAAATTACTAGATTAATCACTTTTTTTGCTCTTCGATCTTAGAAAGCAAAGCCGTTTGGTTCCACTTGAATGCAATTTTGACCCCATCCAAAAAATCTCTGGCAACAAAGTGAGAAATGGAGAAATTTTATAAAATTGTTCCCTTTACAAGATGGAGAATGTTTTGAGATTATAAACAAGAAAATTGAAGAGTTTTTTAAGCTTTAAAATTCTGGAAACAAGCTTTTTTTGATCTTAAATCGAAGAAATTCGAGTTACCGAATATTTTGAATAGAAAGTTTAAAACATACTTGAACAGCTGACTCTGGTTGAGCAAAAAAAAGCAAATTGTGAGATTTTGAAGTTCTATAACAAGCTCTATAACATATTTTCTATTAAAATATCTAAAAAGAAAACAAAAAATCTTGTTTTTACAGTTATAACCATTTAGAGCTTAGCTTTTAATTTGAAATATTCGATAACTCCGCCTCAACAACACCAGAGATCTTGTCTACATTTGATTTGTCATTTTCTTGCTTTAGTGTTACATTTCCATTTAACAAATGCTTTCTAAATCATAAAATTTCAATAATTTCCTATTTAAGAATCATTTTGATCAATGTTTGATTAAATTTTGGCAACTTTTATCCCCGACAAAAAATATTCCCAAAGATCTGAGTGAGAGTGGGAATTTGATGAGATCTCCTCTCAATTTTCATCATTTCATTTCATTTTCTCTGTTTTCTTTTCTCATTCTCTAATTTCTCTCCAATCGTTTTTTCCCTTTTTCTTTGGCTAACTCTTGTAACTTTTTTCAGATAGGTTTTTCGAGAAATTAGCCCCGCGAATCGTCATACCCAAAAATTTCCACATCATCGATGAATAAGGATTTGGGAAAGAGATTTCAACAAAACGTGAGACATCTACAATTATAAAATAGGCGAATATTCTTGATTTTCTTATCTAGAGGTTTATCTAAACATTTCAAGAGGTTTTCGGGGGTAAATTTTTGGAGAAAAAGTTAACAACGATTCGGAATCAAGAAAGCTGCTTCAAAAAGCTAAAAAAGTCATGACTGGTCAAGTTAAAGCCAAACCAAAGCCAAATCAAAGCCAAACCAAAGCCAAACCAAAGTCAATGACTTTCATTTTAATTGGCTTTCGACTGGAATTTCAATCTTACTGTTGCATTTTCTCTGAAAACCTTGGCTTTGGCTTGGCTTGACCTAGAATTTACAGGAAATCAAGCGAAAAAATAATTGGCTTGGCTTTAGCCCTGGAATCAGGCTTTAGCCCAGGAATCAGTGCTGAAAGCTTTATTAGATGCACTCGCTATCTTTTAAGAACTTAACCTTTCACTAGTCAGTCCAGAGTTCAACTGTACCTGTACTAAACTCCATTTTATCAACACTACGTATAATTTTCCCATTTGACCTAACTTTTCTTGAAATCCATCGAAAAAAGAGAAACTCTTGATGAAAAACAGTAATAAATCTTGTGTTTTTTTCACAAGAGAGGTGAGAAAATTTGTGGGGAAAAGTGACTATGCCGAAGTTGGATATTGGAAAAAAAAATGGGAAAAAAAGGGATTGGTGCTAAAAATGGAACAGACTCTTTTCTTTCCTTGTCTATTTCATTTCAAGATCATGTGAATCTTCTCTAAATCTAGTTAGCGAGATCACATGGGCACACAATATGCCCCGACCTACCTGTGAAATCTCATCATATTTCTTATCTCAACATCTCATCAAGATCAACACATTTTTTCGAGGGGTTCATGCAGATAAAGTCGATGAAAAGTTGATCAAAATGAGTGACTCGCTTGGGAAATATAAAACACTGTCCAGTTTTGCAAAACGCGAATTAGGATTTAGGATATGAGCTCTTTGTATATGTTGTGTTCGATTTCGATTGCGATTTCGATTGAAACAATCTCAAGCGTTACGTGTTTTCACTGTTATCTTGAGTGTCGATTAGTTTTTATGAATCTATAAAACGTTCTGCGTAAGAAGAGAGTAGAAAAGCATTAACGAACACTTATACAAAAGGTTGATGCAAAAGGTTGATGCAAAAGAAATTTTGGTCAGTATAAAATCTTCTTTTTTTGAATCTGGAAATCTAGTATGAAAGCTAATCACGGAAAATAATAAAATTTTGGTTAAAAACTTAATTCAAATCGAACACAACATAGTGAAAAGCATCATGAAGCAATTGCTTTGCACTATTTCTATTTGCACTGTTTCTTTTAAGGAACAAATTTCTTAAAGGCCACTTCAACTACCGTAAACCCAGCTAAATAATCTATTAGATATCGAATCTAGAATTCGAATCTAGAATTTCAACCTGTATGATTAAAATTTTTCACCCAGCCGAGTCCCCGGTACCGGGTTTTTCTTTAAACACATTCATTTCGACACCACTAAGTTCAAATCCATTTTTTCTTGGATTTCTAAGAGTTTCTAAGAGTTTCTAAGAATGTCTAAGAGTTTCTAAGAGTTTCTAAGAGTTTCTAAGAGTTTCTAAGATTGCCAAAAAGAGTGTCCATTTCTCTGAACAACGTTTTACAATGATTAATTAATTTGTCTCTTTGTATTTTTGTCTAATTTCCCCGCTTGTCATGGGTTGTTTTGAGAAGATTCAAGTTCAAGATTAGCTCTCTCCGTTTTTTTTCTCAATTTTTTGAATTTCCAAAAGTCTATACGCAAAAAAAGGGTTTTTTGCTGAAAAAAAAGAAAAAAGGAACGTCTCAATGAAAAAAAAGATTTTCTGAGATCTTTTTTCGATAAAGTTATTGAGTATTTGAGTGTAGCAGCTAAATAAAATGCTGTTAGAGATGGATATTAGATTTTGTAGATTAGATTAGATTTGTAGCAATCCCGAATTGTCGCATCTGTGTCCACTTTTTTTGGACTCATTGAACTCATTCGAGATTGAAGATCATTTAAAAAGGGGGAAATGAAAATTTCAAGTGATAAGGAAAAAAACGATAAAACTTTTCCTTGTCAACTTTATTGTTTTTTTTCTCTCCTTTTTTTTGACAAGAGACATTTCTTCGAAAAAAAAAAAACTTTCTCTCCATCATAAAAAGTTTTCACCAAAACCGAAAGGATTTATGCGCAAGAAAAAGTTGAAACTTTGAAAAGGAAATCTCGAAAATTAAAACTTCTAGGAGTGCAGGGTGTCCGGAAAAAAGTGGTCATTGGTTTGAGTCTGAAAAAATTCTCTCGTTGATTTTTCAAGGCTCATCGTGGTGTCAGAATTGGTTTTACCTCAGGCGCCACACAACAAGATCAAGTTGTTTTTTAATGATTTTGTGAATAGGGGGTCAGCTCAAGTTCATTCTTTTAATGATTTTGTGAATGATCGGCCGGGGAGCTTAAAATCCACGTATAAATGAAAAACACAATTTTAACACACACAAAATAGAAGCTCTTGATGAATCTTCTTTAGAATTAGCTTTTGAAAGGATTTCGACTCTTGAAAGGAAACGACGGAACACGAAAATTTAGAATGAAGGCTATTCATTCTAAATTTTCGTGTTCCGTCATTTCCTTTCCCCCTAAGCCTTGCTTTGAAGCTTCATAACCTAGAGATAATATTTTGTTAAATTTCTATCTAGTCTTATCAGATTTGCAACAAAATGACGCCCGAGTTGGTTCGTTTGGAATTCGGGTTGGAATTCGTTTTGATTGAAATGTTGAGTAAAGAAAAAAAGATGATGGTTTTTATGATCGGAACTCTCAAATTGGGAAGGACTAAAGTGAAGCGGGATAAGGTTTGCAAAGGAAAATCAACGATATACACAGAATTTTGACATGCATAAGACTAAGACTGCATAAGACTGGATAGACTGGGTATTCAAGCTCTATTTGCATAAGACTGGGTATTCAAGCTCTATTTGGTATCATTCGAAAGCTTAAAATGTACTCTTTAAAACTATATTAAAAATTGGCAAAAATATGATCTCTGGACAAGGTTATGGATCTTTAAAGTAGGGCTACTCGTTCAAAACGCCGAGATTTTCAAAATTCTGTGTATATCGTTGATTTTCCTTTGCAAACCTTATCCCGCTTCACTTTAGTCCTTTCCAATTTGAGAGTTCCGATCATAAAAACCATCATCTTTTTTTCTTTACTCAACATTTCAATCATAAAACGTTTTACATCCTTTCTCCACTTAGTGATCTCACTTTTTTCGAAGATTCGTTCAGAAAAAGTTTTGTTTCTTCTCAATTTTTTTTAAAGTTGATCGTTTTTTCCCGAAGAGTAACAGACTAGAGTTTCCGAAGAGTAACAGACAGACTAACAGACAGACTAACAAGTTTATGATCATTTGTTTCCCCGGGAAGCAATCTCCAATTTTAGAGGCTCTAAACAAACTTCTGAAAGTAATTTTTGCAACATTTTTGCGAATTTTTTGAATTTGAACTTTTTTTGGGAATAGATAAGTATTGTGGAACGAAATGAGATTTAAAAAAGTAATGTCAAAGGGTTTTCCAGGGTTTTCCCAACCAAGATATCTATAAAAATTTCGGGAAATTTTCTCTGAGAAGATCATTATCAATTGTTTGATTTTAAAAGTTGTCATGTTTTTGAAATTTGAGAGAAAAATAATCTTATTGTTTAATCTAGGTTAACCTGCAAAGGAATCAAGTTTCAAGAATAGCTCCAGATCAGAGCGTGACCAAAACATACTTGAATAGCTGACCTTGGCTGAGCAATGGGTAAATTGTGTGATTTTGAAGTTACCTATCTGTTATAGTAAAAGAATGGCAATTTGTCACATTTCAAACAGTAACAGACTAGCCAGATAAAGCTGAACCAGGCTGAGGCTAGGCTTTTGGCTTCGATTGGCCTAGATTCAGATTTAAGGTAGGGGTTCTATGGCCTATTTTACGAGACCAGGTCCTGACCTAATCTGATCTGGTCTGGTTTTACTGCAGATCTAGCCCAGAAAATCCCAGTGTACCTCTGTACCTGGCTTCTGGCCTGACCTAGGACTCATTGGGACAATACAAAGACAATTATCACTTTGATTTTTCTATTGCTCTTTCTCGGTATTATATTTTTGCATACTATTCTGTGGATAGCAAAAATGGTGTAGACGGGAAAGGAAAAAGGAAAAAGAGTGTTTACACGTATCAAGAATACAAAGAAAAAGATTCGGCAAAAGGGGAAAGGGAAAAAGAAGGTGATCGGATGTTCTTTGTGTATTCTTGAAGGACATAGCTAGGCAACGTGGCGTGAAATGGTTCTCGAGGGGGGAAAAGATTCGGGAGATATTGGCATTTGTTGGATATCTTTTGCTATAAAAGTGATTAAGAACAAAATAAAAAGAAATGAAGTACAGTTCTTATTTGGAAAGATTCAACGATAAGTGTTCAAAATTCAGGATGTCCAAATGAGAACATTTATGTCTACGTGAATCAAACCGATTCTGATCGATCTCGCTACATTTTCATCGAGTATCACGCTTCGACTTTGCAGGTGTGTTGAGTTTTTTGTGTGCAAATTAGATCCCCAGTGTTCACTTCAATAAATAGTGTAGATACTAGTGAGTAAACTGGATTCAAGCTTTCTTATTCACTATTCAAGAAATTCTATAATAAAGCTAATAGGTAAAACCTAAACAAACCTAAACCCAAAGTTTAGGTTTGTTTTAGATTCCCCAGTGTTCACTTCAATAAATAGTGTAGACACTAGTGAGTAAACTGGATTCAGGCTTTCTTATTCACTATTCAAGAAATTCCATAATAAAGCTAATAGGTAAAACCTAAACAAACGTAAACCCAAAGTTGTTTAAGTTTGTGTTTGTAGTTTGTAACCTAAACCTAAACCCAAACAACCCAGGGTGTCTCTGAGCCAGATCAGACTAGGCCAAATCAAAAGCCAGATTCTGGCTCCTGGAATCAAAACTTCAACTACCCGACTTCTGACCTAGTTTACAAGCCAGCCTCCAGCCATTTTTTTCAGGACTGTATTTCGAAGTGCTTTGGCAATCAATTTTGCTATTCGATCAAATATGATGAGACAAAAAAAGACACTTGTTCACTATACTATTTCAGGTAAATCTTTCAATTGAAATCTAGCAATCAAATCAGAGATTAAACAATGCTCAATTTCTTTTAGTGCCTACAATTGCACACATCAAACCTTATCCCTTGCAAAAGACATCAAATACAAAGGATCACCGATCACAATCGATTGTCTACGATGTCCGAACAATGGGGAATTCAGTGAGTTTTCGAATAAAGAACATTCAAGTGACATTTTTAAAATTATTTATCTAAATCATTACTTTATAATACGGGCAAAGATTTGGTCTTTTTGAAAATTGCTTTTGCATTTTGCATATTTCTCTTCAGTCACTGCTCCACCAATCGATTTCATCAGTGATCAAACGTTGAACGCCGAACATGGAGTGAACGGGGAAATGAAAAAGCCGACACATGAAGAGAATAGGGATTCGGGTTGGGATTTGGCTTCAAACGATTATTTGACAATATTACTTTGACGCATTTTCCGTAACCGGGATTGAACCCTTTGAATTTGATTGGAACCGGGATATTTGGAAAGTTAGCCAAGAATGAGAATTGCTCAGAAGGGGGTCATTCGAGATCATTTGAGAAAAATGATCTTCTCGGAAATCCGGGTCTTTTCATTGTGGAAAGCTATAATATGCAAAACCGTAGCCTATTAAAAGATGAAATCAGTTTTTCAGGTCAGTTTCAACCTTGAGTGAGAAAAGCAAGGTTGAAAATCAGAAAATCAGCTACTTTTGGTTTAGCAGGATGTCAAATTTTTTTAAAAATACAACCAAAATTAAGGCAAAAATTGATATGATATGATATGATAGTTTTTCTAAAAGCTTTCCTAAAAACTCGTATTTTTTCAAAAGACTCGGATCTCCGAGAAGAAGCGAGAATTTCGCAAATCATTCACAGTCAATTTTATACTTTCAGCTCCAACCATTCACGCTCACAAACCCACCGAAGCAGTCACCGAAGCAGTCACCGAAGCAGTCACCCAAGCAGTCACCCAAGAAGTCACCCAAGCAGTCACCCAAGCAACCACTCCAGGTATGATCTAAAACGATTCTGCAAATTCCTCAAAAATTACCATGAACTCTTGAAAAACGAGGATATTTCTTGAAAATAAATAAGGATTGGAATGTCAAGTACTTGACTCACGCAAGAATTTCACAGTTTTTACGGCGAGAAAAGAGCCACAAAAACGAGGAATTCCCTTTTTTTTCTTTGGAAATCCCCCTTTTGACCTTTTCTTTGCCTTTTTTTTTGGTTTACTCTTTAGAAAAGACATTTATAGATTTTTATGACACTTTTGACACCAATTACCGTTTTGGGTGAGATTTTGAAACCGAGAGAAACATTTGAATGGACGAATTTGTGGATGACAAATGCATAGTTTGGGAAACAGAGTGAACAATCAATGAAAATACATCTTACGTATTAGGTTTTTTGCAATGCAATGCAATGCAATACAAAATAAGTTATTGTCATATCAATTTGTAAATATCAACAACATTTTGAAGGAATAGCTTTTCAGGTGAAATCGAGAAGACCACAACCACGCCATCGACCTCAGAAACCGTGACGTCGCAGGTGGTGCTCATCGGGACGAGTACACCGACGGTAATCGAAGGACAATTGGAGACGGGTTTGTTATAGAGTAAAATAGAATAAAAGCATTAAACAGTAATAAAACTCTTGTAAAAAATTAGTTCTCTCAGAGTCAAATCGTTTAATTCTCCGTGTCAAATTTCACAGAAACGCTCAAATTTTCAACATTTAGTGCTGATTAATTTGGTGGAGGCTTGGCTTATTATTTGACTTAATATTATTCGAGATTAAGAAAATATTCTTTACAGAGTATTTTCGCATACTCTGTAAAGATTCATCTGTAAATTTAAAGAACCCGATTCTGGAATGTAGCTAATTTTCAGATAATACTACTTCATCCGGCGTGGAAGAGACTTCAACAACAGTGGCCACTCCAGTAGAAACATCTTCTACCATTGGGGAAACTTGTAAGCAAGCAAAAGAAGCATTAAATTCAATTACCGTATTTTCTCTAATAGTAGTGCACCCCGGCGAGCCGAGACTATTTTACGGTTTTCAAGCTTTTGAAGAAGCTCAACACTCAAATCCCCCACTAGATCTCATCGTCAGCTACATTTTCCGATTCCACATTGATAGGCTCTGATAAGCGGTTTACAAGATTTCAAGGAACTTAGGGGAAGCCTAGGTTAGAGGAAATCCCGTAATCTATTAATATTAATGAATACCGTATTTTCTCTAATAGTAGTGCACCCCGGCAAGCAGAGTTGGTGACGATTTTACGGTTTCCAAGCTTTTGCAGAAGCTCAACCCTCAAATCCCCCACTAGATCTCATCGTCAGCTACATTTTCCGATCCCACATCAATAGGTTCTGATAAACGGTTCCCGAGATTTCGAGCAATTTAGGCGACGCTCTGGCTGCACTACTCTTAGAGAAAATACGGTAATTGGGTTCTTTATTTATAATAATACTAGCACAAGCAAAAATTGGACTCCATTCGCATTTTAGCGAGTTCTACAACAGCTGCCACTGAAACAAGCACAGTCATTGAGGGAACAATCCAGAATGTACAAGCTAGTACATTAAGTGGAGAAGAGACAACAACAGGTAAAGAAGGATTCAAGGCTGAGAATTTCAAATATAGGCATGAATGAGTCAGAAAGCACAACCATTTCAACTCCATCCAATGAGGAAACAGCTTCAAGTATCATTTTTCTTTCAAACTTTTCTATTCTTTTTTCAGATCAATCAACTACTTCGGTCATTGAAGAATCGACTGCAGGTTTTTATTTTGATTTTTCGTGAAAGCTTGAGCTTGTTAACCCTTTCAAACTAACGATTTAGCAAAGTCTGATGGAGCGCCGATCTCACTCGAGTTCAAGCCAATTGGTGAGCAACTGTCTTTAGCTTTTTGTTACGATCTCTAAACTTTTATCGTTATCGTTATCGTTATATCGTTACTTTTACATATGTAAACTAATGATCTAATGCCAAAACTGGTAAAAGTCATTCAAGATAAGCATTTGCGAAAATGAGTACCACGCAACTAGCACAAGAACAATTCAAAACCTTCTCCAAACCCAATATCTTCTTGAGCATTCTTTAGATATTGAAAGCAGAAAGAGTTCTTAAGTTTTTTCATTTCAAAGACCAGAAAAGTGTCTACTTGATTTAGCAGAAAATGAAGATTGTGAAGAATATTACCCTTCGGTACTGTTCTTTGTAAAGCTACTGTACTTGCTGCTTCTGCTACTGTACTTTAATTTTCGGTTATCGGACATTTGATACGCGCCCCGCTTCCTTTCCCATCAGCAATCTAACTTTGAGCTCAAATATCTTGGTGTTCTGCTGTCCAATTTAAATAGTTTTTGTATCAATCGATAGAGAAAGACTTGGCGCATCTAATGATATTAAAAAAATTTAAATTGGACAGCCGAACACCAAGATATTTGAGCTCAAAGTTAGATTGCTGATGGCAAAAAGGAGCGGGGTGCTTATCAAATGTCCGATAATCGAAAATGAAAATACCACTCATCTTCTACCACACTAAAATTCACCTATCACCTATTACAGACTGTGATGGTGAAGTGAAATTCCTTGGTTCGACGAGCGTCGATTTGGAGACAGTGCAACTGTTGATCAACTCATCGATTGTCGAATCAGCGCCCGCTTGTGCGAGAGAATGCTATAAATATGGTTGTGGGGTAAGTGAAGCTTTTTTAAAATCATCAATCCGTTCTTTTCAATATATCAATATCAATCCGTTCTTTTCAGTTCGCCTATTTCAACCCAGAAACGAAAACTTGTGAATACACATCGAACACAAAAGATCTTGTCGACAATTCGGGTGAGTGGTCGGCTAAAAGGATTTTTCTAGTTTTGGTTTAGCTTGCGAAAATCTCGAAGAGCCTAACTATAAAGCGTTTTTCGAGAAGCCCGTGCCTGTTCAGGTGAGTATTGAAATTGTTCAATTGTTCAAATTGTTCAAAATTGCATAAATAGACATAAATAGACTTTCTTTCAAAACTAGTCCTTCCAAAATTCCTTTAAACTTTCAAAACATCAATTCTTGGAAAAGATCAAAGATCAGAGTAAAGGCTAAACAAAAATTGGTACTGATGTATTTTTGCACGTAAATTCACATAGGAGTGATTACAAGAATCACAATAAAATGTGTATGCTCGTAAATTGAATAATAGATTCTAATCTCTTTTATCAACAGTTAGTCACAAATCGGATTTCTTTAAACATCTTTAAATACTCAATTCAAACTCGGCCGTTCGCGGTGATTCGAGTAGTGGGCGTAGAGGGCGGACTCGTTGAGTGGAGCTCAGTTGAGTTGAGTGGAGCTCAATTGAGTTGAGTGGAGCTCAATTGAGTTGAGTGGAGCTCAATTGAGTTGAGTTGAGCTCAGTTGAGTTGAGTTGAGCTCAGTTGAGTTGAGTTGAGCTCAGTTGAGTTGAGTTGAGTTGAGCGTTCAGTTGAGCGACATCGGCTTCGACTAGTCGTTGATTCGGGTTTTGAGTAGCCCTGGCGCAACTTTTTGCGTGCAAAAAAGGCACAAGTACCCAAAATCCCTTTTAGATCACTTGTGTCACCTGCAAACCGGCAGACAAAGAAGATGAGGAGAATCCACGTAAGTTTTCGAAAAGAATTCCCCCCGCACTAACAGCTTTGAGTTAGAAAGACTATTTGTTTGTGTGAATTTTCCGAATGGATCAGTCTCTTTTGAGTTTGCATGAAAAACCTTCAGTTCATCGAGAAAACGACAAAGAGACAAATGGAAAAAGCGAAAGAAAAGAGGAAAAAGGTAGAGGAGAGGAAATGAAAGAAATGAATGAGAATCGACCAATGCACAACAAAGAGCCCACATCGGCCATTCACAGATTCTACTTTAGAGGTGAATGGCATACTAACATGTCTCGTTTTTATTTTTAAAGAAGAATTTGAATCAATGGCACGTATAGGGTGTATTTGAAAACTCATAACTCAAAAATCAATTCAATCTTCTTTTTGGAGCTAACAATTTAAAGTAACCTTGAAGAATTTTAGTGTCTTTTAAGTGAGATTGCTTTTTAGACGTTAAATCTATCGTAATTATTCTAATAAACAGCTATAAAATGTCTTTAAAATGCTTTAGATTTTGTTATCCTAAGGTTGATAAATCTAAAAAATGAAAAATTTAACCTAGGATGCCGTTTATTGAAAAATTACGGTACATCAAAGCAGAATTTGGGGGGACAAAGGTGCACCTTTTTTTGTGCACCCGACCAAAAGCGCACCTTTTTTTTCGCTGGAAAAGGCCGTAGAGCTTTAAAAATGTTTCCACATAGGGGAATCATATGCGTAGATTCCGAATTTCGACAAATCAGACCTCGCTGACACGTCAAATTTGGGCTAAAAGGCAACAACTGCGGAAAAGCATTAAGTTGCATAGTTTTTGCCTCTTAGCCCAAATTTGACGTGTCAGCGAGTTCTAATTTGTCGAAATTCGGAATCTACGCATATGATTCCCCTATGTGGAAACATTTTTAAAGCTCTACGGCCTTTTCTAAGGCCTTTTCCAGCGAAAAAAAAGGTGCGCTTTTGGTCGGGTGCGCAAAAAAAAAGGTGCACCTTTGTCCCACCCCCCAGAATTTGCCTAGAAAATTGAGTTACTTTTTACAGGTTTAATATCTTTTAAGAAATTGATAAAACCTTATCAACTATTCTTGAATACCGTATTTCTTCGAATAGAAGACCGGGTAAAGAGTATCATCGCGTACTCCTGCGTAGCAGCCCTTTTTAAACTTTCTTTTCTGCATAAAAGCTTTCAATCAAGTGCTATAGAACTGGAAAATGGCTCAAAAATCTGTTAGCTCATGTGGTATTTTTGAGTCATTTTCCAGCCCTATAGCACTTCATTGAAAGCTTTTATGCAGAAAAGAAATTTTAAAAAGGGCTGCTACGCAGGAGTACGCCATGTTACTCTTTACCCGGTCTTCTATTCGAAGAAATACGGTCCTTGATTGTATAAAGAAATACGTGTCCTTGATTCAAAATCTCTTTCTCATTTCCGTTTGATTTGAAAGTGCTAACGTTTTCTCTCTGAAGTGTTCGAGTGTTTAACTTCGATTTTTTCAAAAAAGAAACTAAAACACGAGAATTTGGCACTTTTAGAACAAATTTAGAGGAAATTTAATGTAAATTTTTTATATTTATCAAACGACAATCAGGTAAATCAATCTAACTGAGATTTTGGGATATTAAATGCATGAATTGATAACTTTTGTTGTGACGAGTGATTAACAAAAATATACTATTGTTTTCATAGAAATAATAGCATGATTGTGACATTTGAATGTTTGTAGTGATTCTAAACAGCACCCTAACAACATAAAACGATGAAAAAAAAATGGTGGTGGCTTTAGGATTTACCTTTAGCGAACACAAGTTCGAGTTTTCAGCTTGTGTCATTCGTTTCCAAGTCGATCAAGAACAAGATACTGAGAAATTCGAGGTGACTGGACGCAAAAATGTCAACTCGTAAGTATTCATTTTAATTAACCCAAAATAAAGCTTTAAAAGAAAGTACCAAGTTAAATTTATTATGTATAAAGCAGAAGAGAGGTCTGTCCGTCTGTCCATCCGTTCGTCTGTCCGTCCGTCTGTCCGTTTGTCCGTCTGTCCATCCGTTCGTCCGTCCGTTTGTCCGTCTGTCCATCCGTTCGTCTGTCCGTTTGTCCGTCTGTCCATCCGTTCGTCTGTCCGTTCGTCTGTCCGTCCATCCGTTCGTCTGTCCGTCCATCCGTTCGTCTGTCCGTCCATCCGTTCGTCCGTCCGTCCATCCGTTCGTCTGTCCGTTTGTCCGTCTGTCCATCCGTTCGTTTGTGCGCAGCCATTGGCAAAAAGGGGCGGGGCTTAGTTTGCATGAAAAACGTGGACCTCCCTAGTGGAAAACGCGAACGTTAGTGACCGTTCTCCGCTGGTCAATAAACTAGCAGATCAATGCATTATGCTAGAAATCCTGTTAGTTAGAAAAATCCGAGCTATTCCTAACCAAAAAATGCTAAGCCAAAGCCAGACCACAGCTCGGCTTCAATATTTACTGATTTGGACTTATCTTGGCCTGGCTAACGATGGCTTTTGGCTTTCAGGAACAACCAGATTCACAGATTCCTGACACCAGATTCAGAAAAAACTTAGAACCATTTGGATTAGGTTATTTTAAACTAAAAACCGTATTCACATCATTTTATACAAATCGATCCATTTCAGGATCAACGAGTGCGCTGCTTTATGTTATGGTGGTTCATGCAGTCAAGCCGTTTACTCACCCACCGCCAATGAGTGCCGATTTGGTGAGGAAATTTCTATTTTACATAATTAAATCCTATTCAGGCACAATGAAGCACGATATTTGCCACTCGAGATTGGACTTTCAATCGGTGGTCAATCCGACGAAAGATGTCGTCATTCAGTGCTTCCGTTGCAGTGAGTTGAACAACATCCCGAGCTATTTTATAGAAAGAATTTAGCTCCCGAGAAGGAAATTCTCTTGCAACAAGAAGTGACATCAAAAGAAACGACTGAATCTCCGGAAACGAGCACTCAGTTGAATGAGACAGGAGGAACGACTCAAATTTCATCGGAAGGAGGTCAATGGGCGGCTGATGAGCCAAATAGAATGGGATCAGGATCGGGAGAAGTTCCGGAAGAATCAACAACAATTGATCAAGTATCAACTGACTCTAGAACTGCCATTCCCGTTCTTGGCAATGAAGACGCCACAGTGAGCCAGATTGAGCCTGGATCTGGAAGTGAAGCGGAAAAGAGCACTTCCGAGGGATCCGGGGCTACAACCGCGGAGGGATCCGGCTTAGAATCAGTTCCTGAAAATATCGAATCGTCGACTGTTCCAGTTGAAACAACAACAGCTGAAGGAAATGAATCGACGCTGAGTGGAGAGATTCAAGCGGCAACAATAGCCACTGAGACAGAGACCTCAACTAATCCGAATGAAACAATTTCTTTGTCAGTGACTGAATCGATTCATGTTGAGGGAAGTGGAGAGGTGAACACGATGATCCCGTCACTCTTGGACAATCAAACAGAGAATGTAGAGAATGCAACAACTACTGGACAATCACTCGGCCAATGGGCTGCCGATCTTGCAGCAGTCGGGTTGAGCAAAGTTCATTCGCTTTTCTCGACAACACCTGAACCAAAAATCCAAGAGTCGACTGTGGAGAGTTTGAATGAAACAAGTGTTGAGACTAGTTCCACAGAAAGTTCAACCGAGGCCTCAACGGTGAATGGAACGACAACTGATTGCCCAGTTGAAGAAGAATTGTTGTCTTCGAGTACAATGACTCCAGCAGAGAATCCGAGCTCCGAGTCAACTACTGTTGCCAATGTTGCTTCATCGGAAATTGGTTCCGAGTCAACTACCGCTGTTGAAGTCTCAAGTGTGACTTCTACAACAGCTGAGGGAGATCAACCAAAAGGTTATAGCCAAAATAGTAACAAAAATTCTTGAATTTCCAGGCTGCCTTGTGAAATTTCAAGCCGAATCTCTTGAGAAACGACCATCTGATTTTGTCTCATCATTTGATCAACATCACACATTCGAGCAACCGGAGGACTGTGCCAAGAAATGCTATTTGGTAAGTTTTAGGTTTAAAAGCAGATTATATAACGAATTTTCAGGTTATCGGACATTTGATAATCGGGCAATCTAACTTTGAACTCAAATAACTTGATATTCGGCTGTCTAATTTAAATATTTTGGTATCATTAGATGCGCCAAGTCTTTCTCTGTCGATTGATACAAAAACTATTTAAATTGGACAGCCGAACACCAAGATATTGAGCTTAAAGTTGGCTTGTCAATGGCAAAGGCAAAGATATCAAATGTCCCACAATCGAATTTTCAGGCTGGTTGCACGGGAGCCCTCTACGATGTGAACACAAAAGATTGCTTACTCGGTTTCGGGGATCCGCTTTTCTGCAGCAAAGCGCCGGAGATCGAAAAAGTCGAGGGAAATGAGGAGGCGACTCTTTGGATTCACTGTGTTTCTTGCAGTTCGTTTTGTTCGAAAAACAAACCGCCTTCTAAAAACACTTTGCAAACCTAAGCTCAAAAAGTAGATTAAATAATAAACCGTCATATCAAACCTAAATTGTCAACTTGCTGACTTTGATTGAAACATTTATAAGGAAAGGTAGCCTGGCTAATCTCGATCGATTGAGACCTAGACCATTCGACACACAATTTTACGCTGATTCCGAATATTTTACTCGACCAGGTTAATTAGGTTAGCCAGTTTACCTTTCCTTGGTAGTTTGAGCCCTGAAGGCTTTGGTTACTGTAGCTAGGGTACAGTATATCAAGTCGAGCATCAGGGATTTAAAAGCTACAAACCCGGTATTCTCTTTTAACCCTACCTCAAATTCTAGAGCCTGGCCCAGATGCTGATTTGCTTTTGTCGTCATCGACGGAGCCAACAGGTTAGAAGAAAAATAAAATTGAAAAATTGAAATTGAAATTTGATTCCAGAGAGCGCCAATGTGACTGAAGCCAATGTGACTGAAGCCAATGTGACTGAAGCCAATGTGACTGAAGCCAATGTGACTGAAGCCAATGTGACTGAAGCCAATGTGACTGAAGCCAATGTGACTGAAGCCAATGTGACTGAAGCCAATGTGACTGAAGCCAATGTGACTGAAGCCAATGTGACTGAAGCCAATGTGACTGAAGAGAGCACAAAGAGCTCCCTGCAAGAAGGAAGCGGAGAGGAAAATCAAGGTACTGTGATTTTAAAAATCATACTTTCCTGGAATTCGATGAAAAGTTTAGCCCAATCAAACTTGACAACAACCGCCGAAGAACCGATCACAACAGTGGAACCACTCCAATCAACCATTTCCACTCTCTCGGAATCAGCAACTGAACCAACAGGTGCTGCAATTGTTAGAAACTCTCTTACAAAGCATTTTAGTGCCTCCTACTGCTCCATCGAATGAAACCGAAACGGTGGAAGGACTTCTGACACCAGCTGAAGGAAGTGGAGAAGTGCCAACAACAACTCTTTCACCCGAATCAACAACTGAAGAAGAAATCGAAGATTTCACCCTTTCCGAGGCAGATACGCCAAGCAGGACGGAAGGAGAGGATAATTCTGTGAAAGAATCTCCTGCCGTTGAAGGTAGTGGGATTGAAGAAACAACAACTAAAGGAAGTGAAGCTGTTACAATGCTTGGAGAAGAAACCGTTCAAAATAACACCACTGAAACCTCAACATCAGAAATAACTCAAAGCTCAACGACAGTTGAAAGCACCACTGAAGCCTCAAGTTCTACCTTGCCAAATGAAACAACGACTGTTGAGGGAAGTGGAGTCGCTGTGGAATCAACAACCACTCCGGAAACCTCTGAAACTTCATCAACAGCTGAAACTAATGAAACTGAGCCAGTGATACCAGTTGTGGTCATTTTGCCAAAGAGTGAAGGAAACGAAACGGAGACAGCAACTGCTTCTGAGATGCAGAGCTCAACAAGCTCCCCATCTCCAACAACAGTTGAAGAAAATGAAACGGTAGCCGCTTCTTCTACCGAATCTTCTACTGTTGAAGGCAGTGGAGCTGTTGTGGAGTCAAGCTCAACAACAAGCAAAGCGGAAAATGAAACAGAGGTCTCCGCTACCGATTCGTCATTGCTACCTGTAGTTGAGGGAAGTGGAGTAGTTGTTGATTCAACCTCTGAAACACCAACAACAACAAATGAGCCCACAACTTTATCGATTGTCAAAAATGAGACGAGTGAAGTAATTACAGCGACAACCGTTGAAGGAAGTGGAGATTTATCCGAGACAACAACCACACCAAGCAATGAGACAATTGTTAAGGGATTGAATGAAAATGAAACACAAGCAACGACTGAATCAGAAGAGACTCTCACAAATGAGACAACACCAATAACAACAACACTTCCAACTGGTTTCGCAGCCGATTTGGATTCAGGAGTGAAACATGTTGAACAAGATGAAACGAACAAAACAATCGTTGAACAGATCCAATCCTCAACAAATATTCCTTTAAATGTTCAACAAACTACCACTGATGAGAGTTTTGGTTTGGTGTTTGGTGATCTGGAAAATGTCACTTCAACGGAACCAACTGGTAGTGAAGCTTCGAGTGCTCCAGCTGAAAGTCCAATTGGGGAAAGTAGTGGAGAAGCTGAGAATGAGACCGAGTCCTCAACAACGACAGAAACAACAGAATCAAGCAGTGAGACAACCACTCCAACCACAGACTCGAGCACTGTAGAGGGCAGTGGAGCTGAAGTCGCTGCAGCACACCTCCTTGAAAAGCTGAAAAATGATACCTCGGACAAATTGAAAGAGTTGACGAAAGATGTTCTTGGCGCTGTGACCGCACAAGCTGAACAATTTGTGCAAGAGTTGTTGAATGAAACGAGTACAGAAGCGAGTAATGCAACAGAAGGATCGGGTGAGGAAGATTTGCTAACAAATCCCAGTGAAAGTGTTGAAACGACAACGAATGTGCAAGAGACATTGCCGCAAGAATCAACAGCAAAGTTTGAGTCAAGCACAGCTTTACCAGTCACTGATGCAACAGAAACAACAACTGTTACTGAGCCAAATGAAGTACAAGGAAGTGGACAAGAAACGGTGGCTCCAATCGAGAAATCAGAAGACCATGAGCCGATTGTAACGGAGAATTTGGTGAACGGGACGGAGGCTACAACTTCAGCTGCAGAAGAGCCAACACCAACTCTTGCAAGCACAACAACTGAGATTGAAGCTAGTGGAGAAAGTTCAACGCCTTTGCTTGAAGTTGTCACTCTTCCCAATGAGTCAACTGAATTGACTTCTGTTGCCACTGAAGCCACAACCGAGTCTTCAACAGCTGCCGAAGCTGAAAGTACTATTGCAACAACAACTCAAGGAGTTGAAGGCTCAGGAACTTTTGCAGAAGTGCCCGTGGAAGGACCGGTGGAAAATGGCACTCTCAGTGAATCAACGACTCCGGTTGCTGAACTGGGCACGGAAAATGCTACCATTGTTGGTATTGTGGATACAACAAGTGGAACGACAACCGTTTTCCCAACAACGGTCTCCATGGAATCAGAAGTGACTGCCGAAAGTACCTCGCCTACTACTGCAGTAACTGAAAGAACTGCTTCTCAAGAAGATCTCAATCGGTTGAGTGAAGCTAGTGGCCTTGAGGCGGAAAATGCCACGGCTGCTGAAGTAATCGAAACAACTGAGGGAAAGTTGGCTGCCGATTTGGCCCCAATTGTTACTATTGAGGCTCTCAATGAGACAACGGTTGTACCTGAAGAAACAAGCTCGACAACAGAATCAACACGTCATGAAAGTAGCAGTTTGTTGAATGAATCCAGTGGTCTTGAACCCGAGAATGGCACCATTGCTGTTGAGACAACAACTGAAGCGAAATTTGCCGCCGATCTTGCTTCTCCTGGCCTAATTGAACTAAATAAAACAATTATCCAAGAAAATGTCACAGTGATAACTCCTACAGAAATTTCAAGTACACCTGCTGGCCAACAATCAACAGCAAGAACTGAGGACGTTAGTTTGTTGAGTGAAGCCAGTGGTGCTGAGCCGGAGAACGCTACGGTTGTGGAAGAGACAACAACTGAAGGAGGATTTGCTGCCGATCTTGCTCCAACTGGTCCAACAACAACTGCAGAAGTTGAGGGAAGCGGTGGAAAAGTTGAGCAATCAATCGACGCCGAGACAACGACGATTGAATCGAAAATTGTCGCTCAAAACAAAACCGAGGGAAGTGAAGAGCTTTTGACTGGGTTGGCTGAGACAAATCCCGAAAATTTGACTTCGGCAAGTGTTGAATCGACCACTGCAAATGCTTCCGAAAGTTCAACTCTGAAGGAGACAGCTACTGAAAGCAGTGGAGAACCCACAGAAACAGCTCAAGTCGAAACAACCACTTCAACTGGTGCACCATCAGAAACCACACAACCAGTCCTTGAGGCTCAAAATGCAACAATGATTCCACTTGGTGAAACGACTCTAGAAGAGGGCAGTGGACATGAAGAAAATGCCACTTTGGCCGCCATTCTTCTAGTAACAACAAGTGAACCTGAAGAAGAACCGACTTTCAGCACTTTGCCGACGAGGTCTGAAGGAGTTGAAGAAAATGGAGAACAAGCGACAACGACATTTAGTCCTGAACATGCTTCTCTACCCACATCCGAAGGAGAAAAAAGCTCTGAGGCACCTGAGTCAACGACTATTAGCGAAGAGATCACAAAAGAAGCTACAATTGTTGAAGCAACAACTCCAACAGTATTCGAGGGAAGTGGAGAAGTGCCAGAATCCACAACAATGAGTGATGTTGGAAGTTCAACTCCAGGGACTTCATCAACAGCTGAAACTAATGAAACTGAACCAGTGATACCAGTTGTGGCGATTTTGCCAAAGAGTGAAAGAAACGAAACGGAGACAGCAACTGCTTCTGAGATGCAGAGCTCAACGAGTGAACTCCCCAGCTCCAACAACAGTTGGAGAAAATGAAACGGTAGCCGCTTCTTCTACCGAACCTTCGGCTGTTGAAGGCAGTGGAGCTGTTGTGGAGTCAAGCTCAACAACAAGCAAAGCGGAAAATGAAACAGAGATCTCCGCTACCGATTCTTCATTGCTATCTGCAGTTGAGGGAAGTGGAGTCGTTGTGGAATCAACAACCACTCCGGAAACCTCTGAAACTTCATCAACAGCTGAAACTAATGAAACTGAGCCAGTGATACCAGTTGTGGTCATTTTGCCAAAGAGTGAAGGAAACGAAACGGAGACAGCAACTGCTTCTGAGATGCAGAGCTCAACGAGCTCCCCAGCTTCAACAACAGTTGAAGAAAATCAAACGGTAGCCACTTCTTCTACCGAATCTTCTACTGTTGAAGGCAGTGGAGCTGTTGTGGAGTCAAGCTCAACAATAAGCAAAGCGGAAAATGAAACAGAGAGCTCAACTACCGATTCTTCATTGCTATCTACAGTTGAGGGAAGTGGAGTAGTTGTTGATTCAACCTCTGAAACACCAACAACAACAAATGAGCCCACAACTTTATCGATTGTCAAAAATGAGACGAGCGAAGTAATTACAGCGACAACTGTTGAAGGAAGTGGAGATTTATCCGAGACAACAACCACACCAAGCAATGAGACAATTGTTAAGGGATTGAATGAAAATGAAACACAATCAACGACTGAATCAGAAGAGACTCTCACAAATGAGACAACACCAATAACAACAACACTTCCAACTGGTTTCGCAGCCGATTTGGATTCAGGAGTGAAACATGTTGAACAAGATGAAACGAACAAAACAATCGTTGAACAGATCCAATCAACAACAAATATTCCTTTAAATGTTCAACAAACTACCACTGATGAGAGTTTTGGTTTGGTGTTTGGTGATCTGGAAAATGTCACTTCAACGGAACCAACTGGTAGTGAAGCTTCGAGTGCTCCAGCTGAAAGTCCAGTTGGGGAAAGTAGTGGAGAAGCTGAGAATGAGACCGTCAATGCGATTGAGTCCTCAACAACGACAGAGCTTCCAACAACAGATGGATCGATCTCTTCTCAAGTAGAAGACACTCTGACTTTCAATTTCACTATGGCTCCTGAACTTGAATCGAATGCAACAGCAAAACGACCGGCGAGCGTTGGCTTTGTCGTAAAGACAGATCACACAGTGGAAACAAAGCCAGAAGACGATTATGGAGATGACGAGGATGAAGATGGAGACAAAGTGAATTATGAGGATACGATTGATAAAGGAGATAATGGAAATGGTGAGTGGATTGGGAAGAGCTTTTTGATCAAAGTTAGGCTTCACTGTCTTTGCGACAAGTGCTTTGTATTCCATAGCTGATAGAATAATTTGGAGAAGTCGAAAGTTCTATATGTAAATTTTTCAGACAATTTGACAACAACAGCCGAACCATCGACAAGCACAACCACCGAACCACCTGTGCAAGCCGTTTCCGACATTATCGAAACTTTAGTGGACGGTGCTTTGGATGTGCTTTTCGGAAAACCAAAGACTTCAACCCAGACGGCGGCTGATTTAATTCACAAAGATCGAGGTTTTGGCTTTGGGCTGAATCAGGAACCGATCGCTCGAAAATTGGACACAAAAGAGGGTTGGTGGTTGATTGAAGTGCTGAATTTTAAGTACTTTCTGGCTATATTCTGTCAATTTAAGTGGCAAAATTAACCCCTTGACAAGCTTTGAAATCATATTAATCAATCTCGAGGATAGGATAGACTTAATCAGGGTTGTTTCGAAAGTATTTGTACGAGCCAGATCTTGGTTTGACTTTTCAAAAAGCCCATGAGCCAGGCTTGGGCCTGACTTCTGGCCTGTCGACTTGTTTCAAGACAAGTACGACAAGGGGATATAATCAACAATTACCAAGTTTAGCATTTAACCAAAAAATCTAATTTCCTTTTAGATTGCCCTCCCGGTAGTGTGCAATTTGCCGCCGAAGAGCTCACCGATTTGACAACACATTTCGAGAAAGACGCAGTCGCCTATTCAGTGCAACATTGCGCCCATTTGTGTCTCTCATTGGGATGCAAGACTGCCGCTTTCACAAGGTGGAAAAAATAAAGCATATGTAACAGTATAACAAAGGATATTGTAGCATTTTGCAACTTTACTTCCAGATTCCCTCGACCGGTCTGTTTGATGCATTTCGAAGCAGCTGAACCGTGCAGTGAGCCGATTCAACGAACGACCACGTATCAATTCAAATCTTTGCAAGAAGTCGTCAAGCTAACCTGCATGAAATGCGGTAAAATAGACAAGTTTTTTGGAAGACTTGAATTTCAGCTCGAAACAAGTCCACCAACTTCAAGCAACGAGAACAAGTCGATATCACAAATATCGGTGATCTGATCATGCAAGAGCTTGCACCAACAACGGCGCAAGAGGGTGAGTTAAAAGAAATATATTACAGTTAAACCTCGAGTTAACGACTCTCATTTTAACGATGTCAATTTTTCGTCCCTTGAAAGCTATTTACCTTAAAAAGACGTTTGATTTAAGGATGGAGAATCCCGGTTTCTTGAGAATCGTTAAATCGGGGTTTGACTGTATGTCAAATCATATTGTAAGCACAATTTTCATATTTAAATAAAGTATTCTAAACGTCAAAAGTCTTGTCTAGGTACAACTCCAAGCTGTGGTGGTCGTTTGGAGTTCCAAACGTTGCCTGTTGCATCGCTTCCACGATTGAATATCTCAAATGATGTCCCTGCAAGAACACCTGCTGACTGTGCCAGGAAATGTTTCGAAATGGTGAGTTTAAAAAAGAAAACAAGTTTACAAGCTCAATTTCCTAGGACAACTGCACAACGGCCGGTTTCATTCCGTCTCCATCGGGTGACATTTCGAACGGCGTTTGTTTACTAACGTCAGGTAAAATTTGGCAATTTTCTATTGAGAAGACAATGCTTCCTTTGCATTTATTGTTTTCGTTGTTTCTGGTTGTTTTACATTGATCATTTTATCTTTTAGATGTGAAATTCTGCGCAAATGCCGATGATTTCATCCCCCAACACGCCTCTTTGACTCCATTTGTCATTTCGTGTATACGGTGCACGGGTGAGTCGAATTGTAAAACTGTTGTGCAGTGTGTGAGAGAATACCGAGAGGGGCGATGATTATTAGATATTTATTAGATTATTAGATATTCCGAATCTAGCACAATACTAATCTAGCGAGAAAATATAAAAGAATAGAATCAATCATTGGTTCAGTGTTTCATAGCAATACGAAAAGCAATACGAAAGGAATATGAATATACGGAAAGAATATGAAAGGACAATCTAAAGTGGGCACCGTCCCTTTTATCCGTCCCTTTACCGTATTCTCTCTAATAGTAGTGCACTCTTTAATAGTAGTGCACTCTCTAATAGTATTGCGGCCCGAGAGGGAGTAGTAGTAGTTGAAAAGTTGAAAAAATAGTAGTGCACCCTCGAAAATTTGAATTTCTGGTGCTTCTTTTTCATCTAAACCTTTTTGACTTTATGTTTTTGTGACATTCTAAAGCTATTCAAGCAACCAAAAGTGAGGCTTTTTTTTATTCATTTATTAACTATTCTTCACATGAAAAAGTTAGCAAAAAATCTAAAATTGTTGTGCAAAGTGCAAAAACATCTTTTGGTTTTTTGTCAAGACACAAATTGTAATGTCAAGACACAAATACAAAAACAGCATGCGCATCAATAGAAACAACAAAGTCCCCCCAGAAAGAAGGCAAAAACAGCCCGCAGACCAAAAAAAGAATTTCGGGAAGCGAGAAAAGGGCGAAAAATGCGACGCGAATAATTGCAAAATAGCAACGCAAATAGGAAGGAAACGGACACGACCCTATTCTTCACATGAAAAAGTTAGCAAAAAATCTAAAATTGTTGTGCAAAGTGCAAAAACATCTTTTTGTTTTTTGTCAAGACACAAATTGTCAACTCGCCGGCCCACAACTGTATCTCAAAAGGAGCCAAAGGTGTACGTGAAAGAATTGCAAGAATTTTTGGAACAAATCTTATATCTGTCTTACTTTGGTAAATGATAAAACTCTTTAATAGTAGTGCACTCTCTAATAGCGGTTTAGGAGGGGGTTGAAAAAATAGTAGTGCGCATTACTATTAGAGAGAATACGGTATCTTAAAAGCTATCTTTTAGAGGCGGGACAAGAAAATCAGACATTCAAATCAAAACATTAAATAAGATTTCACAGAAAAAAGCCACTTTTCTGCACAATTGTAAAGAGTTCGATTTTTCGAATTTGCTTTAAAATTCAAAAAATTATCCTTTCATCTTTCTTACAAAATTCAAAAAAAAAATTCAGCTTGCACTTATAACATCAAAACGGTGACCCCTGATCGAGTGTTGCCGAAATTCACGGCTTTTGAGAGGGTGAGAATGATGTGAAGAAAATTGTGAACGGATTTAAAATTTAGGTGAAATCGGTGGGACAATGCGCCGAGGAATGCTACAAGAGAAAATGCACATTGGCTCAATATGACTCGAATATGCAAATTGTGAGTGAATATTTAACACATTCGCAGCTGATTTGCCTCAAATGCAAAATGGCCTTGTTGTCTATCGTATAACCGTGCATAGAGTGTGCTCTTCTATTCACTAAAAGGCACCTAAATTACCGTGTTGAACCGTTCGAATCAAAAGCTTCAAGCAATGGATAGGAAAATTGGCTGATTTGATGCTGACGTTTTGGCTACGGTAGTTATTCTATAATAGGTGTCTTTTAGAAAGTAAATTAGGCAAAAAGAATGCTCTTTAGTTTTCATTTACATATAACTTTAGTGCTCAATGTCGACGGCACCCCGCGACTCGTACACGTGCACGAGAGAGGTCGCCGTCCTCACACAGGGAATTCTCCCGGTCACACTCGAGTGTGTCGAGTGTGGAAATGTGTAGAAGTTGAGGGAGAATTTCGAGAAAAGTGACTGAAAGCTAAAAATTGTCATCTAAAGTAACTCTTAAGAGCATAAAAATCACGATTTCATAATGTTTTCAATCACTTCCCCCACTCATTCATTTTATACAAACGTCGCTTTCCCTTTTGCCTTTCATTTATCGTCTTTAAAAGTTACTTATGACTTATCTAATTTGCATACTAACCCAAACAGTTGAATGTGAATTTGGGTTAAAATGCAAACTCCATAAAGTTTGAGATACCATTCGTGACTGATTTCCATAATAGACTCTAGACTCCCATTGATTGTGACCGGTATATTTTGTGTGCTTGCTTGATTTTAAGATTTCTTTTGTATTTGCTATCTCAGTGCCCTAAATGACTGTGTGTTTTTGGCTAAAGGGTAAAAGGTACGCTTTACTACCGTACTCCGGCTGTTTTAAAGCTTTATAGCTACCGTAATTCGGCTGTTTTTTGAATCGAAGTCAGCCCTCGAGCCTGTCTCTTGTCTTTACCCGCTTGAGAATCCAGTTAAAGCTTCAAATTTGGTGAATTAGGTAGTTGTTTATATAAAAAAAAACATGAATTGGGTAGTTGTTTTCATAAAAAGACAGTCGGATCAGGATTACAGTAACTTTTTCTTGAGCGCAGCTTTTGCCTTTACTGCAAAGTGACACAGTCAAAAGGTAAAATGGCCATTGAGTAAAAGTTTCCTAAAAGCTGCCCTCTAGAAAAAGTTATCGTAATCCGAATTGCTTTTGTGAAAACAAAGAGTTCAGCCAAATGTTAAGCTATCAGCTATGATTTTGGATTCTTAGGCGGATAAAGGTCAGAACGAGACAGGCTTGGCGGCTGGTTTCAACTTAAAAACGGTTGGGTTACAGTAGCTTTCTAAGGTGCGCCTTTTAAAAAAAACCTTTACCCCCAAAAGGGGGGTAGGCTACTTTGCGCGAATTTTTTTGCGCAACAGGGTCATTTGCGCAACTGGGTCGTTTGCGCAACTCGCCATAACTTCCTGTTAAGTGGACCAATCTTTATGATTTTTGTTTCATTTTGTTGCACTTATTGAGATCTACAAAATGAAACAAAAATCATAAAGAGTGGTCCACTTAACAGGAAGTTATGGCGAGTTGCGCAAACGACCCAGTTGCGCAAATGACCCTGTTGCGCAAAAAAATTCGCGCAAAGTAACCTATCCCCCAAAAGGACCACAGTCAATCAATTTGCTCTCAAAATACAATAATTTGCTTTTTTTGCTCATAAAATCATTGAATAAAGTCGGATTTGATTTAAAAATAGTTCAATGAATTCTTTTTTTATCTCTTTTCCATTCCATTTTACACATTCCATGGCTATTTTCTCATCCAAACTTTTTTCTCTTATTGCTAGTCTCGAAAAAAAAATGATGACATTCCTTTAAGAAACATTCCCCAACTGTCAGGTCAACAAAATTTTTATCAATTGTAAATTTAATCCAGTAATATTTATTTCTAAACTTTTCCCAATACCGGTGTAGAAACTTGCTTCATTTTGTGTGTAAATGCCATTTCAATGTTTTTTATGAATTTTGAAAATGAATAAAATTTCCATTATTCCCACTTTCACAATTTATTTATGTTAGAAGAAAGCCAACCAGAAAACCAATTTTTTCGAGATGAAAGGCCATTAGTGAAGCAAATCTCTGTAAGTGCTATCAGGGAGAATTTCGGGATATTGAAGTATAAGTTTTCACGTGTGTAGCGGAAGGATAAATTTGGGTGTGGTTTCCGAAATGATGTTTGTGTTTGTTTACGTGTATTTGAAAGACTTAAGTGGACTTTCCCTGTTACTCCCGGCACAATCACAACCGGCCTCAACACCTCCGAAGTCAGAGGGGAGCCTCAGGAATCACCGACCGACCTGTTTGGTATTCCAGAAGATTATGTTACTTGTTTATCTAAATGAGTAATGATAATCTTTAGTGAGTTAAATAGAATGAAGAAATACGTCGATAGAAAGAGGCTGGGGGAAGATGCTAGGGGAAGGGGTAGGACTCCGAATGAATGAAGTTTCAAGTTGAGAGATCGGGCAGTCCGAAGGATCGTCTCCCTTATTCTAGGTCCGAAATATTGGGAAGTGTCTGTATTAGAGAAATATAGTTTAGTGTGTGATTTTTATTGGGGAAACATAAGGAGAGAATATGAATAAAGCAGTTTCAACTAAAGTTACACAGCGAAGAGAAACATAAAAGGGAACTCTGAATATTGTGTGTTTTTTGTAGAGACAGATTTCTGATAGAAGAAATTTTAACGAAAGAAAAATACAAACACAAAAATACGATAGTATTTCGGAAAATTCATTTTATCCATTGCTCGAATTTTCCGTTTTTATTCATTTTGTCTAGCTTTAATGGTCATTTATGAAACTGAAGCAAGAGGTATTCAGTGTTACGACCTGGTTGCCTGCTGGTCGGGCCTTGGCCTTGCATGGCTTATTAGTTAAGTTCCAAAGTTGTAGAGATCTATTTATTTGAACTTCTTTTCAGTTTCAGGCTGCCTTAAACTTGTAACAATGTAAATCCATCTTGAGAAAATTCACCAAAAAACGAATTCCTATCAACCTTTGACCACTTATCCACCAAAAATTCAAAATTTTTACGGTTTTCTGCAAACACCCAAACATATTCCTTCACCAGCTGATGGTTTCTTTTTGATAACACAAACTGTTGATGTTTATTTCCCTGTTTTCTTCGCCAAAACGTTCCAAAGATAGCTCAATTTTTTGTTATTTCTTACAAAAATAAGTTTTTTAATTTTGAAGGCTTATTTTCTTTCAGTCCTTTAAATCTTTTCGGAAGGGCTCAATTTCAGCAAAGGGCATTTCGGCAACTCGCTATAACTTTCTTTGTAGTTGTCCGATTTAGAAGATTTACAACATCATTTTGTTGCACTCATCGAGAGCAACAAAATGATACTAAAATCATTGCAATAGGTCAAAAATTAGGAAAGTTGGAAAAAAAACCCACTTTAGTAGCTTTTTACCTATTTCAATGATTTTAGTACCATTTTGTTGCTCTCGATGAGTGCAACAAAATGATGTGTAAATCTTCTAAATCGGACAACTACAAAGAAAGTTATAGCTAGTTGCCGAAATGCCCTTTGCCGAAATTGGGCCACCTTTTCCCCAATCAAAGAAATTCTGTGTGTTATCCGTGAACGATCTCCGTTATCAGATTATAGTGGTCGAATAAAAAAAATGCAATTCTACGCGATTGTTCGCTTTTTGAAACTTTCCGTGTTTTGCCTAAACCAGATTTGAAATTAGCATAGAAACCGCGGAAGTTGCGCCGCCGAATATGCAAATTTTAAAAGTTTTTTCTGAAAATATTCAGCCTATCTACTGTAGTATGCGTACCGTAGTATGCCTACTGTAGCCTGCCTATTGTAATCTGCTCAAAAACTTTTCATTTGCAAACTTTGATTTTAAAACCAACCTCTAATTTTTTTTACCCCTTTCACCAATGCTTTCTACTTTGTTTTATCCGTTGATTACTTCACTAATCGCTTTTTCTTACAGGTTCGGTGTATTGCATTTGTCAACAAAAATTCGCCGACCTGCCGTCACTGCTTTGCTGCTGTTTGGCGATATAGGAAAGAAGGAACGAGAGATGAATACTATGCTGTAAAGGTTTGCTTTTGATGATCCGTCTTCGAATTTCTAGTGTTTAGGTGGTTGAACGATCACGACTCAGTCGAACATCGGTATATGAAAAGCTTCATGGGTTTAAACTAGAAAAATTGTTCCCTATAATGTTTAATATCTAGTGGTTGCTCCCATCCGAACATCGTAAAGCTTTGTGGATATTTCCAAGATAATTTCAACATCTACATTTTGCTGGAGTTATGTCCTGACGGAACACTCCTCAATCGAATCTACAATGGAAGAGGTTTTGCTTTAAATTCCTTTCGTTTACTAACTGTAACTCAGGCGGTTGCCTAAGTTCTTACGAGTCCTTCATCTACATACGAGAAATTGTGGAAGCCGTTTTGTATCTTTTCACGAAAGGAATTCTACATCGAGATCTTAAGTCGGGAAATATTTTCCTGGATGGAAAGTCAGTGTTTAATTTTTTTTTTTTTTTTTTTAAATTTTTTTTTTATATAATAGGATCTGTTTGGGTTTGTTGTTGTTGTTTTTTTATTTTTTTTTTCTTTTTTTTTTTTTATCTACCCTAAAACTCTCCCCCCCACCACCCCCCCCCCCCCCCCCCCCCGCCCATAAAAAAAAAAAAAAAAGGGGAATTTTGTTTTTTTTATTAATTTAATTCTCAAAAAATAAAATAATAAATATTAATTAATTTTTTTTTTTTTTTTTATCCTCTCTTTTCTTTTTAATAAAAAAAACCAAAAAAAAAAAAAAAAAAGGAGAATTTTATTAAAAAAAAACAAAAGAAAAAAAAAAAAAAAAAAAAAAAAAAGGAAAATTTATATTTTAATTTTTCCTTTCTTTTTTCTTTTTTTTTTAAAAAAAAAAAAATAAAAACTAAAAAGAATTATAAAAGAAAAAAGGAAAACCAAGGAGAAAAAAAAAACACCCAAAAAAAAAAAAAAAAAAAAAAAAAAAAAAAAAAAAAAATAGAAAAAAAAAAAAAAAAAACCCTAAACCTTCGTTTTTTTTTATTTGAGGGAAAAAAAATTTTTTTAAAAATTTGGGCTTTGGGGGAAAAAAAACGGAGCTCGTTACGACTGCAATGGACGACAAGCAATCAGTAAAGCATCAGCCGAATCGCTGGCATTGGTACTCCTCGGCTCATGCTCCGCGGCACATGATGCGAACGCAATCGAATACGCTGATTCGGACTCTTATGAAGATCAACGCCCTTCAACCGCAAGCAAATGTGATGGGATCGATTGGGGTATTGATTTGTGTTGTGTGCAATATATTTATGATCTCATCATAGGTAATGGCTCCGCGTTTAACTTCTTTCCACGATTCGGGACTTGGCTCTGACCCTCATTTGCTCAGTCCTCGGAATAGCATCGCTTCAAGGCTTGAACTTTACGTGCACACGTTGAACCTGCTTCTCAAGCAAAGTTCCTACTTGGTTGATTGGTTTGGTTCGTTTTTGCATCTTTTTAGTAAACCAATGTTTATTTTAGTTTCGAAATGGGTTGATTGCACGAATAAGTACAGCTTCGTTTTCAAGTGTCTAAGTTGAACACAATACCTAGATTTTATAGTATCCAAATTGCATTGTAACGAGGTAGTTTTTATTTTGTCTCTCTCTTTCGAAGTTTGGCTTACTGAGCGAACCGTCCCCCCAAAAACAACCTCTGACCAAAGTTGATTTCCCAACCATATAACCGGTTAGTTTCCAAATTTCATTGTAAAGGTGTAGTTTTTGTTGCATGGTTCTCTTTCAGTGTTTTGCTTTCTGAGCGTACCCAAAAAAACCAGCTCCGACCAGAAAGTGGGGCGATTTTAACTACGGGAAGAGACTTGCCGAAAGTAGATCAATTCTATCAGTTGTTGATATTTTCTCGGATTCTCTGCAAAGAGTTTGGGTTATCTCAAAGGGAAAAGCAAAAAAGAGGAGTGATGGCCACTGGGTGTTCTTTTCCCAAAAGCCCTTCCCCCGCTCTTTCCTTTTTCTTTTCCCTTTTCGTTCTCAAATCGATTACTTGCCCTTTTCAACTCTCAATCTTTTCCCGAAACACAACAACAAGATTTTTTCGCACTCGAATATAGAGATAACTCGATTGATTCAATTTTTCAGGGTCAGTTAGGTGTTTGCTTTTAAAAAGTGCCCTTGCGTGCTAGTTATGATGAAATTTTTCTGTTTTGCATCATGAGTTTTCTTCATTCAAAAGCTTGTCTCGCAATTTTATAAGACTTTAAAATTAACAATCTGTTGTGTTTTCTTTTTTAGTTTCATAAGGAGATTTTGTATTCTTTGAGAAAATAAGACTAGCAGTTGTGAATTTTGAATGCTTGTTAAGCCTTCTAAAAAATTTTGCATGCCTCCTTTGTAAGAAGGTTTAGCATCTTACAATTAGTTAAAGAATTTCTGCAGTAAGATTGTCAGAATTTTTGAATCCGTGGTATTGTTTGAATCATTGGTAATCCTAAGTAAACATAGAATACCTGTAAGAATATTGCAATAGTCAAGTATAAGTGCTAGAAATGGGGAAGATTGGGTAATTAAGCCACTTTGCCACTTGTAGGGCACTGGAAAAACGGGGGCGGAGAAATCTAGCTTCGAACGCTAGTTGAATAGCTTAATAGCTGAATAGACGAGGAGATAGTTGAATTGCAATTGTTCAATAGTCGAAGGGAACAGCAATAGTTGGAAGGAATAGTCGTGCTTGTTGTGAGGGAATTAGGGGATAAGCTACCCCAGTGCCCCCACCCCTTTATCCCTCATCCCTCCCCACATCCCCCTCGTTAGACAACCCCTTCCCTCCATCGGATTCCCTTTCCATTTCCAAATCCAAGACTTTGACTCAATAGTCTACTATTACTTGCATAGCTAAATTCCTATTATGGTATCATTCCTTGCCCAATTATCCTCAACGATTTTCGGAGAAAATGAAGAAATGGAAAGTGATCATGAAAGCTCGACCAGTCGAACCCGAACCAATCCCCTTGCCAGCGATCTCTCTGCCCATTTGGGATCAGCTTTGAGTATTCCCAGTAGTGCGCCGACCGATTCTAATCGCTCTAAACCACGGCACAGATCCCGAAAAAAATATTTTGTTACAGAGATTGAGGTTTTTCTTTTGTTCTTTTTTTGGTTTAATTGATGTTTTTGAATTTTCGAATTTCAGAGGATGCCGATCACGAAAGTGCACGCTCGCCAAATCTACGATTCTCGTGGAAACCCCACGGTTGAGGTCGATTTGTACACGGACAAAGGTGGGACGGATAAGATTTTTATTAGCTTGGTGCATAAGTTTTTGGGGGTGGGACAAATGCGACCTTTTTTCGCTGGAGAACGTCTTGGGAAAGGCCGTGGAGCTTCAAAAATCTTTTCATATAAGGAAATCGTATGCATAGATTCAGAATTTTGACAAATTTGACGTGTCAGCGAGGTCTGATTTGTCGAAATTCGGAATCTACGCATACGATTCCCTTACGTGGAACATTTTTGAAGCTCTACGACTTTTCCTAAGGCATTTTTCAACGAAAAAAGGTGCGCAAAAAAAAGATAGCATTTGTCGCCTCATCGCCTCGTAAGTTTTTACAATTTTTTTTTCCAAATGTCTCTTAGAATTAATGTCGCCACCAACAAAATTTTATTTGAGCTATTAAAAAGGTTAATTGTTTTCCTGCAAAATGGCTTTTAAGAAATTCTTGGAAGTAGTTGTTTTTGAAGATTTTCAAAAGGTCAAAGGCGAGCACCCAAAACTGTTTCGACCTCAAAGTCACAATTTGGACACTTTCTTCCAGACAAACCTTCAATACAAACCTATTTTGGTGCCAAACTAAAAAAGATAGAGCTTATTTGATTAAATAAGTCTGTAAAATTTGAAAACGACCTGGCTTTGTTGCAGACCAAAATTCCTGGTACCTGTCTTCTGGGTATGCTCTGGCCTGGCTTACAGACTCTAGAACCCGATCGGAATAACCCTAACTGGAAAAATCTACTTAAAAGCTATGTTATTTATAATTTTAGGTGTTTTCCGTGCTGCTGTCCCTTCCGGTGCATCGACAGGAATCTATGAGGCGCTCGAGATGCGAGATGGAGAAAAGGTAACCATTACAGTAAATTATAGGGAAATTTTTACCGTATCGTTGACAAACTCTAGTTTACGGTTTACCGTTTTACCTTGCCTCCTTACAGTTTACCGGATTTATAGTTAATTTAAATTTTTCTGTAGCTTATCAAAGTTTTCATTGTTGACAAAATTTCAGGGTATTCACCACGGAAAAGGAGTGCTCAACGCTGTGCGCAACATCAACGAGAAAATTGGGCCAGCTTTGATTGCAAAGAACTTCGATGTGACCCAACAGAAAGAAATCGACCAGTTCATGATTGCTTTGGATGGAACTGACAATAAGGTATTCCGATGTGTTTTTCTAAATTTATTATCAAGCCTAGAACGTTCTTGGCGCGAATGCGATTCTCGGTGTTTCGTTGGCCGTGTGCAAAGCGGGAGCCGTTCACAAGGGACTTCCACTCTACAAATATATTGCTGAACTTGCCGGGATTGATAAGGTAAATTGAAAATGTTTTCAATTCAGGAAATGATCAGAATCGATAGCTTTCTTCTAACCATTAGGCCAAAATTCAAATTCTGATCTATTTTTAGATGTACATTGAACTTTCCAGGTTGTCCTCCCCGTTCCAGCCTTCAATGTGATCAATGGTGGATCTCATGCCGGAAACAAGCTTGCAATGCAAGAGTTCATGATTCTCCCGGTTGGAGCTGAGAATTTCGCGGAAGCAATGCGAATGGGATCTGAAGTAGGAAGATTTGGTCAGATAAATTTTTCAATTTTCCAGGTCTATCATCACTTGAAAGCCGAGATCAAAAAGCGCTACGGATTGGATGCGACGGCGGTTGGAGATGAAGGCGGATTTGCACCAAATATTCAGGACAACAAAGAGGGACTTGATCTCTTGAAAACGTCGATTGAGAAAGCTGGATACACTGGAAAAGTAAAATATTCAAAAGTTGATAAAAGAATGATATTTACGAAATTCTAGATTGCAATTGGAATGGATGTGGCCGCCTCAGAGTTTTACAAGGATGGAAAGTACGATTTGGACTTCAAGGTACGATGATAAAACGAAAAGCTTTGAAGTTTTGGATATAAAACCAATTTTTAATCTTATTAATTGTTAAATTCAGAATCCAAACTCGGATGCATCGAAGTGGATCACCGGAGACGAGCTGGCCTCAATCTATCAATCGTTCATCAACGACTACCAGGTGGTCTCGATTGAGGATGGATTCGATCAGGATGATTGGGACAATTGGGGCAAATTCATGGTGAGTTTCGGTGTACAACAATGAAGTTGATAGTTGCATACAAATTCTGAATCAATCACTGGCTCAATTCGTAGCAGTAGCAACAGTTGAACAAGTAACAAATTCAGTCAAGCACAAACATTCAACTTGTCGGCGACGATCTCACCGTGACGAACCCGAAGCGAATCCAAATGGCAATCGACCGAAAGAGTTGCAACTGCCTCCTTCTCAAGGTAACTTTTCCACACAAAATACTAAATTTTGCCAAAGTTTAGAAATTTCAAAAAGAATAATGTTTCAGGTGAATCAAATCGGTTCAGTGACCGAATCGATCGAGGCAGCGCAATTGTCTCGAAAGAACGGATGGGGAGTGATGGTGTCTCATCGATCCGGAGAAACTGAGGACACGTTCATTGCCGATCTCGTTGTCGGACTCGCGACTGGACAGGTTAGGGAATTTTGGGAGATTTTAAACATAGTTAGGTAATCGGCTATATTCCCCAAAACTGACATTTACTCTAGCCTGATAACTGGCCCGGCAGCCAGTGCTGGTCCAAGAGCTACGAAGCCTGGTGACTGGTCAAAACACAATCACTGGACTACTAGTACATTGATACTACTGGACCTGTTGATTTTGAAAGTTTACTTCATAATACTGTAGCTTGTTAGACAATAAGAATGTGTAGCTAGGATTATACCAGGTATCTAATACAACAATTTTAGATCAAAACCGGTGCCCCATGTCGCTCGGAGCGTCTCGCCAAGTACAACCAGATTCTGCGAATCGAAGAGGAACTCGGCGCCGATGCGGTCTACGCTGGACAACACTTCCGTAATCCACAAGCCAAGTAGATGGCAACGAATCGGCTCTCTCCTCAAATGACTTGGAGTATAAAATTTTCGTAGTTTGTCTGTCGTTTAGGAACATTTCTTATGTTGTCAATTTTTTACATTGCTGATTGTGTTCATTCCAATTTTGCGTGAATGAATTAATAAATGGCTAGTTTATTTTATGAAAAGTTTTCGTTGTGTTAAAAAAGATCAATGCTCTTTGCTTACCTTGACTGCATGAGGATTTGTCAATGCCGTAAAATTTGTAAAATAGGTTTGAATAGACCAAAATTACTTATAGAATTTTGGGGTCCGAAAAGTCAACACCTGTATTTTTATTAGTCTAACTATAACTTTTTTCTTAGTCACTTTGCAAACATCCCTGGTTTGCATTTAAAAGTTGTAGATGTATTCTTGTAAGGCTTACTGTAGAATTGCAAGAATTGTAGGAAATGCAGTACGTCTACAGTACCACTCTTGCAAAGGTTACAGTAAGCCTAAGCACAATTGGAATGAAGCCTACCGCTAGATAAACAATCATAAGTAGGTATAATAAGACTGCTTTCAGAATCCAATTTGGCTTCTTTAGCAGTTTTCTTTACTCCTTTGGTACAAATTTTACGGTAGTTTCCTTGAAACTTTAAAGTCAATCTTGTTAATTCAGAAATGGAAAGCCTCAAGAATCTTCTACCTGTGCTAACAGCGAAAATGCACAAAGGAAGTTGCGGTCGAATCGGAGTCATAGGTGGATCTTTCGAGTACACGGGAGCGCCCTACTTCTCCGCCATCACTTCCCTCAAGTTGGGAGCAGACTTGGCCCATGTATTTTGTCACGATCACGCAGCCACAGCCATCAAATCCTATTCACCATCACTGATTGTTCATCCTGGATGGAATCCAAACGATGAGTTCTTCACGAGTTTGAAAAGAATCGACAGCATCGTTATGGGACCCGGGTTGGGGAGAAGCGAAGAGGCCGGAAAACTTTCCGAAGCCGTATTCCGATATGTGGCTGAGTGTGACAAGCCGGCTGTCTATGATGGAGATGCAATTTATTGGGCTTGCACAATGGGGAACAACTTTCCCAAGGCCAAATCCGCTGTTTTCACTCCAAACAAGGTAGAGTTTGAAAGGCTATGTGATACTTTTCTGGACAAAGAAGATTGCTCAAATGTCAAAGATCAACCGCTGGACACTGTTAAGAAATTGTCAATCAAATTGGGTGTTTCGATTCTGATGAAAGGTGAAAAAGACTATTATCGAACAGTTGATGATCATTCTGGAGAGATTGATGAAAAAGCCGGATTACGGCGTTGTGGTGGACAAGGTGATATACTGGCTGGAGCACTTGGAACAACACTTCATTGGGCTAAATTGGTAAATGTTAGTATTGCTGAGGCGTGTGTAGCTAGCAGTTTTCTGGTCCGTTATTTGTCCAACAAAGCCTTTGAGAAGATTGGACGATCCGTTGAAGCCCCGGATATGATTAGCGAGATTCCGGACACTCTTCGAAATATTGAAAGAGTTTATTTTCGTCATGATTGATTTTTGATTGTTAATAAAATGTAACAAAAAAAATGGGTAAAGAAAATGCATGAAGACTTAGACTCGTGGAATTCGCCCTTTTCTGCACAAAATTTCGCAAAAATGGATGTGGGTCCGAAGGTCTTAGCCGGGCTGACAACCTGCCATACCTCGCGGAAACTGTCCGAACACTGTCAACGCGCGGAGGCTTCTGCCTGCTCCCTTTCGGGCCTGAGCCGTACGCCTCTCCTTGACCGCCCGGGACCACCGCTCATCAGAGCAGTGACCCCTGGCGACGCATCGCTTGTTGCGGATTTCCGGTCTCCGGTACGGCGAGGGCCGCCAGTGATCCCAACCTCACTCCATCCACCACACCCTGCCGCCAAGAAACTGGCTCACAAGCGCCCGCCACGACGCTCGGCGAACAGAGGGGAATTTTTGGGGGCTATAAGGGTGATGGGCTTGAAGAGAGTAGAGACGTAGACGAGGAGGGGAAAAAGGGATGGAATGGGTTGAGAGAGACGCAGAGAGACTCTCTTTGCCTCGTCTTTTCTGTGTCTTGACGCGGCTCTCTATCGACTGTAGTGTCGACGTGACCCCTTTTATGTGGGGTATCTGGATAGATTGAAAAAAAATCAAGTTTCACCTAGATCTTTTTACCTTTCATTTTCATTAGAATCTCTTTTTATTTCGGATTTGATGATAAATTTGACAGACAAATCAATATAAGCGTACAATTTCAGAAAGATGATAATCCCGAAGCTCAGCGATGCAAAACGGATCCTCACAGCTCACCACTTGTCAAACATCGCCCTATCGTTGATGTTCTTCGTGGCCAAGGGACAATCGTGGATTTGTGAACGATTATTCTACTACGAGAACTCTTGTGAGATCGATTCAAGGGAAAGAGAAATCCTCATGTTTCTGGCCGTAGTAATTGTATGGAAAGGCAGGAAAGCGACGAATTGGCTTCACTATATTTCGAATGTGTTTCTCTTCTCGAAAGTCGCAAACAGCCTCCTCTTTCTTCGTGCCGATCTCTTGATCGGGATTATCTACGTATTGTTGGTGATCGCTGTGACCGTGATTTTCCCTGAGCCAATGTACGATGGACCAGAGAATATCACTTATTTCCAAGGAGACGGTCTTTTCAATGAGCTGACGCGCGATCGACGGACGACTTGGTTCATTATGTTCTATGCGACATGGTCTCCCGATTGTAAACACGTGAATCCAGTGTTCGCCGAGCTTTCCGAGCGGTTCACTCTACCAAATCTTCGCTTCGGAAAGCTGGATGTCGGACGGTATCCAAAGGCGGCCGAACATTTTCGCGTGAATGCTCATCCAACGAGTCGACAATTGCCGACAATTTGCTGTTTCGAGGACGCAAAGGAGATCCGAAGACGCCCGCTTGTCAACGATAAACGACGAGCGATCCCGTTTGTCTTCAATCAAGAGAATTGTATTTTGGAATACGACATGTTGAACATTTACAACAAGTGCAAAGAGGGTTTGAATAAGAAAGAGTTGAAGAAAATGGAGGACGAAAAGAAAAAGGATTGAAATGGATTTGCGTTGTTTTGTCGTGATCTCATTTGTTGCTCAATTTTTTTGGTTGCTTTAATAATTGTCATTTGAAAGATCTGCCTTTTTCTTCTTGCCTAAATGGGCATTTGAGATTAAATTTTTTTTTAAGATTGATGAACAACGGGTGTCTACAGTAAAGTCGAATGCGAATGGCAGTGACAACGGCAGCTTCGACATCTTCCGATATCTCTGGGCTAGCCGATCAACTTGTGCAGAAAGAGATCGACTACAATGTGAGTTTGAAAATGATACCCTAATACTATCACCTCATAGTATCGTAATTATTCTAAAATTATGACCGTCTGTTTTGCAAACTCCCCAAGAATTCTTTTTTATGCTATAGCTACCATAAACCCAAACGTAGTTAGTATTATTATCATCAAGACCGTAATTATTCTAATAGGCAGATCGTCTATTTTTTTAACTTCCCTCCAGAATCCTGGAATTTTTCAAGTATTTTGATAGATAAATCAATTTTTTAAAATTTAGGAACTTCAAGCACTTTTCACCAAGTACAAGCTAAAGCAAAAGGTGAAATATGACAAGCTTCGGGATGAGGTGCTGGCTTACATCAAGAAGACCGCAACATCGTCGGACAAAGAGGTAAAATGAAAGTCAAAGAGAAATATAAAATCTCTTTAGAATAATGCTTTGTTGATGATACGGGTATCCGAAACAGAAGCAAAACTGGAAGAAGCCGAACGGAGGAATGAAGCGTTGAATAGGGAATTACAACGACGACAAACACAAATAAACGATCAAACTATTTTGCTTAAGGTCAGCGATTTTTACTTACTTGCTTAAAAGTTTAATATTGTTAACATGTTAATGATCTCAACTCAAAATTTGAAATTATTGGTTTCAATTCACAAGTACAGACCGGAAGCCGAAATTTTTATAGACTCAGAAATAGCAACTTTTACATTGGTTCAAGATCAATTTGTAGCTCATTAACTGGTTAACAATAAAAAGATTTCGAAGAGATAAGAGGTAAACTTCAATCTTCAATGAACTTAAACAAATTTTCAGAACCTCGAAGATCAGGTGAGAGCAAGAAGACCGATGACAGAAATGGAAAGAAGCGAAAGACGTAGAATGAACGAATTGGTGGATATGGAAAGTGTTCATGCACAAATGACATATAAGGTGAGTGAAAGGGAGAAAAGGAGAAATTGGCTGGCTTTTTTAGGATGAACGAATCATCGAGCTGAACAATGTGATTCTCGACAAGGAACGACAAATTTTGGATTTACAAGAACTGGTTTGGGAGATAAGAACTCGTTTCAATAAAGCCTTGGATTAGGTCCGAGAACACGACGAAGTGGCGAGCAGCAAGAAACAGGCGATGAGATTGGTGCAGAAGAGATTCGAGGTGAAAAAATTGATCTTACTAGTCTAAAAGGCACCTATTCTTGAACTCAAATCCTTACTTTTATCCAATCAGTCCAATTTCTGTTTGTTTAATCAAGCCAATCAATGAAACAAACATTTGTTTGCTTAGTGCAATCAGACCTTGTTGAATGTGTAATTTAGAATTGTTTAAACGTTTTTTGGACTAATTTTAAAAACTACTGTAATCAAACCATGCTGAATGTGTGATTTCCAGGAGCTCGACTCAAAAACTCATCGAACGATCGGAACGGAAACGGATTTTTCTTTGTTAAATGGTTCTCCCTCGCATGCACGATCAAGACACGAAGGAGCTTCAACCTCATTTTCGAGAGCAATTCGGGGAACGAGTCCTGGACGAGCTGTGAGAGGTGAATAGGAAAATTGAACGTAAATAAGATAAAAAGCCTTTGGATCATAACCACTAACCGTTATCTATAGGCCATCAACAATCGCATGGTACCTCATCACCTCCACCGCTTGACCCAAGCGAAGACACCCTTGATGATGAAGATCAACCCGGAACAAGCAATTTGGTGAGAATAAGTGAAGAAAAAAGTATAAAACCTAGAGGCTAATCAAAGACACATTTATATATATATATATATACTTTATTCGGCAAATGAATAAGTGGACCAGCAAAATTTACACAGAATAGAAAAGAGGGAAAATAGTACTGACAATAAAAAAATTTAGAGCGAAAACTTCAAGTGGGTGGAATAACAAACTACCATAAACTAGCTTCGCGATAGGAATTTCAATACGAAAAATAGCAATTATTGTGCTAGACAAGAAATTGCTTTATTTACCAACTAAATCCTCTTACTGCAGGTTCGCCGTTTGATGGAAGAGAAACGAAAGAAGAAATTACGTGTCACCTTCGATTTGCCTGCATCGGGAAGCCTTGAATCCATACTTCATCCACCGTCCGAGAAACGCAAAGAAGAGGAGAAAATTGAGTAAGCATTACCAAATTCCAATGTTAAAATTCTAAAAATCCAAATCAAAAGGTTAAATTGATAAAAATTCTAGAGCCATTGAAAAAGCCGTTGATCCGGTGAATCACGAGGAAAGACAACGAGAAATCGACGAGTTCGCTTCTGCTGTTCAAGCACTGACTGTGGGTAAATTAAGATTCATTTTTTAATATCAATAAAAAAACTGATATCAATTTGGGCAATCCTGGCAAAATATGAATTTCCATTTACAGACCGAGAACGAACGCTTGAGGGGTGTGGTCGATGAACAGAGCACTGAATTGGTCGAATTGAGAGCGAACGCTTCTGAGGTTTGTCTTTAACTGCCAATCTGTCTGGTATGATCTGAAAATCATTTAGGCTGACAACGAGGCATCACGAGTGCAAAAAGAGAACAAGAGCGCGACGGCAAAAGCCCGAGTCGTGGCCCAGGCACGGATCAAGGATTTGGAGGACAAGATGGCCGAATTGAACAAGTCTTTGTCAACACAAGTGAGATTTTTTATCCGATTAAATTTAACACATTTGCGACGGCGGTATTTTGGGCGTACAGTCACGTAGCCGTCACTGTTTTAGTGATAATTTGGTGTAAATTCAAAGATAAACTAGACTATTTATAGGCATTTGATAGCCCTGAAACTTCTCTCAAAAACTAGTACAAAATTACCAAAAACTTCTGCGAAACAAAAAACAAAATCCTTAAAAACTTGAGCTGACACTAAAAATAATCGTCATGAGTACGGCCCACGATGGACCGTATCATCGTGAATGTGTTAAAATGAAGATTATTACTACAAATTTATCAAGAAAATTTTAAGATTGAATCTCTGCAAATGGAGAACGAGACGCTTCGAAGCACGCGTGAGTGGGAGATTGAAGAAAACGCAAAAATGAGACAACGATTGGCGAAAACGCTGTGAGTTTGCTTGATGTCAATTCATAAGTCTTGTCGATCTTAAACTTCAAATTGTCGAAAAATTGACTCGCATAATTTACATGCAGCCAAAATGCTCAAATTTTTCCAAGCCAAAGCACTTTCCGAACTTTCTATGTAAATTTTCGATATGCAAATTGAAGTTCGACAAGGTAACCTGTCGACCCCTGTTAATGTCCACCTCTTTAAATGTAAATTCCAAAATATTGCTCAAAATACCCAAAAATATTGTAAAACATTGTCAAACTGAATCCATTTTTAGAGAGAAAAACAACAAGCTGCATGGCGAAGTGGAGGCGAGTTTGGTCACAAATTGTGAACTCGAGACGAGGATGCTTGCTGAACAAGAGGTATTTTAAATAAAAAGAGATTTTATAGTTTAAGTGTTAATCAATAGTTATTGAATAGCTAAACCGCTAACGGTTCAGGTGATGCAACGAATGATGGAAGATCTCGAAGACGCCGAGAGAATCATCGTTCAACAAGATGATGACAAAGCACAAATGGCTGAGGATATGGAATTGATGAGAGGTTTTTTGGGAAAAAATGAGGCTATGAAAATATTGTTATAGGGGCAATCATCGCTCAAGAACAATTCATTGAGGTGCTCGAAGCGGATATCGTTATTTATGAAGAGCACATTGGCATTCTTAGGGAATCGCTTGGAGCAAGCAAGGTATGATTTTAAAGTGACATTTGGGTTGTGTGTCAAAAGGGTTGTGTCAAAAGTAATTTTCTGTATCGTCCTAGGCAAGGCCAGGGTTAGAACAGATCTTGGCTGGATTGTTGCTCGGCTTGCCTTCACTGGAAGTCTGGTCCATCAAAAGTTCCCACTAGAGCCAGCGCTGGACATAGGTTCTGACCTGGCTCACTACCCTAAGCCCCAAATGGACTAGGAGCTCTACTGTAACTTGATATTGAAGAAAAAGAATCTGAGCATTGGACGAAAGTTTAAATGCTGAATTTCAGGTGGACCATCGTGATCTCATTCGATCGAAAGCATTCGAGGCGAAATTACGAGCGCTGGAAGAGGAAAAGCAAGAGATCGCTCGCACAAGACACGGTTTGTCAATTAGATATTTGTTATTTTATCAAAATTTTCATATTCCTGCACTATGAGCGAATTAAAAGCCAAATGCAGACTAAATGCTAAAGTCAAGCTAAATGTAGCCAAAAACTCCTATCATTTCTGATCCACTTATAGTTAGCAATCTTGTTTGATTTAAGGAAACTTATTGTTATCTTCAAGTTTTAGCTTGATATCCTTCCGCTCAACAGATTTTAGTCCCATCGATCAGGTTATAAAACCCAAAACATCACATTCCCCCCATTAAAATTCAGTATTCCTTTCTTTTTCGTAAAAACGCCTCCACTTTTGCGGCTTTTTTTGTAAGGGAAAATGCTGTTGAATATGCATGAAAATCAATCCGATTTCGGAACAAAATTGGTTCATGAAATTTTTTTAAGAAAACAATTTGAGACACTGAAAGCCCAGTCACTTATAGTATGCTGAAATGCTTTGGTATTTAGCCGACAAGACTGAAGAATATCTTAGACTTGAAAGATATGAATATCTTTCAAGTCTAAGATATTCCCCTTTATTCTTTTTACCCGAACACTTTTTATCCCCGTATATTGTAGGAAAACTACTGCAACTAGAATATCTTCAAACGTTTTCCAAATTCCCATCCAATAGTAAAGTCCAATACTTTATTGAATCTCCAACAACAAAAAAAATTACCACTCACACAGAAAATTGACCCGAAATTTTTCACAAAAATAAGGCATCGAATGGGGAATAAGTGGCGAAAAAAAGGGTGAGCAATCGAGAGAATAAAAAATGGAAAAAGAAGAAGATGTGTCAATAACACGTTCACAAAAAAGAAATACCGATTTCCTGCGAATGTTCATCGGACAGTTTTTGGGTTCAATAACAAAAAAGCAATGAAAAAACAACCAGTTTCAATTTAGTCTTACCCAGTTTAGATAGTGGGGTATTAGTTGAAGGGTTTATCTACAGGGTTGGACAGAATTACAGCGACACAGTTTTTTTTGCGTGTGTTACACTCAACTCCACGCAAATTCAATCAATCAAAATCAAAATTTAAGAATATATTGATTGAGTTCGCGTGGAGTTACACGCGAAAAAATGTGTCGCCGTAATTCTGTCCAACCTTGTACTCAAGAAGAGCTATTACTATAGTAATATCATTTTTATTTGAGTAGATCAGTATGTGAATTAGCCAACGAAGCATCATCATGTGAGCTGGAGACTCCACTATCAACCGTTTGTTGGCTGACTGTTGTGAAAGCCTTGTTTCGATAACCGGCAATGGTCGCTCTTCGACCGGGAAGACCCTAAAAAGATCAAACATTATTTGGGTTCTAATGGGAGATTTTAGTGGATTTCAAAGAGCTTATTCTTGATACTAACTCAAGGTATTAGCTATCAGCTAGATTGACAGTAAGATAAAAAGATTTTTAGCGCTGATACTGTTTGTTTTGGATTAAACATTATTTGGATTAAACAAAGCCCCGTACAGTGTTTAGTCTCTACAGTATTTAAAAGAAATTTTTGGCTTTCTTTTTGGCTAATTTTTCAGATAGACAGATAGACTTGGAATTGAAAATCCCCAATTTTTCTCTCACCTTTCGCGTTGCCATATAATCTCTGAATGGATAACCGTGACTGTTGTCGGGAGTATTTATCGCTTTGATTATCTAAATTTTCTCTTTCAATGAAATTTATTTTAAACTCTAAGCCTTCCCTTGTAACCCAAAAGAATTGATAAGCTTTTGTGGTCAGTTCATTTTTAGTCCAAAAAACAAGGTCTTGAATCGATTAAAAGGGCAAGACGGACAAGAAAAAACAATTTCAAAAATGGTTTCATTTGAGAAATGTTTTCAGAAGCATTCTTATTTTGCAAATTAAAAAAATCTTTTGAGTTTAGTCCGAATCATCGAAAGGACTAGCTTAAATACGAGATTCTGCTCCGTACTATCTCAAAAAGATGTGGTACCAAAGAAATTGCCTGATATTAGATTTATCTGATTGGCTCCAGTTTGACATTGACAAATATAAACTAGTTGAGAGTTTTAAGTTTCGGGATATAATCGAAAAGTACCGAAGGTACTTTTAATAGAAGATTTTCGGATTTCGAAGCAGACACCTACCTCACAGTGACATTTCGAGCAATGGCGCTCACGTCGCCGAAAACAGAAATAGATTCCACAGGGGAAACAGAGAATCGCGTAAAGGAGACCTTTCCATGTGAAACGATGACTGACTGAGTGGGTATTACAATCGGGACACGGGGCTTTTGATCCCATTATTGGGAGGATCGCTGAAGAACTTGAGATTTAATTATTGCATTGAAGATAATGGAAACAAAGAACCGAATTCTTAATTCAATTATCAAAAGAGGTTAGCAAAACTCGCTAATCTACTGTTTCTTTAGAATTTTCGACAATAAATTTTATATCATCAGGTATAAAAACTCCAAATAACAGTACTTTTGTCTTTAAAATTAGAAGAAACCCAAATTCTTTTGAGCCAGCTATTTACCAAACGCCACTTTGGCGCGTAGACAATAAACTATTGATTTCAGTCAGAGATTCAAGGTCATTTAGTTACCAAAAATAACACTGAAATCGATTTCCTAGATTAATTCTAATTTCAAAAATTCAACAAAAAAGAAACTTGAAAATGAGCAATGCAAAAAAAAAAAGAAGTGGGTCGATTTGTTGTTCGATTTGGGGAAACAGGGAGTGAAAATAATTGACAAGAGATCGGCAATGAGAAAGAAAATTGGAGGGGAAGAGACAGTTTTTTTGCTACTTACGGACAAAATGGGGAAAAGATGGAAAAAATGAGGGGAAAGATTGGAAATGTTGAGAGGAAAGAGGAAAGGGAATTTGGACAGCCGGTCGGTGTGTCGCTTCCCTTTGCCCTTTATTGACAACAAGAAATTCTCTCTAGATTCCCGTTATTTTTGGGAGATCTCTTTCTTTGTCATTTGCAGGTTCAAAAAGAGATTTTCTGATGGAATGTGAGATGATGAGTGAAATGAAAAAAATCCAAAAAGCAATAGAAATTGAGTAACAATTTGATTCGATTGCTTACTGTTACTTATTTATGGAAGTCTTAAAATGAATATGTTGATTTGTTTATGTGACTCTGCTAGGCTTAAAACAAAAGTTTTACCCAAGAACAAGAGAATAATATGTAATAATATGTAATGAATAATAAATGACATCAGTTCTTGGTTTAAAGTTCTGTCCAGATCTCCAGATCTGGTTAGTTAGAGCTACAAAGTTACAACGTTGATCAAAATTACAGATGAACGCCTCAAAACGAAAGCGCTGAACGCGAAAGTGCGATTGTTGGAAGGAGAAAATGAAAAGCTGATGGCAAAGATTTGCGAAATGGAAATGAGAAGCGGAAATCATCATGACGAGGATGAGGAACATCATTTGAATGGAGGAAATGGAGAACATCAAGAAACACTGCACTCACATCCATCAACCACCCAACTACAACATCAGATACACGAAGTTTGTGTTTTGGTCAATCAAAAAGAAAATTCGAACGATTTCATTGAATGTTTATACTCATAGGAACCGGTTGTAATGCTTGAAATCCCCAATTTACAGGCCGAATTCCGATTGTCTTCGATGAGAGACGAATTCGATCATCAACTCGCATCGGCTCGACTGGAAACAGAGAATGCGACAAGAAGTGGAGAATTCGTTTAATTCTTAAATTTCAATTTCTAGATGCTCAATATTTGCGTGACACGGTCGACCGCTTAGAGGGAGAAATGAGAAATTTGAGAGAAAGGGAACGACAATCGACTTCGAGGAGTTTCATGGAAGAATTCAATCCACAACAGACTGTCTTACAAGCAGATTTGCTTAGTCAACAAGAGCTTGGTTTGGGAAATTGTAAATTTTTGAATGAACATTTTGAATTTTTTTCAGAAGCACTTCGAGAGAGAGCTGGCGAGCTGGAGACGGCTTTGAGGACAGCGCAACGAGTCAGAGAGGAGCTGGCTGATCAGGTAAGAGTTTAAAGCTGCAATTCTAACTGGCTAAGTAGATAATAGGATAAAATGAAGCTAGAATATATCTAAAAACATAATATTATATCATCTTTCTTGATTTTAGTTGAATCACATTGGTGCGGAGAACTTCGAGCTCCGAGAACGGATCTCCGTTCTGCAGCGGGACACTGAAGAGCTCACTCAGCTACGTCTCACCAATCGACAACTATATGAAGTTGTTGCTTAATCTAATCAAATTTTACAGTACTTTAGGCTCTAAATCAATTGCCACCCCAAGAAAATGAGAGATTTGTCGAAGAGATTCAACGATTGAAGGCCGAGCTGGAAGCGCTCGCCCCGAGACATCACGAGATTTGTCGACAACTTGCTGACGCACATCAACAGGTAGCTTAAGGAGTCAAGCTATTTTAAGCTTAAATTTTGTCCCTAAAACTAGAAAAATCCTTTTAGGTCGCCACTTGGCAATACCGATCCGAACAAGCCGAAAATCAGCTGTTAATGTCTCAAGGATCAAGTGTCGAATTAGTAGAACCACTCCAACAAAGCAATCAGAATTATGAAGAAGTGAATCAACTTCGGAAAGAAGTCAACAGCTTGAAGGTATAGTGGAAGATTTGACAAATAAGAATATTTTTGTTCAGGATGAACTTGATCATGCTCGTTTGAGTCTCGCCGAAACGAGAGAAGTCCAAAAAGAAGTCGAATTGTTGAAAGCTGAGGTTTGGTATTCAGAGATTTCTATAATGGAGATTAAAGCGTGTTCTTCGTGAGTAATGCACTTTCTAAAAGATGGATAATTCAGAAAACTACCGTAATCGTTCCTTCAGATTTTCCCCGGTTTACTTTCATTTTGATCTTGTTCAATTAGGAATCCAACTGTAAAAAGAATGGGATCAAATTTGAGTAGAACGATAAAAATCTGAAGGAAAAGTTACGGTAGTTTTTCAAACTTATCCACCTTTTGAATAATAAAAAAATTCAGTTGGAAGAAGAGCGAAAACAAACAGAAGCCAAATGGGATGAGGTTTGCGAGAAATTGATCAAAGGAGCCGAGAGACCGCAACAAGAAAGCCCGGCTGGAAAGTAAGGAAATCAAGTTTTCAACTAGGAAACATTTTGAGAAGTTATATAACTTTATAAATTCTAAAGTCATCAGATTAAAACCTTCAAATTCTATTTAGAGCTTCTCGAAAAGCGTCGTTGGATGAGATGCACTGCTATTTGGACGCCTACGCTGAGAAGTGTAAACGTCTAGAGGAAGAGCTGAAGGAAACGAAAGGGAAAATTGAGGTAAGCTGTAGGAATGCAATTATTCTAAATATTATTTAAAATACTTATACTTGTTTTAGCATGGATCCTCATCATATGAAAGCTCTCGAAATGCGAGTCCAGAATTGGAAGCAGAGCTCGCGGTTTGTCAACAAAGAATCGCTGATCTCGAGAAACGATTGGAAGATAAATCGGCAAGAATTGCACAGATTGAACAGGATCTTCAGGCTGCGTATGAGAAAATCGAGACGGATAAATTGGTAGGAATTTGAGCTAAAACAGTAGCTAAACAGTAAGTGTAGGCAATTAGAGAACTCTTGTTTTTTTTCTTTGATATTGATACTGAATTGAATTTTTTGTACACGATGAGTATGAGTTACCTGTTAAACTTATAACAATTCCAGGAGAAGAAAAAGCTGAAAACGGCCGTGAAACAGTTGAGAGATAAACAAGGGACGACTGTTGAGAAAATTACCGCCGCCCAAGTTGAGCCAACCATTACGGTAAGTGTAAGCTAAATTTTACGTTTCTTCTCGGAACTCCGGGTTCCAAGAGAACCGAATTGGCTTGGGTTTTGCATGTGATAGCTTTTCACAATGAAAAGACACGTATTTTGTCAAAAGACCCGGATTTCCGAGAAGAATCAATTTTACCCAAGTTTATAATAATAAGATTCAAGAACAAGAATCCGCTATTCGTATCAAGAACACTCAACCAATTTAGATCTCTCAAGTCCAGCAGAGCTCATCTCATTCGGTCAATGAGTTGCCAGTGGAGCAAAATCTCCAGGTGGGATAAGTGGTATAAAACTTACCACATATTCTTTTCAGGAGCTCGAAAACCGGTTGCAAAAAGCCGAATTGGAAAGCTTTGAAAACCATCGTTTATTGGAAGATGTGAGGGCTGAATTGCATCGAACACGGACAATTGCACAGCAAAAAGAATGGGAGTTTGAGGAGAAAATTGAGCAACTTGAACAGGAAAAGGTTTGGACTTGAAAAAGTTGAGTTCTACGTTTAATTCAGAAATGCGAGAGCGAGCAAAAGGCGAGCGTTGAGGCGCAAGAACAAGATCTCCGCATTCGATCACAACAAACGATACAGGTGGGTAGCTTGGTGGAGTTATTGGATAAAATTCATGTACTTAACTAGAAAATAAGTATTAACTGACTCTAATCTTCGACTTTCAGGATCTCGAGACTAAAGTGTATGGTCTACAAGAAGAACTCTATGGACAAAGTCAAGCCGAAAGCATGCACGAGATTGAGAGTCGAGAAAAGAGAATCACGATGGAACATCAAATACAGGTAATTTCTTTGAAGAGAAGATTGATAGAATAATCTCAATAGAGTAAAGCAATAGTCTAGTAATGTGTATGTGAAAAATGTGGCATCGTTGGCATGCTTTAGGTCACCATAGTCAAATATGTTTGAAAATTTTTATCTATAAAAGTTTCAGGATCTACAAAATCGATTGCAATTCGTTGAAGAAGCCAAAGTGAAAGCGGAAAGAGATGTGAACAGACTGAGTGCTGAATTGGAGACATTAAGGGAGGGAAATGAAGAGAAAGAAAGGACATTCCAAGAACAGATCTCGATCATGGAAGAACAACAGGTCAGGCTTATAATTCAAAAGTACATAAGCTTACAATTGAAATTTCATCATTGAAATTTTCAGATCGAGCTGAGTTTCCGAGCGGAAAACGCCGAGGAATCATTCAATTTGAGCGATCTTCACGAAACGGTAAAAACAAATGGGATTATTGACTTATTTCTTATTTCCGGGTATTTCCTTCTCTTTCTTCCCTCTTATATCATCTCTTTCTTCGCCATCAAAGAGATACCGGATAGCCTAGTGATTAGAGCATCCACCTGGAAACTCTGCCCCATCTGCCCGGTCGAGGGTTCAATCCCCTCTCCGGAAATCTACTTTTTCTTGCCAATTTCTTCACTTCTTTATTATATTTTAACTTTTCTCAAGACCTTCCCCAAATTTGGATTTGCTTAAATTTGAATTAAACGATCATTCTTTTTGAGGTTTAACCAAGAGAATTTTCCAGGCAAAAGCTCTGCAATCAAAAGTTGATGAATTGAGAGCCGAACTGGCGATCGCTTTGACGAATCTCGAAGCGCAACAAGAGGAAAATCAAAGAATCCGAGAAAATGGCGGTGATCCGGAATTGATTGAAAGATTGCAACAAGAGATTCGATCGCTCACTTTCACTCTACAGAAGAAAGATTATGAGGTGGGGCTTGCTGTTGAAAAGAAAACTTATCAAAGTGTTACCAAAGAGTTTGACAGAACCTTAGCAATGAAAACTTTCAGCAAAAGAAGCTTATCAATAATTTGATTAGCAAGACTTTCAAAAATGAAATTAAAATTTTAGCTCACAAGTGTTCAAGATCGGCTCACAATCGCCGAACAACAGGCAATTGTGAATGAAGTTGTCATTGAAACGACGAACAATGGAGAGGAAATCGAGGTATTTTTATTCTAAACAATACTGTTTAATAACTGAGACGCATAAGCTTTTCAAATATAAAATTAGGCCTCAACATTTCCTCCTTTGCGCCTTTTGGTGGGTTTTCTTTTAGAAAGTCATATTGCTCGTTGTTTAGTGAATGCATGAAAAGCGTTGAAATTGTAAAAACTCCTATTGTCCTATTGCCACTGCATTATGACTTAATGCAATCGAATATCTTTCTTTGAATTGAAAGATGTTCAGTTTGAGTTCAGCTAGATTAAAACCATGCAAAACTATTATATAAGTCTGACTTGGCTTGACCTGGCTTAGGCTTAGGAGACAAGGTCTAAAGGCTTTACGGTGAAGGCTTAGGCCTGGAAATTTGGCAATAGGACCAGCCCTGATCTTTAGTTACTGTAGTGAGACAAGGTCTAAAGGCTTTTACGGTGAAACTTTATGGAGAAATTAAAGAACAAGAGCTGAAAGTAAAAGTGTAGGCCAAACTAAAAACTTATTTATCTCCCGAATTTTCAGCACGAATCACTTCTCCGTGCGACAGCCGCCACTTCGAATGCAGTGAATAGCCTATTGACGACAGCGCCTCGATCACCGTTGAATACTCAAGAGAATGCTCAAATCGATTCACAGGCTCAACATCACTTCCCTTTGGTTCATCACGTTGCGCAAATGGATCAGCAGAACTATTGGACTCAACAACAACAGCAACAACCAAATCACCAACCGGGCTTTGTCTCCTCTGATTGGCCACAAGCTCAACAACAGCAATATTATGCTTATCAAAGTCATTCACCTCAACAGCACCATCATTCGCAATTCCCATCAGTGCACCAACAAGAGCATCAGTATTATAATCACGGTCAACCCCCACAAATCCTTCAAGTCGATCCAGAGAATCAAGAAACGGTGATCTCATTTTCTTTTAAAAACAAATTCCTTATTTCAGCCCGTTTTGGCGTCAACTCCTGTCCCAACACCGCGAGATAACGCAGAGAAATCGAATTTTCAATCATCGCCTTCTTTCTCTGTCCCGGTTCCCCAGCTGAACACCAACACCGAAAAGGATCTCTTTGCTGAGAATCAGTTGCTGAGGTTGGTGAGAAAAAAATTGATCTTTATTAGGAAAACCCAGGCAAAACTGTTTCAAACCACTTCGAATCCCTATTTGACTTTTTACCTGCTTATAGCCTTGCTCTGCACTGACAATGAGGTTTTGACTGTAAAGAAATCTTAGACCTGGGCCCAGCATTAACAACAAAATAGAGGCTAGTGAGTAGGGCTAAGACAAGCCTGTTATAGCCAATGCTTGCATCTACCATTAGGCATTTTCAAGTATCTAAGTTACACAGTTTTTTTTGCAGAGAATGCGTGAATGAAACCAGTCGAATGCATGACTCACTCGGTACCGATGTGGAACGATTGCAAGAATTGAGAGCCGAACTCGAGACAGCTATTGAGGCATTACAGGCAGAGATTTGGTCATTGAATGGACAATTGAAAGCGGTAAAGAAACTCGAGTTCTAGATCTGGAATCAAAAAAAATGTTTCAGTCAGTGTTGGATCGAGAGAATTTATCGGATCGAGTAGCCGATCTTGACTCGCAATTGATTGTTGAGAAAAGGAGAGCCGATCAAATTGATCAAGAATTGTCAGAACAGGTTAGAAAATTGGAAATTTTTGTTTTACGAAAAGATTTAGGTTGAACTCACGGAAAAAGCTCAACGACAAGCGGCCGAATCGGAAAATGAAAGCAATCGGCGATTGGCTGAATGTCTGGAAATGGAGAATAGAAGGTGAGATTTGAAAGATAAACGAACGTTAGCTTTTCTTCCTAACACCTAAAAGGTGAATAATTTCGAAAACTACCTGCTTTCCTTAAGATTTTATCCTTTCTACTTAATTTCTTATCCCATTTGATTCCTAGTCATCGAATGAGATCATAATAAATTAAATAAGATAAGAAGAAAAATTGAGGGATACGGTTCTATCCTGGTTGCAATGGGATATGTGTCGGTTTAGCTTATTGGTAGAGCGGTAAGCGAAAGCGAGGTTCGAATCTCCGTGCCGACAATGTTTTGTATACCCAGTCTCAATTCATAAGACTGAAAGATTAGCTTTTAGAAAAAGTAGACAAAAAACTGAAAGATTAGATTACGTACGTGTCCAACTGAAAGATTTATGATACCATCTTTTAGAAAAAGAAGAAAGAAAGATGAGAAACATGAGAAACAGTTTCATGAGTTTCATGAGAAACAAATCCTATTCTGAGTATTTTCAGAGAAGAACTTGAGAAATCGTATGCCCAACTGATGGAGTATTACACTCAATTGCATGCCTCCTATAATGCTCTATACACGTCAGTGAATTCTGCGAAACAAGATGGTGCAACAGAGACCGATCTCTCGACATCCGATGTGACAAGGGGACAGGTAAGCAAATGAAGAAATCCGAAAGAATTCTTCAACGATCTGTTTTAAGAGCTTAGTCTTTTTAATAATAAACTTTTTCAGGAAGCTTTACGACTTTATGGGGAATACCGTCACCAGTTCACACTCATTCGCGAGCAAACCACCTCATTGCGTGAAGCGTTTCGTGATTTCGCTCAGGTGAAATAAAGAAATTATTACTTTTACTAGATTTCACAAATATCCCTTATTTCTTTTGTCAAATTTTAAAATATACCTTTAGGACCTAACCCGAACGGATTTAACAAGTTTGGAGTCATCAATTGGCACCGAACTCGCGAGAATCGAGACCGCTTCGAGGAGAGTAAATGAGATTCGACAAAATCTCGCGAATCCCGGAACATCTCATCGTGATGAGGAAATTGGGGAAGTGATCGACTCACTTATTCAGGTATACTGGAAAATTGAACTTTACATACATTTTTTTTTTAGGACTGTGGCTTGGAAATCTCTCTCGAGGCCGATTTGATCGCAAAAGTCGACGAAGTGGCCACTCTTCTCCAATCGAAAATTCGGGAAATCGAAGAAACGAGAAAGGTGGAAAAATCTGGAAATTCTTTCTTTTTAAGCAAATTTGTTTTCAGGCGGTTCTCCAACAGCAACGAATCTGTTCGGCGTTAGAGGATCGATTGTCGAAAGCCGAAGAAAACTCGGGACCAGATGGCGACACGCGACAAGAACTCGCTGTCACACAAATGATGCTTCGGCAGAAAAACTATGAAGTGATTTTTTTAAAGATATTTTGTTGATCTATATTTAAAGACCCGTACATTTGATATTTGATCGTATTTTAGAAATAAACGATCACGTAAGTATGTCGGTCGACCAGTCCGGTTCGTAGGCGGAAATTGGGGAAATTCCCAGCCGAACCTAATTTCACCTTCGTTTTCTCGGTCGATTCTTGGCCGATTTTGTCTAAAAGCTGAAAATGTCGATTTCTATCTGTAGACAAAATTTCAGAGCAATTGGTCAAGAAACGGTGGAAAAAACAAAGATGGAATTAGGTTCGCGTTGGAATTTTTCCATGTCTAGTAGGCAGTCTATTCACATTAATAGACTTGCTTGTGCAACGGACCGAGATCAGCAAAACTGTAAGATTACTGTAGAGAGGTTACCCCGATCTGTTACACAAGTAAGCCTATATAAATGTGAATGGAATGACTTGTGGATCTGGAAATTCCTTTTCTTACGCCAGAGCCCAGAGCTTCGAGCCTAGGACACTGATCTTGGGGTAATTGTTTAAGTGTAAGTACTGAGCCCTGAGTCTAGAGTCAAGTGATCCTGGTAATGTGACGAGTAAACCAAAGTTCACCCAAAGATACGACAGCTGATTCCAAAAGAAGGACATTTCAATAATAGAACCCAAAACTTTTCAGATCTCCGAACTTCAAGCGCGAGTTGAAGAGTTGAAAGAGGCGGTTACCGAGTTAAGCACTTCTCGCGAAAATGAACAGGGTGAGGAAAAACTTTATTTAAAATGGAGGAAAGTTATTGAATGACTGCATATCTTTTCTTTATCTACAGGGTGTCCGAAAAAAAGTGGTCATCGGTTTGAGTCTGGAAAAGTCTGGAAAATTTTTCTCGTTGATTTTTCATGGCTCATCGTGGTGTCAGAATTGGTTTTGCCTCAGGCACCACACAACAAGATAAAGTTCATTTTTTTGATGATTTTGTGAATCCTCCATCGGTCATGCATGGGCCGGGGAGCTCAAAATCCACGTATAGGTATAGGTATACATGAAAAAGACACTATTGATTGAGGAATCAATAGTTATTTCACCACAAATCTTTCTACTTTTTCTTTCTATAAATTTGTTTTGATATTAGGAACTTGAAAATAAGAGACCCCCAAAAAGTCGGTCCTGGGAAAGCAGCAAGAGAGTTTTCTTGTTCAAAAATTAAGCATATTTTCAAGAGGAATTCAAAAGTGTCTTTTTCATGTATACCTTATACGATTTTGATGGATTTTGAGCTCCCCGGCCGATGCACGACCACAAAATCAACAAAAAAAATGAACTTTATCTTGTTGACTGTTGAACTGTTGGACTATCCTGAGGCAAAACCAATTCTGACACCACGATGAGCGTTGAAAAATCAACGAGAAAATTTTTCCAGACTCAAACCGATGACCACTTTTTTTTTCAAATCTCAAAAAAAAAACCTGTCAATAACTTTCTGCCAGAAATTTTCCCGGCTTTTTTTCTCTTCTGTCCCCGCCTCACCTATGCATGAAAACTCTGATCATCTTTTTTTTGTTTTGTTCCAAATGTTTCATTTTTTTTTCTTCGTAAATGTTGATTGTAGGGTCTCTGGACGGTCGCTGCAAATGGGCAAAATTGTATTAGAGTTTAGGTTTTATTTTTCCAAAATAAATCACTCACCTCATTCTTTGGCTTCTACAGTCCGCGTGTGTTTGACATTTTTCTTCTATCAAATCTAACCCGAAAAATACTCCCAAATTTTTGGCACTTCTCGAATGGCTTTTTGTCTTAACCTTGTTTTTAAAAAAAGCACTAGCACAGATAAAGCTCTTCAAACTTTACCTACCGTAAATAGTCTAATAGAAGACCCCCTATAGGAGCGTCGCGTCTAAGTTTACTCTCAAACAAACGCTCATGTCTCAGCACAAACGTACTAGTGCTGAGATATGAGCGTTTGTTTGAGGGTAAACTTAGACGCGACGCTCCTATAGGGAGTCTTCTATTAGACTATTTACGGTTTATTAAAAATATAACTGATAGTTCGAAATACGCTTCGAAAAAAATTCCACCTTCGTTTTCTCGGCTTTTCTAAAATTACACTAACGTCTATCTACTATATATAAAGCAGAAGAGACGTCTGTCTGTCTGTCTGTCTGTCTGTCTGTGCGCAGCCATTGGCAAAAAGGAGTGGGGCTTAGATTGTATGGAAAGTGTGGACCTTCCCAGTGGAAAACGCGAACGTTAGTGACCGTTTTCCGCTGGTTGTTAAATAATGTTTAATCGGTGGTTAATAAGTGGATAAAATTTCAGAGCAATCGGTCAAGAGACGGCCGAGAAAACGAAGGTGGAATTTGTTTTGGGGCGTACTTTGAATTAACTCTAGACTGTAGATGTTTAGATGGATAGGATACTTTATAATACAACAGCTTAACTATAAAGAGCTATAAATGAACATTTGATATTTGTCGATTATATCGCCATTGAATCAAGTCGGTTATGTCCCCCAAATTTACATTTTTTTGAAAAATTAGCATTACAAAAAAGCCTGAATTCCTCATTGCAAGTCGGTTATGTTCCCCCAAATTGATTGATTTACTTTTTTTGCAGATTTTGAAGTTATGACGGGGGTGGGACAAATGCTACCTTTTTTTGCGCACCTGGACATTTGCGCACCTTTTTTTTTGCTGGAAAAGGCCTTAGGAAAGGTCGTAGGGCTTCAAAAATGTTTTCGTAGAAGGGAATCGTATGCGTAGATTCCGAATTTCGACAAATCAGACCTCGCTGACACGTCAAATTTGGGCTAAAAGGCAAAAACTACGCAACTTAACGCTTTTCCGCAGCTTTTGCCTTTTAGCCCAAATTTGACGTGTCAGCGAGGTCTGATTTGTCGAAATTCGGAATCTACGCATACGATTCCCTTCTACGAAAACATTTTTGAAGCCCTACGACCTTTCCTAAGGCCTTTTCCAGCAAAAAAAAGGTGCGCAAATGTCCAGGTGCGCAAAAAAAAGGTCGCATTTGTCCCACCCCCGATTGATTTACTTTTTTTGCAGATTTTGGAAGAGTTATGACTAATTTAATAGTAGTTTTTCAATACTAATTTCACAAAATGCAAATTTCGGGGAGCATAACCGACAAGTACCTTCAGTTAAAAGTCTACTGAATACTTTGAAATTTCTAGTTTTGGTTCAAATTTTAGGAAATCAAATTATTTCTGTAGCTCGAAATTTCTGGGTTCTAACGCATGCCCAACTAACCCTCTTAAAAGCTTTCATTTCACTATTTTGGCCGTTTCCTTTTGAAAATGTTTTGGGGTTTACGAAATATATATGAAAAAGTAAGTAGAGTTGCCCATTTGCAGCGAGTCGATCCGATGAAGAGAGGGATCTTCGTACTGAGGTCGCCATTTTAGCCGCTCGTCTCGCGACACGACAAGCCGACGTGGATTCGCTGTTTCGGGCAAATGCCGATTTGGCGCATACGAATGTGAGATTACAAAATGAGATGGATGAAAGGAGGGAAATTCGCGGAGATCGGGATGAGCAACAGGTAGCTTGTAGCTCATTGAGTAAAGCAAAATAGGCAGCGCTAGGATTAGTGCTGCTCCTAGACCAAAATCTCTAGTTCAGACCAGGCCAGGCCAGGCTAGGCTAAGCCAAGCCAAGCCAAGCCAAGCCAAGCCAAGCCAAGCCAAGCCAAGCCACAACTTTGCCTCAGTATTTTTCATTTTTAACTCACAACAGCCATTTGACGGTCAGTCGACCTTTTGTCAAAATTCATAACCAAGGACTGAGAGTGGATGACCAAAACAGCAGTCACCAGTAATGTAAGATTGAGAAAATCTTTATGCTGCCTAAAACTATGCAACCATCTCTTGTTCTAGGACGAAATTGAGCGGTTACGTGAAGTGGAAACGACGTTGAATACCCAATTGGCGGCACTCGATCGGCAGATTCTTGATGATCGACGAAAAGTTGCGGATTTAGAGAGACAGCTGGAAGAAGCTAGGAATCGGGTTCGTATTTGGTATGAAAAAACAAATTATGAAAAGAATTAGGCCTCAATCTTCGAGACTCAACTCCACACGCAGCAAGAACTTCTCAACAATCAACAATCACCACCAGTTGATGAAGAAATGATTGATGAGGTAGAGTTTTTAAAGCATCGATTCGAGGATTTGATTAATAAAGTAATGGCAAAGAATGATCTCCGGAGAGGGGATTGAACCTTCGACCTTTTTACTTTCTGGGCAGATGCTCTAACCACTGAGCTATCCGGCATCTTCTTGCCAGAGAAGAAAGAGAGAATATAAGGGGAAAGAGAAGAAAATATTGGATGGAAAAAGAAATGGAGGAAATAAGAGGCACTTATACAGCTACCTAGCATAGTCTAACCAAGGAATTTTTTTTAGTTGGCTCGACTTCGTGACGTCGAAAAGTTACTCAATCAGACAATCAACGGCTTTGAGGAGAAATTGATGGAAGCCGAGGAGAGGATTCATGAGTTGGAGATTGAAATTGATGAGGCAAAGGTTTGATTTATGAAGTCTAATCTAATACAAAATAATTCAGGAGAAGCAAGGAAGCACTCAAGTGACGAAAAGAGATTCGAATGAGGGTTGGGGTTGGGGTGATGAAGAAGAGGTGAACGTTGAGAGAAAAGAGGTAAATTGAGAAGTTGTGGATTCAAATAAGATGCCTTTTTAGATGCCAACTCTTGAGCAAACCCCGAACCAATCGGAAACTCTCCAAAACGAGCTGAAAGAAGCAGAGAAGAAACGCTCAGAAGCTGAAGAAAAAGCAGAATGGATGGAGAAGGAAATGGAGGAAATGAGAGGAGAATATGATGGATTGGTTGAGACAATCACACAATTGAGAGTAGAACAAATGGAATGGAGAAAGAAGATTGAGGAAATGGAGAATGAATTGACGAGGGATAGGTTGGAGAAGGAAGAGTTGCAGAGACGATTGGAAGAGGGAGAACAACAGAAAGAAGAGTGAGTTCTTGATGCAATTATTAATTCGAATTTTGTCTTACAATTAGCTTAGTCAAAATTTCAAATTTCAGAGATGGTTGGGGTGAATCGTGGAAAGAGGAAAAACAAGACGATCAACTAGCTGAATCACTTGCAGTTGAGAAGAAACAACGAGCTGATGCGGAAGAACAGAAAGAACTTCTCAAGGCAAAAGTTCAGTCACTTCTTGAAAAAGTTTGCTCAAAATTTATACAAAAAAATTGTCTCGTTTAGATCGATTGCCTTGAGAATGAGTTCATGGAGAAAATCGAGGAGAAAGATTCGATCGAGAACGAGTTGAGGGAAAAGATTGAGACCGTGGAAAAAGAAAAAATGGAGCTGGAGATGAAAATGGATGAAGGAAAAGGCGATGCGGGTTGGGGAGATGATGAATGGAAAGAGAATAATGAGAACGATGAAAATGGAGAGAAAATGGCTGAGGTGGGTTTGTATCATTTCTAACTCGAGTGTCTTCCTCTCGCTTAATACATTACATATATTACATTAATACATTTTCTTTTCTAATAATGCGCTTAATACATTTTCTAAAAGACACCTATTTTAGAAAACTAACGGGATCTTTACGGCGCTAGCGAAGTTTTCTATGCTGCTAATTTGCCATCATTACCTTTAAATAACCCCTAAAACACATTAGCCAAGAGGAACGCACTTTGCTCATAGCAATACTAAGTATTCAAAAGTACAATTGCGACATGTTCAGGCTGAGACACAAATTTTGACGCTTCGTGCTGAATTGGATGCGAAAGAGGAATCTCTTGCTGATACGAAGAAAAAAGCCGAGATCCTTCAATCACAACTTGATCAAGTCGAAAGAGAAAGACAACAACTTGCAGAGCATTTGCAACAGTTTGAGGTTACACAAAACTTACAGCTAAAATCATACAAATCTCTTTGCAGAATCAAAAGACCGACGATGGCTGGGGGGAAGAATGGAATGCGGGAAATGAAATCACAACAAACGCTCAACTCATCGATGAAAAAGAGCAGCTACAGAAAGAGATTGGAAAACTTGAGAAAGAGGTAAATCAGGGAAGAAATCTTTGCTAAAACTGATTTAGATTGAGACTTTGTCGAAAAAATTGGATGAGACTGAGGGGAATTATGAGGAGATTTTGGAAGAATTGAGAGTGGAAGTGACGGTGTTACGAGAGAAATTAGAACAATCGAATAATGAGATCGGAGCGTTGAGAGAACAGTTGGAGAGGAGTGAACCGGAGATGGCAAAAGATGAAAGGAATGAAGAATGGGGATGGGGAGATGATGAGAATGGGCCAACACAGGTGGGAGACATGAGCAAAAACAGACCAAAATTTTCTTCTTGTAGTCAGCCAGCTTCTTAGGATTTTCGCTAGTTAATACTAGGAGTGATCCAAGGCCAAATACTTGTGGCCTGGCTTTTGGCCTGGCCGGGTCTGACCTGGCTTTTTATGGCTTTTGACTATGGCTTTTGACTTTTGACTTTTGCCTTTTGACATCAGCCTTGTAGGCCAGCCAGAACCAGACCATATCAGTGATCATGAACTGGCCTGACCTGGCTAACCTTATAGCCTCTAGGGTCAGCTTAATACCTCTTAAGCTTACAAAATGCTTACAGTTTGCAAAGTGATGATTTTTCAACTAATAAGACCATATCTTATTTTTAGACAAACGCCCAAATCACAACACTCGAGGCTCGTCTCGAAGAACTCTCACTGAAATTGACGATAGCCGAACGACAGATCGAAGAGAAAGAGATGAGATTTGGTGAAATGAAAGAAGACAATGAACAGATGGAAATTGAGATGAATGAACTGAGAACGACAATTGAAAGAATTTCACGAGAGGTGACTTTAAAATAAAAATAAAATCAATCAAGTTTTAGCTCGCCGAGAAAATGGCTCAATTGGAACAAGTTGACGGAGTGCAATCAGAAATGGATAATTTGAGAGAAGAATTGAATCGATTGAAAGTTGAGAGAAAGGAAATGGAAAAGAATTTGGAAATGCTCGAAGCACAGAAGAAACCACAAGAAGAAGAAGAATGGGGATGGGGAGACAAAGAAGAGAACGGGCAAGGAGTGGTAAGGTTTAATAAACTAAAGATAACTTTTGATTTTGTTCGTTATCCTGGGCTTTTGAATACGTAATCACACTTGAAGAAGACTTCTATAAAGAAGACTTTATAGGAAACAATTCAGGCTTTCGAATGATACAAAATAAAGTCAAAGTGAAAATCAAAGCCAACTTGAACAAACGAGATCGACCCAATTAGGATTTTGATAATCTAATCAAGCTCTATTTTGTATCATTCGAAAGCCTGAAGTTTTTTTCTGTAAAACTTAGTTAGCAATAATATTATTTCTAAACAAAGCTAAAGACTTTAAAAATCTGACTATTCATTTTATGGGATGGACAAGAGTTGAGAACTTGACTAACTATAGCCATAAAAACTGATTTTGTAAGAAAACAATATTTCCAATAATTCGTTATAGAATGCCGAGTTGCAGACGAAAATCGAAGAACTCAAAGCAGAAGTTGAGATCGCGTCGAGATCGATTGAGAACCTGAAACTCGAGATTCATCAAAAGGAGACCGATGCGGTTGAAGCTTTGGAGTTGCAAGTTAGTCTTATACTTTCCTGGAACAAATACTTAACTGAACTTTCATATTTATTCAGGAAACTCTGCAAGGAGAAGTGAACGAATTGTTGCATCAATTGCAAGAGACAAAACAAGAGTTGGGGAAGGAGAAAAACGAGAGAAATGAACTTCAACAATGTCTTGAACATTCAAAGCAACAAGAAGTAATTGATTGTGCAAAAATTGAACTGTTAATTTTCTAGGACCGATTAGCGAAAGAGTTGACTGAACAAGCTGAACAAAGTGAGAGAAATGAGATTGGAGAAATGGAAGAACTTCGCTCACAACTGAAAGCAGCTCACAAGAAATGTTCGCTGTTGATGGTTGGTGGAAATCTTATAGAAAAATGATTGACTAAGAAATTTATAAAGTAGACCGAATAATTCAGGACAGTGAGAGTCGATTGTTGGAACAAGTGGACGAGTATGGAGCACAAGCCGATCTACAAAGAGAAGTCAGTTTCGAAGGCATTCCGAGTAATGCATTTCCTAAAAGGCACCTATTTTAGAAAACTACCGTAATCTAGTCGTCAGTTTCAGCATTCAATCAGCACAATTTTGGTATCATTTGATGAGAAAACACAAGACTCAGTCAATGATACCAAAATTGGGCTGATCGAATGTAAACTGGCGACAGATTTTCTAAAATAGATGCTTTTTAGGAAATGCATTACTCGACAAGGATCATTCCAGAAAGACATATCTAATCTATCCAATGCCTTTCAGGAAGCCGAACGTTTACAAAAAGTGATCAACCAGCTGGAAGCCCAGATATTAGATCAAGAAGAGTCAAGGGAGAAGATCAAAGAAATGGAGAAGAAATTGGAAGAACAAAATGATCGGTTTGGGATAGATTTCGATTCCAGTTTAAATTACTTATAGATCGGTTGAATCATCTGCTGCACAAGAACAAGCAAAAGAATTAGAGGAATTGAAGAAGAAGTTGCAGAAAAAGGTTTTTGTTGAGAGTGGTTGGTTTATGTTTTTTTTAGGAGGAGAAGATTGAGGTGTTGATCGTTGGGAAACAAGAAACGGAGAAACGGATGGGAGAAGCACAAAAGAGATTGCAAGCTGTGGAACAGGTGAATTGAGTCGGGTGAAGTGTTAACAAACATGCAAATCAGTCAATTATGATATTGGTTGATGATACTGTAACCCTGTATACAGGATTGTTAAGTTTTCTATATTCAGGAGATCGTACTTAAGGCCAGGCTAGGCAAGACTTTGAGTCTTGGCATAGTCTGGCCTAATAGTCATAATTCAAGATGATCTTCTATGCCAAATATCACGCGTTTGCGAAGCGTTCTGCAAAAACTAAAAACGGATTCGAAATCCCCATGACCGACTTAATAAGATGGATTTGGTCTCAAGTCAAAAGGCCAACTTTACTCGTTGCCAGCTTGAGATGTTAAAGTCACCAAAACCGATTATAAATGAAAATTTTCCAGGAAAGAGATACGGCTAAACGTCTTTATGATGAACTCCGGGCAAAGCTTTTGGCGGCAAAAAGAAAAGCTGCGGCAACGAAGACATCTCAATCCTCAAGACGATCATCGATTGCATCAACGAGTGCCCCATTGGAGCACGAGATTCCGGAAGTGAGTCGAAGATTCATTTATAAATCACCTTGCTCCAGGAAAATCTTTTGATCAAAAGTTTCATTAACATTTTCAGGAACCGACTTTTGTGGCTCAACTCACCCAACATTCACCACGATTCGACTCTTCCGTAGACTCAACAACGAGTCAGGTTTGTGTTTAAAAAGAGCAATTTTCGAACAGTTAAACACAAGAAGACTGGGAAGGAGAGGTTGAGAGATTTTTTTAGAGCAAAAGAGTTTCCATTGTTTGCATTTGTTTTTCATTTTATTTCTTTTTCATAAAAAAATTCCCGTCCTCGAGAGTGGCGAAAAAATTGGGGCTCTGATCGAGTTGGGCACTTTTTTTTTGAACCGAATCGAATCCCCTTTTTGTGAACACCTCCTTCCCAAGTCAATTCAGAAAAATGAAATCACTTTTGATATTTTAAAGAGTGCCCGATTCGATCTTTTCTTTTTTGTTTCAGGGTATCGCCACTCAAGAGGCTTTTCGGCGACGGGGCGCAAAGAGAAATGACTGAAATATATTTGGCATTGATAATTCAGATTTCACGATATTTATAGAAAAATTATATATTTCGAAGCTAGATGCTAGATTTTAAGTTCCTTTTTACCGTATCCATTTTCAATAATTGATCCAACTAGAGCTGATATTTGCGTATTTCCTGTAGCAGTCTAAAATAGCTAAAACTGTGCAGAAAGTTTGAGTTATTGAACTTATCAGAAGATAGAAGAAAAATTGGATACGATAATTCCAGTTGCACTTTCTAAAAAGCATTCATTTTGCGAAAACTATCATACTAAAACCGGCATTTTTCACTTGATCAGATCAATTTTTGTTTTATTGACTAAATATTGTGATTCCTCATTGAATAATATGAAAATTGGGCTGATCGAATGAAAACTGAGGGGTAGGCTAATTTTCGCCATTTTATTTGCGCAACTGGGCCATTTGCGCAACTCGCCATAACTTTCTTCTAAGTCAGCCAATCTTTATGATTTTGGTTTCATTTTGTAGATCTCAATAAGTGTAACAGAATGACACCAAAATCATAAAGATTGACCGACTTAGAAGAAAGTTATGGCGAGTTGCGCAAAAGACCTAGTTGCGCAAATGACCCAGTTGCGCAAAAAATTTGGCGCAAAGTAGCCTATCCCAAAACTGACGTTTGAGGACGGTAGTTTTCTAAAAATAGAAAAATAGATGTCTTTTAGATGTCCCAGAAAGCCAATTTCAACCCTAAATGCTCATTATTTCCCCATAGGTAACTCGTATCAAATTGTGCCTTATTTATTGCTTAAAAGTTTTACTAGAAACATTTTTTTCTTTTTTGATTATTTTCAAGGTAGAACTCGAAATTTCTTGTGAGATCCTGTGATTTTCTCTCTCTAAACTTTTTATTAATGGGTATATTTATTGAATGTTTTTTCGTCAAAACCAAAGTCGAGGTGAATAAATGATATTTTTGGGCAAGAAAAATACGATAAAAATGCAAACAATGGAAAAGGTTTAAAAGATTTTTGTTTTTAGAAATACCATATTTAGTGGGGGGGGGGGTGGGGGGGGCCCCCCCGCGCCCCCCCCCCTTTCCCCCCCCTCCCCCCCCCCCCCCTTCCCTCCTTTTTTTATTTTTTTTTATTTTTTTTTTTTTTTTCTTTTTTTTTTATTTTTTTTTTTTTTTTTTTTTTTATTTTTTTTTTTTTTTTTTTTTTTTTTTTTTTTTTTTTTATATTTTTTTTAAAAATTTTTAAATTTTTTTTTTTTTTTTTTTTTTTTTTTTTTTTTTTTTTTTTTTTTTATTTTTTTTTTTTTTTCTTTTTTAATTTTTTTTTAATTTTTTTTTTTTTTTTTTTTTTTTTTTTTTTTTTTTTTTTTTTTTTTTTTTTTTATAAAAAAAATTTTTTTTTTTATTATAGAATTTAAAAAAAATAGGAAAATAAAGGGGGGGAAAAAAAAAAAATTTTTTTTCCCCTCCCATATTTAGTATCCATTGGATGGGGCATTGGGCGAGTTGGCCGTGAAATTCGAGGCGTTTTTGGAGGAATTGGGAGAGATTTTCAACGTACATCATGAATATATCGGTGAGCGAATTTTTTTTTGATTGAATTAAAGGCATTTGAAATTTGAATCAGGTTAGAAAACATGAAATGGATACCATCATGTGAATAACATGTGAATTGGAAGTTTTCCTGGGAATGGATTGCCCGCTAGCGTACTCAGGCTGCTTTAGTAGCAGTTTTTTTTGCATAAAATTAAAATATTTCTTTTGTTTTTTTATGAATTTTTGAAAGCTTGCAGCTGAAAATGAAAAGCGCCAGAGAACAGCAAAAGCTCACAATCAGTCTACACTTTTAAGATGTTGACGACAATGGCGTTTTTGCACAAACAATCGCATGGGACAACGTGGTTTTTTTCGACAAAAAATGTCACCTGACATCAGGTGACAATGTCCCAGGCGAACGAATATGTGTCAGACAGCATCAGGTGACAATGTCGTCAACGTGTTAAAGCGCTATCGCAAAGCTTTTTCCACATTGAAACAGCGAAGTACCATATCCAGTTTCTCGTTAATGGCTTAACCAAAAATTCTAAAAACTTGTGAGGATATATCAGATATACAATTTATTGTCCTTTAACCTTAGTTTTTTTATACAACCATCTCGAAATTTCTTTATTTTGAACCGGGTAACAAGCTCAGTATGTTTTAGATGAGATTCGAACGACTTTCAAGACACTAACTGAAAAGAAAACGACGGAATCAAGTGGAAATGGAGATGAAATACTCGAGAGAATGATAGAAAGACAAAATTTGAGTAGGATTTAATTCGATTATTAAAATAATAAGCACTGAACTCTAGTTGATGAATTGGGAAATGAGGTTGATCGATTGAGAGATGAATTGAAAGAGAAAGAGATCGAAAATCTCGAGTTTCGGGCACAAACCCGTGGGTTTTGATGGTTAAAGCTATTTAACGAACTTTTTTTTAGAAAATCTTGATTCTCTGATAAAACGAGAAAAGGAAAAATATACACAACTGGAAGAAATATTGAATGGGAAAGGTTGGTGCAGAGGGGACAAAGTGGTTAGATACCGTTATTGCATTTATCACTTTCAAGACTGGGATAGATAACTGGTGAATAATGTATGTACTCATAGAATAAACTATATATAAAATGCAAGTGTCCGTCCGTCCGTCACACGCGTTTTTCTCAGCGTCCAGATCGAATTCCGGGATGCGCTTTTTTTTTGTTATATTGGTAATATTATGCTAACGGCGCCCACAAAAAATTAAAAACTTTCATCGTATACTTTTTTAAAAGTCAAAAAAGCCGCTCAACTGCCTATAAAATTCTAAAAAAACGGCCTCTTTTCCCTCGGCGTTATATGGGAGGTAGGGCGTGACCGAGGTGATTAGCATCCCATCTCTTGAGCAAAATGTTTCAAATCTACATTTTTAGGGTTAGGCCAAAAGCCAGAAGCAATTTTTGACCTTGACTTCTGGAGATATATTATTCGAATAATTCGAGTTCCAGTACGAATATTCAGAAAACGAGTTTCGCGAAGAGACAACAAGGATTCATGGTGAACTTCAAGAAAAAATGGAAGAGCTGAAAGATTTGCAGAAGCTTTTTGAAGAGACAAGGGGTGAGCTAAGCTTTCACGGTTTCTAGTAGTTGGGTAATCCAGTTGATTGTCGGAAATAAATCCCTGGGGTATACTTATAATTAATTCTTCAATTTCAGATCTCCAAAGAATCTTGGAAAATGAGCGAGAAGAATTGAAAGATGAAAGAGATGCGCTTGTAGTAAAGAATACGGAACTTCAATTGGAAAATGGGCAGCTTTACAAAGAAAGTGGTAGATAGAAAAAAGAAAATTTTTAAAATCTGCTTTTAGAAAAGAAACTTCAAGCAGAAAAGGTGAATTTCGAAAGGGATTTGCAAGAAAAAACTGTCGAAATGGAGCGTTTGGGAGAGCTTCTTGAAGAGGCAAAAGGTGAGGCTTTTGCTTTTGAAAAAGATTTAAATTGTAAGAAATCACCTTTGGCAAATCTAATAGACTTACATCAAATTTTCAGCTCAGCAAAAGACTTTGGAAGATGAGAAGGATTCTATGAGAGAAGAAATTGAAACAATCACAATACGCGTTAGTGAAATCGATGCAAAAAACGAGAGGTTACGAGAAAAATTGGAGAATTCAGAGAAAAGAGGCAAGTAAACTCATTGAGTATTAAATAAATTAGGGTAAATTTAGCCACTGAAGAAGAGGATCTTGCAGAAGTGACCCAGAAAATCCAACAAGAATTGGTGGAAGCTGGCGGTAAGCTTAATTAAGCTGATTAAGCTGATTTTCAATATGTTTACTTTTTAGAAAAAGCTCAACGGATTGAGGAAGAAAATATGCAACTGAAGGATTTACTTCAAAGTGTTAAAGACGAAGAGGCGAGTCAAGGAGAAGAGATGAAGGTGAGGAGAATTTGCAATACTGTGATATTAGATTTAGGCATAAGTTTTCTCAATTTCTTGAAAAAAGTATCAAGGCTTTAGTGCTAAACTTGGGTTATAAGCATGCTTATGCCTTATTAGGTGCCTTATAAGTTCTTCCCAATCTTCAAACATAAATTTCTCAAAAAGTATTAAGGCTTCTTTTATGAAAATTTACCATTATAATTGCTATATTTTTGTCAAATATTAGACAAAGTTTCATCCCGATTTGTTAATTCAATCACGAGAACGGAACCTGCTTTTTCTGCTCTACTGAAACCCTAAAAAGCAAGAATTTTTTAGAGAAATTACTAACCTAGTATCTAAATAAAATACGGGTTTTCTCTTTCTTTTCTATTTAATTTTTCTGCTAAAAATCTGTGAAAATTTACCTCAATTTAAGCCTAAAAATGCTGCTAGTTGTATATGTGTCGTTCTCTTGATTGAACTAACAGGTCGGGATGAAATTTTGTCTAATATTTAACAAAAGTATAGCAATTATATTGGTAAATTTTCATAAACTAAGCCTTGATACTTTTTGAGAAATTTATGTTTGAAGATTGGAAAGAACTTATAAGGCACCTAATAAGGCATAAGCATGCTTATAACCCAAGTTTAGCACTAAAACATGAAATGTATCTGTAATATGGCCTTATCTTCTACACACAAATTCAAATTTAACTGCATTATGGGATTAATTTGTGAGGGTATGCGCGTAAAACTAGAATAAAGTTAAATGCAGATCTTTAAAATTTTATGGGAGGTTTAACAGTGCAGTAAACACAGTGCAGTGTTTTAGCTGTCACTGTTAAACCCCACATAAAATTTTAAAGATCTGCATTTAACTTTATTCTAGTTTTACACGCATACCCTCACAAATTAATCCCATAATGCAGTTAAATTTGAATTTGTACCTAATTAGCTATATATTTTCAACGTTTTACTTCAGGAAAAAGAGAGACGCTTGAAAGAAGAGATGGAAAAGATCCAGGATGAGTCGAATCGGATTATTCAAGATCAGGTAGAGTGCCAAAACTAGTCGATGGATAGTAAAATGTAGCTTAGAATAGTTTGAACTTAGTAGAAATAAAAGAAATAGAAATCGAATGAAATAAAAGAAAGATCAAGCCCACTTTAATGTTGAGGATTTCAGAAAGACGAGATCGATGAGTTGAAGCTAAATCTGGAACGATCGAGAACCGCACTTGCTTGTCAAGAGAATAAAATTTCTCAACACAAAACCGAATCAGAGGAAAAAGACCAAAAGAATCAAGTTTTTAAAATATTTGAGCAAATTATTTTTAAATATTAGACCCTGCAAAATCAGTTGAGCGTCATTAGGGAAGAGTTGGAAATGGAAAGACAACGAGTGACAACAAACGAACGATCTGAGGTGAGAGCACAGATAACTCTGCCGAAATTTCCAGACTGATTCTATCATTCTCATTCAACTTTAGAATGAAGAAGCGAGAATTGAAGAACTTCAAGAGAAACTTCACCAAGCTGAACAAATCAATGAGACACTTGAGGTAACGATTGGAGAAAGTTCAACGGGTCCAACTCTATTTAGACAAGAATCTCTGGCCTAGAGACGATAAACTCTTCAGAAATCAAGCAAAAAGAGATTCAACTTCAAGATCTTCAGGTGATATTTAGCTCTACATTTGTTGGAAACCCATTTTTCAGTCACAATTCGATGAATCTCTATCAAAAATCGCTTTTCTGGAGGCGTCTCTTGAAAGTATTTCAGTAGAATCGGAAGCCCTTCGTTCATCGAGTGATTTGACTGGGGTAATTTGGATTTTATTTCAGAAATTTCAAATTTCCAGCCAATATTCTGGATAAATTACCCATTTTTACAAAACAAATCAAATCCCCATTTCATAAATTCCTTTCAGCCTCAAATTTCTGCACTAACATTCGAAAATGAGACTCTCAAAAAAGATTCCGAAGAAAACAAGGAAAAACTGAAAAGGATTGAGGCAAAGATTGGCGATCTTCAATCAAAACATTTGCAATCAGAAAAAGAAAAAGATGAAGAGATTGCGAAATTGGGAAAAGAGATTGAAGAAAGGAAAGAAGAAACGAGAAATCAAAGGGAACAGGTGCAATCTATTCAGTCACCTTTTCAAGTGTTAACTAAAATATTTCTAGATTGTAACTTTATCGGAAGATTTCGCGAGAATTCAGTCGGATTTACGGGAAAAAGTTGCTCAAGTTTTGATTCTTGAGTCGACGGCTCGAGAGGGTGAAGGGGAGATCGAAAAGCTTCAAGTACAGGTTAGTGAAAGAAAACCTGATAGCTTCATAAGGAATTTTTAGATTTCCTATCTATTATCCGAACGAGAAATGCTCACTACCGAGTTGGAAACATCGACAATTTCTCTTCAACAACAACAGAAAGCCGAAGAAGCGCACGGCGAACAGATTGAGCTTCTGAACAACGAGATTCAAGACTTGCAACAAAAGGTGAGCTAACTCTTAACTTAGAATATTCAACAAAAAGGCTACAAACAATTTCCAGCTGTCGGAGCAAACCATGGAACTGGTCGAGTCTGGCAGAGCGAAACAAGAGATTTCTCTTCCATTGGGTGGCGCCGCCAACGAAGAAGTGCAAGACTTGAGAAGTGATTGTGTTCGCCTCGAGTCACAACTGAGAACGGCTCACGATCGGATTCTTGATCTACAGGTTGACAGAAATTCCGAAAAAAGACATTTCAAAATCAATTTCTTCCAGAAAGAGATCTTTTCTCAACAACAACGAGTGGAATGTCGTGATCGAAATATTGTCGATTTGCGAAATGAGCTCTCCTCTTTCCGACAACAGCTTCAGCATTTGCAGTTCGAGAACGAACAGTTGAGGTAAATATAATTTAGGGTTATTTTAAGGGCAGTATTACAGACCTGACCTGGCAATAACAGGCTAAAAGCCAAACCTTAGCAATAACAGGCTAAAAGCCAAGTCTGATTCTGTCTCTGAACTGGTTTCGGATTGGGCTCTAATTGAGTTCTTAGATTGTAAGGCCCATGTAATATTTCTCATTCAAAAAATCGTTTTCAGACGCTCGATGTCAAATCGAGACCCAGCCGAGCGAATCATTGCTATGGAACGTGAAGTAACTGAAATAAAGACTCGACTGCAGAATCGAAATGATGCTGTAAGTTTGAAAATTAAAGCCATAATATTAAAAAAGTTGAGGTTTACAATTGAAAATTCCGTTTAGTTAATGGAGGACTTGCGCACAACGGAGCAACAACTTGAGATCAAGTCGCAACGTGAACAAGAGGCGTTGAAAAACGCAGAGAAAATCGCCGAAGTGGTAAGTGATTTAAGTGGAAATAAAATAGGAGCTTAAAGCGAGCGTAAATTTTAAAAATTCAGGCAGAAGAGTGGCAATTGAAATGCGAAACGGCTATGCAAGAGATGGAAGCGTTGAGGAGATGCGCGGAGGAGACGGCTCGATTGGGGAATGCTCTCGAGAGGGTTTGTGCAATCATTTTATCAATACTTGCAGAACTTTAATAAAATTAGTGAAGGCTTTTAGCTTATGAAACTAAAAAATCGTATTCGAAAGGTAATAAATTACAGAGTCGATCCGATCAAATGGATTTGGTGCGACAATTGGAGGAATCCGAACAAACGGCGAAACGAGCTCAGCAGGAAAAAGACGCTTTACATGCACAAGTGAGATTTGATTGAGTTGATTGAGTCTGAAGATCTTAAAAATAGTTTTTTATTTTATAAACAAACAAACAAATTGTTCACTCAATATTTCTTTATTCAGTTAACAATTGTCTCGCAACAACTCGACGATCGAACGGAAAGACTCCGAAAAGCCGCCGAGACAAAAATGCATAATGTGTTACGGTAAAGAAAATCTATATCGTAAATACTGTAATAGTACCCCACCCCCATAATGACGGTGCGGAGTGTTGCGTAGTCTAGCTTTGAACGAGTTTTTCTCGACACTGGTTTATGCTGCAATGCGCGCTTAGGTATCAAAAAATAGCTGAAATTCAGGGCTATTTTCCGATATCAAAAGACGGAGCATCACGTAGTCTAGTTTTGAACGAGTTTTTCTCGACACTAGTTTATGCTACAATGCGCGCTTAGGTATCAAAAAATAGCCCTGAATTTCAGCTATTTTTTGATACCAAAGACGCATTTTTTGAAAGTACGGGCGCTTTGAAAAAAATGAAATACTAAAAAATTTTTGCGACTACGCGACTGTACGAGGAGGGTGGGGTACTATTACAGTATTTACGGTATGTAAATTCTAAAGTTTTTCTTTAAAAGATTATTGAAATGGTCAAATGATCAAATTTGTAAATTATTTAATAATTTTAAGCTTGGTTGAATTGGAGTCCCGTTTGAATGCATCTCGTTTGACAGTGGCTGAGCAAAGGCGATGTCAGAACACGGTAACGAAATGCAAATTTCATTTCAAATTTCAATTTAGCCTCTCGAGGGCGAACCAGATTCATCGGTGGAGATTGGAGAAAATGTATAAAGAGATTCTTTAACGACATTCAAAAATGTTTAGGATTCACCACAGCCGAGCAGGGAGGAGCTGATAGAACGACTGACGGCGGCTGAGGCGCGGATTAGAGAGGTGATTTGATCAAATGTTAGCATTTAAAGTAGACAATAGACAAAGCAATCGTCAAACGTTAAACAATTTTAGCTGGAAAACCCGGAGATTATCTCAAGTAATCCCGATGATGAAGCGATAGAAGACGATCATGAAATCGAATTTCTCTCTGCAAGTTTATTGGATCGATCGCTTGAAGATGGGAATTTGGTTGACGGAATCGAGACACATTTGGAGAGGGTAAATTTTGGATATAAGCTAGGAATGAAAAAGAAAATAGTTTCAACCTTTATGATGTAGTGAATAAGCCTAAGATTTGTCTTCAACCTAAACCGTGTTCGTTTTAAACAAAGTCTTTTCTAAAACGTGGCAACTTTCAAAAGCTACCGTAATTTCGTCTCTATTTTTATCCAATTAATCTACGTTTCATTTGATTTTGTTAGGGTTAGAATACAAAAACTATCAAATAAATTGGATAATAAGTAGCCAAAAGGCAAGCTTCCGGTAGTTTTTCAAAGTTGACACGATGCATAATTTGAGACGAATACAAGTTACTCCTGAGTCAACTCCTAAATACTGTCTTATCCCGAATAAAGTGTTTCTTGCTAAAAAAAAAAAGACCGACTCTCTGTCAGGAAAGTGAATCGGGAGAAACCCAGTCTCAACTCGACCAAAACGACGAAATCGACAACGACCAAGAGTTGAATCCGCACAAATTGCGGTCACCGTGGTGTTTCAACAATCCAGATTTTTGAGGTTCAACAATCACAAGAGCGATTTGCTTTCGAGTGTCATGCACGATACTAAAACACTTTTTTTTTCTATCCTAACATTGGTTTTCTATTTTTTGCGATTACCCGATTAAAAGCATGGCTTTTGATTTTCGGCGCTTTTCGCTTACACGTGTCACTAGAATGCTCATTTATGCTATGAAAAGAAACTTGCTTAAAACGTGACACTTGTGAGCAAAGTGCTTGGTTTTTTTTTGTTAGATCTCTCAGAATGAGGAAAGTTGTGAAAGTGTCGATTCTGGAGTTGATTGAACTCCAGGCCTTCGACGGTTTACAGTTTTGCTCAAAACAGATAGGACAAAGTAAAACGAGATAAATTTAGACCACAACAAGTTCGAGACTTCAATTGATTCCTCCAAATCGCGGAAACTCATTTCCATTGAGATTCGGTCGTTTGTTGAGATCATTGCGTGCTCGCGGGGCTCGCCGTGCCCTTCTTCCGCTTGTTCGCTATTTTGTGCTCTTTTATGCCCTGTTCACCCACATTGTGCTCTTTTATTACTGGTGGATTCCTGGGTGTTAGGTTTCACATTATTTTCAGCTTTTACTTTGTGCATGAAATATAAACACATTCTTTCTAGCACACTTAATTCTTCTCATTATTTTGAGAGAATGGTGAAGAAATTGAGTGAACTAAAAAAATGTTTCCATTTTTGAACACCAAAAATAAGTTAATTTATTTTAAGTTATATTGTAGATATCGCTTTCTTTGTCGAACAGATAATGCTTTGAAACAAAAGTCCATTTTAGGTTTTTTATTACCGTCGCAATTTGATGAGCTTATGAACTCAAATTTCAATTTTATTTATTTTTGGCCTTTTCGCAAAATTGTCTTTTCTATTGCGTGCCTTATATGGATCAGGAAGTGCCGGCTCCAAAAAAACGTTTTCTGTGATAGTTTCAAATGGGTATGGGTTTCATATGAGCTAATAAAAAAATACTTACATTAAAACCAATTGTTCTATGTGCCGAATTTTATACTCTAATCACCAAAAATTGCACGTAATTTTATTATACAAGCGCATAATTTTATTTATTTAAAGAACTTGCTAGTAAAGCTGTGTCATTTCGCAAATCGAGTCCGTAATTTTAACGCTATTAATCCAAAGATACGTCCAATCAAAAACATTGCCACGAGTATTCCTAAAAGAAACTTCATAAAAAAAATAACATTTTAAACCCAAACTGACCGCTATCTATCCAAAAGTGCCATCCTACGGGCTTCATATCGCGATTCAGCATCACTTCTGCGCCATTCTTCGCTGGACAAGGGGCGGTACAGTCTGAAAGTAAAATTGACATCCTCTTCATAAGTTCGGATTTAACTAAATTCCAAAATAAATAAAAAACACTTTACTTTCAATAGTCCCATGCGCCAACCATTGGTTATTCTCTAGTGCCTCAAAACCAAAGCGGAACCATGAAAGAAATGTAGCCCACTAAATGATAAGTAAACATTCTAAGTGACAGTGCAAAACATTTACCTGAAAGTATGGTGGCACATCGTCATAGTTGATATAGAAGCCACCAAAGATTCGCATCGGTAGCACATAAAGGGGCATAAAAGTAATTGCAGCTCCCTCTTCACCAAATACACAAGCGCCAAACATCGCTAAAATGATGTATATTAAAAATAAGAAGTTTCTGACAACAGATATTGGTGTTAGCTGTAAAAAGCTAATTGTAAGCTAGGCAATTTAGGAAAAAAACTAAACAAACCTATTGAAACTGCCACGTATGCTTGGAGAATACACACAAAAAGATATTTGAAGAACACACCAGCACTCGCATAGAGACCTAAAACGATCAATCAGATATATGTCAAAGCTCAAATCAATTTACCTGTCATCCAATAAACGATTAAAGCGTAGATAATTGGCAGAATTGTGTATTGTGGCAACTCAGCGACAGATTTTGCCCAGTAATAGCTAAAAGCAAAATAAGTATTTAACCCAAAAATAAATCATACCTGTCAGCGGAGTAAATTTGTGCTCTGTGTTCTCTTAAGAAAAGAGGCAACTCAGCGGTGATCACCTAAAAACTGGGCAATTAGAAACCTGTAATAACCAAACCCACATTAATAGCAGGGTAAAGGAAGAGGTAGTTCATATCACGAATTGTATTGTAGAGTACTCCTTCGATGTTTTGAATGGTATCCCCAGTTATTTGCACTTGCAAGTTGACTAGGCCAATCACTACAGCGGTAATCTAAATGAGAATGTGGCATGAAATAAAAAGCTAAACATTATCGAATCTAAATCTAAACCAAATTAACTCACAATTGTTTGAAAGAGTTTTACTTTGACGAGTAGTGGATCACGAATAGATGCAAGAAATGATCGCTTGAGAAGAGCCCAGAATTGAGAAAAATACGACGCTGCATAACTAAACAAGTTTTTGCTGCATAACTAAACAAACATAACTAATTTAAACGTTTTTCATAAGATTATGAAGTGAAAACTTTAAGGATATTTAAGGATTAGCCGCAGTTAACAATTAGAAATTTAACTAAAACTCACCAAGGGATCTTCTGCAATTCACGGTTTCCACTTTCTTGCAGACTACGCACACTGCCACTCAAATCCCCGTGCACGACTCGCTGCAAAAACTCGCCCTGGTCACTTCTTTCAAATGCTTCAACGATTCGCTAGACAATAGAATTTATTTAGCGTGTATCAATTCACCTACTTCAATCCGTCGACAATCATATTCCTGGGTTTCCGGTTCCACTGAGAGTAGTTTAATCATGTGGTCGGCTGGAGCGCAATCAAACGGAACCCTAAAATATTCTTTATGATAGAAACTTATAAATAAACTCGCTCAATATGATCGTCATTGATTGCTTCCAAAAAGGATAAAATTTCAGAGGCTCGTCCATGAAACGCGGATCGACCATTAGCCATAAAACATACTCTAAAAGTTTAGAATATTAATCAAATTAGAATTAAAGAAAAACTAAGAAAGAAAAGTAGGAACTGCAAAACTCACTTGTGAAACATTTGAAAGACTTCAGCTGACGGTTGATGAATGGCAGTGACAATAGTTTTCCCTTGAGCGGCCAAGCGAAGAAGACAAGTAACAACTTGTTGTGCCATGAACGAGTCAAGACCACTTGTTGGCTCATCACAGAAAAGAATTGAAGGATCAGTGAGCACCTGAACATAAACTAAAAATGCATACAAAATTGATAAGATTGCCTAAAGACTCGGCAATTGTTTCAAAAAAATTTTGAATTCATACCTCACATGCAAACGCTAAACGCTTCTTTTCACCAACAGAAATTCCTTTGGTTCGGTTTGGGATCCCAATCAATGTTGTTTGGCAATCAACCAAATTCATCTAAAAATTCAAAGTATACAATGTCAAGTTGTAAGTTTTCTTTAGTGTAATAAGTGCATTATCGCAGTACAACAAAAGCCACCTCAGTGATGACCTCTTCAACTCGTTGACGCCGTTGAGCTCTTGTATATCCTCTTTCCATCCGAAGACTTGCCGAGAAAAGCAATTGTTCTTTCACCGTCAAAGTGCCACAAAATACGTCCACCTAAAAAAGTAAGACATATGTTAAAATATTAAACACACTTGTTGTACAAAGGTGGCCATTCGTCGCAGAGTTGTTTCATCCACTTCATCACCATTCACAAGAACCATGCCAGATTGCTAAAGAAAGATTTACATTAAAACCATGACAAAACAACCCTGACTCCTTCTTGTTTATTGTTCGTGAGAATATTGAGTAGAGTTGTTTTTCCGGCACCAGAGCCGCCCATGATGGCCAAAATTTCACCCGGTAATGCAAATCCAGAAACTAAACAACAAACTTTGCTTGTTTAAGCCTCAACTGACCATTTTGGAGTACTGCTTTCGTTCCGGTCATGTTCTTTTTGTCTTTTTGCCAAAATTTGAAGCATTTCTGCTTTTCAACGGGCACAGTTGCATAGAGTTCCTTCCAAACGATGAGCTTTCTCGTAGCCGCCGTCTCAGGTTCTAAAAGGAGAAAAAGATAATGTTTATTTTATTGGATAAAACATTTGCAACTCTGGTGACCATAACTAGTGTTCCAGTCATGAGTTTTTAAACTTTTCCTAGAGTAAAAAGTGAGCTAAATTGATTGACAACATTTTCGGAACAATCCATATAAATTTACGTGGTTGATAAAACACATTTACGGATAAAACATCTACTCTAACCACTCCTAGTGCTCCAACAATCATCCAGCAACAACAAAAACACGAATCACTCACTTGATAGTAGCCGTTCCATGTCTAGTTGATCATCAATTTTCGATTTTCTGCTTGATCTCATTTTGACTTACTAGGAAAAACATTTCTGAACGAAAAAAGTAGAAAAACTTACAGTTTCAACTAAGGAAGGAAATTCAAAGAAAGTTGGCTAATAAATGAAATTCTTTGCGAGAAGAAAAATGACGACAGTCATTTTTCAGTCGTATGTAAATTTGTCATTTTGTCATGACGACAGTCGTATGTAAATTTGTCATTTTTGTAAATTGACGTGTTTTTAACAGATGAAAAAATCTGTTTATGAAAAAAAAATTGATTATAGAAATTATTTATTAGGACCCGAATCATTTGTACACATGAGTGATTAGAATTCTTTCGAGAATCGATCTCTCAACGCGTCGACTTGATCTTGAGTGATCTTTTCGCTCATCGCATTCTGAAATTCAGCTTTATGCAAATTTTTGTTCGGTTAAATAATCTCATTTATGGTCTTGCTCTAATGCGTGGATAAAGGCGTACTTATAAAAAGTTACCGTACCTGGGTTAGCTTTTCAGTAACTTGGCTCATTGTGGGATTACGGTAACTTTTCTGAAGCCTTTTTTTTAGCCTTTCGAACTTCCGAAAGAAGCCTTTCGAACTTTTAGAAAGCCTAGAGGAAATCTATTTTGTTTTTTTAATTCGCCCTGCAATTATCAAAACAATTTTAATCATTCTTTAGAAACTTTAGCCTCATCTACCTGTATAAGCAGATGACATTTAAGTGAGGGTTTACTCGGTCCGATTGATTGAATCGTTGTCAATAGTTGATCCATCGTCTTGCAGGCGGCAATTTTTATGGAATTTATTCGTAGCAATCTGAAACAAGCAATGAAAGTAGTGTTTATGTCATTTTTATTTCTTACCGTATCGCAACTCGAAAGAACCAAACATCGCCCTCGTAAATGAAACAATCCCAAATTCGGAGAACCGTCTGAACAAGAAAATTTCTTATTATTGTCTTTTTCTTCACCTCCATCGGAAGAACTTCCAGAAACCAGCAAAGGAACCATTTTCCGAGTAGGAGATCCAAACCGACATCGAGACGAACCAATGTCGAACAAATCACCGGTACTTCTTGACTGAATTGTCGGCTGATTGTCGAGTTCATTTTAGAGAAAACGGCTAGTTGAATTCAATGTTAACTAGTGTAGCAATGTACTGCAATAAATCTGAATAGTCATTGCAAAATAACCATTTTCCCACTCACCGTAACAACTCATACAATACTCGCATATCTCTGCGCAATCCACTCATATCCATTCCATACCAAGAGCTTCGGGGTTTTATCTAATTGAAAGATTGCATGGTCTTTTTCTCTGACAAACCAAAAATATAAGAAGATCTTTCGTCCGTTCCTCATTCTCCAAAAGCAGCCACAAAAGAGCGGCGATGAAGTTGAGACCCTGGACAAATTTATCTTGAATACAAGATCTAATTCTAATAAAGCTAGCACAAAAATACCCACTTGACAATAGCCGATCGATGGAACAAACCGGGCCAACTCATACAAAATCCTTCCCACCGTGTTTTGGGCTTTTGTGTTTCTAAAAACACTTAAAGTTCCCGGTTTCTTGTCTCACTACAGTCTAAGAAATATATATCCACCTTTGCTGAGAAAGCTGACAAAGCTGAATATCTTTTGATCTCTAGATCTCGTTTTAACGTCCAGATACAAACTGTTACATCACAAATTTTACCCAATTCTCTTACCGTAATCGAATATTATCGGGAAATGTTCGCGGTAGATCAAGTCGAATCTCTTCAGCCACTAAATTCGGTACTGAAGTTGACGGGATCTCACCACGAGGCGGACAATTACGCAGCCAAATCTAAAAGCTTTCAATTTTATTGTAAAAAAGCCTTGATGTGCTCTTGCACAAAGCCCAAACCCAAACCTCTTTCCGGAACGTCGATGGTACGCCCTTGTGAATGAAACGTTGCACTGAAAATATTGATAAGTATGATTATAATATAAAAATTGTCAAAGCCTTTGATTCGAAACATTATTCTTTCAACTTAAAATAAGATTTCATTCAAAACCACAAACTCAGCAAAGGATGTGTTCTTGGATCGACTTTCTCCCATCTCTTTCGCCTCCTCACCAACGTCGGCAAGTACTGGGTCCAAAATTCCGAGTAGGCATTTGCTGCTTTGAAGTAAGTGGCTGGAAATAGTTTTCTTTAGACTTTAGCATTCAGCTAATGCTCCAATAATGATTACAATCAGATTTCGATCTTGGCTTGATCGATTTGGCGACTTAAACTCAAAAAACCTCACAGTTTTCGTCAAGTTTTACATCCCATGGACGTCGAAAACCAAGATCGTCTACTTCACTAAATGGAAATTGATGTTATTTAGATCTAAACCAAGGGTTTTCTTTTCAAAGATGGATATGAATAAAGTTTCAAACCTTCCAGGAGGGCCAGTAAAATGGAGAGCGCATTGTTCGTTCATCAAAGTTCAGACGTTTTCAAGACTTTCAGAAATTTTTATATCTAAACTTGAAATGAAAATAGTGCCAATAGCCAAAATTCTAAATATTCAGGCAAACAAAATAAGTCGGAAAAATGAGATCAAATGGAATTCGGAATTTGATCCAAAATGGAAAAAGGGATGAAGGTGGATCATTTGAGTATAAAGGTATGAAAGGGAGGGGGTGAAGAGGGCAGCAGTTTGTGTCAATATTACGTAGGGGTGGGGGTGGGGCGAAGCAGGGCAAGGGAAGCCACGTTCTCTACTCCTTGCCTCTACTGCTATAGGCCTCCCCACCCCATTCATAGAGCAACAAAAAAACGTTTCTTCCCACATACATAAAGCCTTTTTGCGGTGAGCCTCAAAAAATCTCCTTTTTAGCGCCACCGATTTAGCTACGGACGAGTTTCGATATTTGGAGCCATTGTGTGATCTTTTGGACGTTTCTTTTCAATTCAAAGCCAAAAATTCAAGCGTGTCTCTGATTTCAAAAGTACCCTCTGAAAACGAACGAATGAAAGAAATCGTAAAAATATCTACCGTAAATACTGTAATAGTACCTCACCCCCCTCGTACAGTCGCGTAGTCGCAAAAGTTTTTTTAGTATTTCATTTTTTGCAAAGCGCCCGTACTTTCAAAAAATGCGCCTTTGGTATCAAAAAATAGCTGAAATTCAGGGCTATTTTTTGATACCTAAGCGCGCATTGTAGCATAAACTAGTGTCGAGAAAAACTCGTTCAAAGCTAGACTACGCAACAATCTGCACCATCATTATGGGGGTGGGGTACTATTACAGTATTTACGGCAACCATATTTTACTCATACTATTGTTTTATAACGGTTTAAATATGACAAAAACGCACGGGGAGATGGGGGTGGGACAAATGCGACCTTTTTTTTGCGCACCTGGACATTTGCGCACCTTTTTTTTTGCTGGAAAAGGCCTTAGGAAAGGTCGTAGAGCTTCAAAAATGTTTTCATAGAAGGGAATCGTATGCGTAGATTCCGAATTTCGACAAATCAGACCTCGCTGACACGTCAAATTTGGGCTAAAAGGCAAAAACTACGCAACTTAACGCTTTTCCGCAGTTTTTGCCTTTTAGCCCAAATTTGACGTATCAGCGAGGTCTGATTTGTCGAAATTCGGAATCTACGCATACGATTCCCTTATATGGAAAAATTTTCGAAATATTTTCGAAGCTCTACGGTCTTTCCTAAGGCCTTTTCCAGCAAAAAAAAGGTGCGCAAATGTCCAGGTGCGCAAAAAAAAGGTCGCATTTGTCCCACCCCCCGGGGAGATATACAAAAAACGTAATACTAGGGAAAAAAATACGTAATAAAAATGTAATACGCAGGGAAAAAAATGTAATACTATCAAAAAAAGTACCAAGGTACACATAGTACTAAAAAATGTAACACTTCGATCAAGCAAAATAGGATTTTGTAGACTTTATGTTTTCGATTTTGTGAGCTAAACTGAATATCTTAGTCACGTCGTATTTTAGATTACTGTATTCCGGGGGTATAAAACTAGAATTTTTAGACAAAAATTTCATTTAAATCATTGTTGTGGGGGTGGCTTTGCGCCAAATTTTTTGCGCAACTAGTTCTTTTGCGCAACTCGCCATAACTTTCTTCCAAATCGGTCAATCTTTATGATTTTGGTGTCATTTTGTTATACTTGTTGAGATCTACAAAATGATACCAAAATCACAAAGATTGGCCGACTTAGAAGAAAGTTATGGCGAGTTGCGCAAAAAATTTGGCGCAAAGTAGCCATCCCCTATTGTTGTTAGTAAACTTTTAGTAAACTGCTACCAATAAAGCCATTTTTTTGTACAAAATGAAATTTTGTGGATTCGAAGAGAGAAAAGTTCAATGAAATGAAAGTTTTTGGACTGAGAATACAAAATTGATTTTTATCCAAAAAAACGTGGTGAGCTTTTTCTCTCAATTTCTTTTTCGTGCCTCGACTCTGATGTCAGAGAGATAAGTGACGCCGTTTCGGGTGATGAATCACTCCCCATTTTTTCGGCAAATGTTTACAAATCTCAGGGAAAATGGAAAACATAAAATCCACGCAGCTGCTTGGTTTACGGATCAAAAATTGAGTTTTTCGAATTTCGAAAAAACTGTGAGCAAATTTTACATTGTCATTGTCAAATTTTCGATAAAAATTCTAAAATTTTATTCAACAAAATTGGCAACAAAAAAAAAGCTGAGGATTCTTGGAAAGAAGAAAAAAGAAATGGGAAAATTCTAAAAACTTTAACAAAACAATATCGGAGAGAGCAGAATTCTTGTTGAGAGCCGAATTTCAAAATCACATTGTTCACTGTTTTTTTCGCGCACACAGAAAAAAAAAGGCCAAAGAATACAGGCGGTGAAATTTTGGGGGAATCAAAGGGTGCAAAAATTTGAGGAAAATCAAGAATTACCCGAATAGACTCGAAAATACGGTGAGTTTGTGCGTTTTTAAAAGTTTAAGTTCTTAAAAAATAAGGTACTTTATAACATGGAGGGTTTATGAGAAGTTGATGGGGATTTCCTGAGATGAAAAACAGAAAAATTGGAGTGTTTGAAGAGGTTGATCGATTAGAAGTTACAGCAGAGTCGATTTTGTAGTGCTTTCAAACATGGAAGTCATTTCATTTCAAGAAGTCTTATGGGATACGGTGCTTCTTGTAGAATTAGCCAAATTAGAGTATTCAGTCTAGACTGTCTGGATTACGGTATTAAACCTAGGATAGGATATTCAGTCTAGAATAGCTAGGTTACGGTATTCAGTCTAGATTAGGGTATTTAGTCTAGAGTAGAGTATTCAGTCTAGATTAGAGTATTCAGTCTAGACTGTCTGGATTACGGTATTCAATCTAGAATAGGATATTCAGCCTAGAATATTTAGTATTCAGTCTAGACTGTCTGGATTACGGTATTAAACCTAGGATAGGTATCAGCGAAATGGTATTTAGTGATCACGGTATTTAGTCAAGATTAGGGTATTCAGTGTTCAATAGTTTTAAACCCTGGACAAAATTTTAAAAGATAACGAATCTAGATTTAAAGATGATCGATCTACAATAGCTTTTAGTGTCTTTTAAAAAAAACTGTTAATTTTACTACTAGAATTAAGTTAGATACGTTAGAAACGTAAGTTTACATGTTTACGATAGGGTTACGGTAGGTTTTAAGCGTTGATACGCTTTAGAAAGCTCAGTATCTCTTTAACGCTTTCAGCCATAGTTGAAACGGTTTTATGATAAGAAAGAAATCATTTCTGTAAGGTTTTTAAAGCGATCAGCGATCAGCGAAATGAAACAGCGATCCACACTCATTAAACTCTAAAACGATCAACCTTTAAAATAATTTGTCGACTAGTTGTGACTTGCCGGTTGAATATTTCCCAAAAAAAAGGATAACTATATATTGAGGTTTAAGAATATCATTTGAAAAAGAGAAAAAATGACACCCGAAATGAAAAAAATGGGAATGAGATGATCATGATCATTGAGAACACGGAGAAACGCACAAAGAAATCGGGAAAACTGAGCAAAATGAAAACAAAGTGCACATCGGTAAAAGGAGAAAAAGATTTTGGATTTAGATTTGGATTTAGACTTGGATTTGCATTTGCATTTGGATTTGAAAATATTCTCTAAGAATGATGGTTGAAGGTCATTATTGTCGGAAACCCTCGCCTTGCAATCGACGCATCATATCGGAAGACGGGAGTTGATGGCCGCCCATTCCATCTGCAAATGACAAGAAGTGAGTACAAGTTTTCATTGTAAATTGTTAAAAAGATATTCAGTTGTCTTATTCTGGTTACGGTAGGGGAAATAAGAGCCTAGCACTTCAGGGGTAGGCTAGTTTCCGCAACTTTTTTTGCGCGCAACAGGGTCGTTTACGCAACTCGGCATAACTTTCTTCTAAGTCAGCCAATCTTTATGATTTTGGTGTCATTTTGTTGCACTTATTGAGATCTACAAAATGACACCAAAATCATAAAGATTGATCCACTTAGAAGAAAGTTATGGGGAGTTGCGTAAACGACCCAGTTGCGCAAATGACCCTGGCGAAATAAAATGGCGGAAACTAGCCTACCCCAATAAGAGACCTCAGGATCTTTGAGCAGTACTTTCGCCCGAGTTAATATAGAAATTTACCTTTAATATCTTACTTTATCATCAAATTTTTGCTTCTTTTAGTCCTAGATTTTATATAATTTTGATTAGAATTAAGATAAAAGAAAGATATTGGGAAATTTGCATTTATCTTGTCGGCTGATGCGAAAAATTCTCTACTCCAAGCCCCAATTTTCCAAAATCCCTAAGATATATCTAGTGCTGTTTCTCAAACCCAATAGCAAATCAACTCTAATTTCTCTACTTACTCAATTGAGCCATTGCCAGCATTTGTGGATGAATTCCCATTCCAGCCAACGCAGCCGCTTGTTGTTGAGCGGCTTGTTGCTGTGCAGCTGCCTAGAACAATTTTATTAAATTTTAGCTAAAGAATAGCAATTCTCACCTCAAATCCCCTCAATCCCTGCATTAACATCATTTGCATTTCTGGTGTAACAGCCATCCCAGGCGGGACACCCATTGCCATCGATGCGGCCGCCATTTGTTGAGCCTGTTGTTGCTGCTGTTGGTGCTGGGCTTGTTGTTGCTAGAAATGGTGAGTTCAAAGCAAATTTCTAAGCCTTTGCCTTGTTGTACGTGTTTAAAATGGATCTAGAATCGGCTTACCAGTAATATTTCCATTTGCAAGCGTTGCATAGCGGCTGGATCTTGAGCAGCGGCAGCGACAAGAGCATTCATATCGAAATGGGGCATTCCAATGGGATGACCACCTTGTGCGGAAGACGTTGGTGGAGGTGGTGGAGCCATTCCACCAAATGGTGGCCCTCCTCGACCCATTTGCATAAAACGAAGAGCCTCTTGTTGGATTCTCGCTTGCATTACCTAGAATTGGCTTTGTATAACTTTATTAGTCTTGCTCATGATACCTGCTGTTGCTGCTGTTGTTGATGTTGTTGATGTTGTTGATGTTGTTGCTGAGCCTGTTGTTGGGCTTGTACAGCGGCGGCTTGTGCTTGTGCTTGTGCTTGTTGATGAGCGGCTTGTGCAGCGGCTTGTTGCTGTTGTTCGAGAGCGGCGGCTTGTTGAAGAGCAACCATTTGTTGTAAGAGATGAGGATGAATAGATCCAGGTGGGAAACCAGCTTGTAAATTTGCGATCCCAGGCGGCAGACCGGACATCTGAGCAGACATCTGAGTAGGCATTGAAACGGGTACCATTCCAGACGCAACTCTTGCCACTCCTCCAAGGAGTTCCGAGAAAGATTGTTGTTGAGCGATCGGGTTCGATTCCTGAAACTTGTTTTTAGTATTATAGCAAAGTAAAGAAAGTATTAAAGATCTTAAGAATGAATATTTATCGCTATACTGAGCCAAATTTTAGTTTTGAAAGTCTTAAATTCTTTTTGAAAGTACCTTTTTCGGTTGCCCAGCGGAATTCGAATGTGATTTGGTCTTCTCCTTTTCTTCGCGTGCTTTCTCTTTTTTTCCTTGATCCCAAGCAGATCCAGGCTGAAAGAATCAGTTAAATTCGTTAACTTAAACCATTCAAACTTAAACTTAACTTAAACAAACTTAAACTTAACTCGTTAACTTAAACCTACCTTATTTCTAAATCTCAAATCCGTTCTCGCACTTCGTTGTCCATCTTTCCATTTCATAGCAAGAATGAATTCACAATTCTTCGACGAATGAACAATGTCTTCTGTTATAATCGGGATTTCTTTCTCTTCTTCAACGTATGGCTCAATCGGTTCTCCTCCGAGATTTGCGTCGGCTATGATTGTCGAATATCCATCAAGTCCGTTGTTCACTGGAGTTCCCGATTTTGGCGATGAGGCCAACTTTCGCTCCAACTGAAAATAAAATTTGAAATAATTATAAGAATAAAGTTTTCATTAAAACACTTACATCAGTTTTGTGTGAAATGGCAGGCACAGAAGTGCCATCAACACCCGTTCTCGGGGCAACGGCTGCAGTTGACGGAGAGGGGACATTTGGGGGTTGAAGAAGTGAAGAACTTGATGATGGAGTGGCAGAACAAGAGGAAAGAGTCGACGATGAAGGGGATGGCTTCTGGAAAATAATTTGTTTTTTGGCTCTAAAGCTCTAAGTTCAAGTCTAAAGTAAATATAAGTCTACTGAAACGAAGCTTGTCCCCAACCTCATCATGCTCGTCTTTGATCTCCTTTTTCACCGATATTCCATGCATCTCGATATCCATCTTCTCGTCCTCATCCTCTTCTTTTGGTTTCTTTTTTGCCGAATTCCCATTCACATGTGGCACGGCACTTCGCTTTCGTTTCCCATTTTTGTGATGGAGTGGCTTCTTCTCGAGATCGAATTCATGAATTGATTGTGCCTGTGACGGGCTTCTTCTTTCATCTCCCATACTCGGCGTTCTCTGTCTTTCTTTGCGTCCAGCTCGCGTTCGAACGCCTGATTCCTCCTGGAAATTAATGAGTAAATCTGCATAAATCGATTTCGAATTATTGCCTAATCTAGGTATCTTTTGCTTTCCAATTCACTAGCACTTGACTATGTATTTTTAGAGTCGATGTGAAATCGGATATGTGAGTTTAGAGATAGGAGTGCTCGAAATTTGATCCATATCCTTTCCAACACTCACCTACTCATTCACTTCAATGTAAACGGTTAAAATGACTGTGTTCGAATATTGAGAAGCTAGTAAAAGCTCAATTTTCTAATGTAAAGCATTTAATGTGATTCTAAAGTTTCCCCAATTCTAACTGACTAGGGGTAATCAACAGAAAAATCAAACAGAAACAAACCTCGTCGTCTCCACTCTTGAACAACTCAGGAGGGACTGTGGCTGGTCTCTCAACAGGTCTCAATTGTCCGTATTTCTTATAGAATAGCCGACAATTCGTGCATAAAAGTAGATTCTCTCTGCCGGCGTGATGCCAATCGCGCGATTCTGAAATTATCGATTTCAAACGGTTTTCTGATGATAGGAAAAAGCGACTCAATGACTCGTAAAAGATGAGAGGGAATGATTTCAGATTGCTTATCAATAAAGCATCTGATCAAAGGAAAGAGGAAAGGGACATTGATTTCAACAAACACCAGCCTTCAAAGGTTTCTTGCATTAAACTCTTCAATGGTTCAAAGCTTTTAGTCTTGGTTTCTAGCGACTTTTTAAAGTGCAAAAAAGCTACCGTAATCTCTAGACAGTCTTAAAACGTTTAAATGAAGAAACGAGACTTTAGAGAAGATTTTTGATGGTTTTATTTGCTGTCTTGCGAATCATTTTCTCAGTTTTATTTAAATGAATTGAACTCACTCGATTCATAACAATGATGGCAAGCATATCTCAATGGTCGTCCCTCAATTTCTCCCGTTTCCACTTCACTCTCGCTCGCACTCGCATAATCGTGCAACTCTGTCGATCCAGGACGAGACGTTTTCAAAGAGTTCTGAAAGAGTTTAGTTAAAGTTTAGTTTAATTTTAGAGTTTTAATCGTTTGCTCCAAGAATTCCTCTTCGCTCAATAGCTTAAAATAGATGCTTTTTTATTTTAGCTTTTAGCTTGTAGCTTTTAGCCTGTAGCTTTTAGCCTGTAGCTTTTAGCCTGTAGCTATTGCTTAAAGCACTCTAGTAGTCCATAAAATGTTTTCTATCTTGTTCCAAAAGCTGACAAAAAAACCTTTGGTTTCCTCGTGATCGCTGTCTGATTTCTCATTCTGCCAATGGCTTTCGGTTTCGTCGCATCCTGTGACTTTTTCCACAAATAGTAGAAACTGACCAATTGATCCTAAAATTTCTCTAATTCACATAATACTTTGCAAAAATGAATCCCTTTGCTAGAATCCAGAGAAAATGGGTTTTCATCGAGTTTTCAATCAAATTTTCAACCAAAAGAGAAGCCCAGGGATTGGACAGGAAATCAAATTTGCGGTCGCCCATTTCCCCGTTTCTTTTCTCTCAACTATTCGCAAAGGGAATCAAATAAGATTCTTCTAATAAGATTCGAGTAAAATGAAATCGAATAAACGAACTCTTTTGTACATTGGAAGACATTCTCGGGAGATTTTCACGAAATTTTTCCCGTATGTGCGAATCCCTTTCCCGAATTTCTTCACATCTTCTTGCGTCAAGTATGAGACATCCGAAGAGAGTAGTCTGGAATGGAAATGTTAGAAAAAAGGCTTTTCAACTTTAACTTCAACAACTAACTAACAACTTTAAAACGAACTGATCATTTGCATTCATTTCATTGATAGCTTTCTTGATATCGTATCCATTCCTATGCAAAGCAACAATCGCATCGTCCAATAATCGATCGCTGACTCGAGCGCTGTGCTCTGTTTCAGTCATTTTGCATGCGTACAGAGTGAAGCGGCGGAAAGTTCTGGAAAATGGAATATTATTTTACTTGACTTTAACCTGAAGTCTTAAATTTTGTTTGCAAAGTATCCTTGGGTGTGACAAAAGTCTAAATTAGTCGAATTTCACAGTACAGTATCTTTACAGTACTTGTAATCTTTCAAAAACACAAAAATTCCGTAGCTGGGACACGGCGGTCCTTTTATTATCTTAGAATACAAAACACGATCGGCGCCGGGATTTGAAACTGAGCTAAACCGAGCTAACTAAACTCTCGCTTACCAGCCAAGCACTCTACCAGACTCTACCTGAGCTAAACCGGCACTTATCCCATTGTCATCAGGATAGGACTTTACTCCGTAAGACTTTATTTTGCTTCCCACCTTGTCAGATTCACATAATGCGTTTCTCGTTCCTTTTCGATTTGCCCGGGCACATAAAGTAGCTCATCTCGATCAGGATCCTCGGACAAACTGCATGTCGGCTCGGCCGGTAGCTTTGCCTAAAGATTTTTGTTTAATTCATTTCTACTATTACAATTTGGTGCTAAACATTGTGACTTTTCAGCTTCTCATACAAACCAAGAGCGCTACGCATAGCGCTCGTACTTGTTATGAGTTTTGAATCTTATCGCGACCACTTTATAGAGTTTTCAAATGATTTTAAAACAGAAATTTGGTCTTAACCCAGCCCTGGATGCGTTCGGCAGAAGTTCCTTATTTGATAATGTTTAATTTCTTTTCTAGAATCTTTGTTCTTTCAAATACCCATCGCATCCATTAATCTTTGTCTCACAAGCATTATTCTCAAGGGATTAAGTTTTGAAAGAACCAAAAATTTCCCTTAAAAATCTTCAAAAATCATAAAGTTCTAAAAAATAAACAAGAAATTTTCTATTTTTGTATAAGCTCAAAGAAGATTTTGATGAGTCTTTTAAGGAAAACTAAAGGGAAAACTAAAGAAAGGAAAAGGGAGGAAGGAGAAGCCTAAATGTAAACAATTTTCTCTTTTTTTTTTTGTGTAAACATTATTGCAAATAAAGAAAAAGCTTTAGATCTCTATTCATGAATAATTTGTATATGGAATACGACCGATTTGCTCTAAATTTGCATTTCGGAGCATCTGGTCAAACAAAAACATTGAGCTTATTTTGAATCGGGATAAAGAAGAGAAAAGCGGAGAAATTTAAGATAAAACACTGCATATTAAACTTTTTAGCTCAAGTTTTTATCTCGTTTTTAGTTTAGAGATTTATTTTTCAAAAACCTGATAGGCTGCACCGACTCGGATCTCGCCTTGCACAGGTGCCAGTCTTCTTGATTCCTGAAATCATAATGATAAAGAAAATTGAACACAAGTTGATAGCTCTTTTTGTCAGTTGCCAAAACTACACGAGACAGTTCTTTGAAGAGCTGGACGTAAAAGATAAAGCCGAAGCAGGCCGAAGCAGGCCAAAGCAGGCCAAAGCAGGCCAAAGCAGGCCAAAGCAGGCCAAAGCAAAGCCAAAGCAGGCCAAAGCAGGCCAAAGCAAAGCCAAAGCAGGCCAAAGCAGGCCAAAGCAAAGCTAAAGCAGGCCAAAGCAAAGCCAAAGAAAAGCCAAAGCAAAGCCAAAGCAAAGCCAATAGCAAAGCCAATAGCATTTCCTGGCCTTGGTCCAGTCTCAATAGTTAATCAAGGAGTTTACTTAAAGTAGCCATTCAAGGTATATTCTGCTACAGTATCTAATTCAATTCAGTTACTAATTAATTTCATTTGTTTTATCAACTCACTTGATTATAGGATAAACAACAAGCAAAGACGGATTCTTGTGTCAAATCGGTATCGCCCAATGATCGGAGATCCCTCACAAATGACACTTTGCACTTGCCTCTGAAATGTTAAATGTAAAACTTTTGGATTAAATTATTATTCAACGAACCATCAAAAATTGTGCTTAAAGATTTGATTATGAAATCTCAAGTCAATAGAAAAAAAAGGCGAAAATTGACTGACAAAAAGTCTTTTTGCGCTTCTGAGCTGGGGATACGAAATATGGTCTGGCAAATTTGGACCAGCAACCTCTAGCTTATCGATTAAAAATCAAGAAATGTTTGGTGGCAAAAGAAATTGTTGATCAAAATTCAGCAAATGTTTGTTTTGTAGAAAAAAAAGAAAAAAAAAAGAGAATGGTCATTTAAAAAGTAATGCCATTTTTATTCCCTTTTTTCGATATCTTAGCAACGGACTCGAAAATAGACATCGAAATGCGCGAAAATGACTACATTTCAAGGAAGGCTTTGTTTAGTTTCAAAAATTTCCCTTTCTAAGACAAGTCCTAAAGATTACAAGAAAATTCTGAATTGTGTGGCTAGTTTTGCCCACTAATGAGTGTAAATGAGCTTGTGTAATTGTTTGCGTTTGGGAAATTTTTCTAAATAGTTAAAAGTGCTATTGCTGTGCTAAATTCACGAACAAAGTTGAACTTGGCAAGTCTTTTTGCGCTTCTGAGCTGGAGAAGTCTGTGGTCGAAATGTGGTCTGGAAAATTTGGACCAGCAACCTCTGGCTTATCGATTAAAAGCTTGACCAATGAGCTACACGAACAGATAACCAAATGCCGAGTTATAAAAGTAAGAACAAGAAAAGAACGTAGGATCAAGTTGTTTGGAATGTCTTGGCTTTTTTCAAAAACTCAAAATTTGAAACAAAAACAAGTGAATGGGGGAAAATGGGGATTGCAGTTTGTGTGAGGGATGGCGGGGAGAATGGGGAAAAGGGGAAAAAAGGGAAAGAAGGGGGATGGATGGACGACGGCCTTCCATTGATCGACAACCACTAGGGAGAGGACATTGGGGTGAAAGGGACACTGCCGATTCACCCCGCCGTTTACACTGAATATTACGATTTTTTGCCTTTGCTATATAAATCAATTACTAAACATATAGGGATTTTATAAATAGCAAACTGTGAAACTGTGATAACAACAAAAGAAACTAAGAAAAGTACAAGATCACAGTGCTGCAATTATTTGAAATAATATGGAATGGCAAAGCTAGGTATGGAATGGCAAAGCTAGATATGGGAAGGTAAAGTTTAGCTAATATTTTCGATTTATTCAAATTGATAAAGATAAGGTAAACTACTCAATAAAATACTGTTTTTGAGAGGTTTATTAATAAAAAGTTTAAATGCTAAATAGAGATCAGTCCAAAATTAGAAAGTGATAGGTATAAAGGAATAATATTTGGTAAGTTTATGATTGTTTTCAAAAACTTTAGTTTAGGAAGTTCAAAAAAGCGTCTTAGTAAACACTTAAATAGATCTGATAGAGATGTACAAATAAAGCTTATCAAATACTTCTAATTCCAAAGCTTCTCAAATACTTCTAACTTCAAAGCTTCTCAAATACTTCTAATTTCTCTAGATTATTATGTGAATTTAGCTTTAGATAAGACTGAGATGACGATATTAATATAAAGTTTAGAAAGTGCACTAGTACTAGTAATATAATAATATCATAATATAATAATATAATAATATAATAGTATAATAATATAATAATATAATACTAAGATAACAAAAAACAAGTCATTAAGAACAAACTAGAATGAAAATAGCTTTATAGGGTGGCAGAAAAATTCTGCTGAGATCATTCGAGAAAGGGAGTCGAAACAATTACAGAGTGGGCAGCTAATTGGAGTCGGCTTAGTACACGAATAGCCATTGGCAACCAGAAAACAAGAATAAGGAAAGAGAGTGAGTGTAGATGTGGCATGTTCCCTCTCTCTCAGTGGTCAACCTTTCCCTTTCCATCTCTGACCCTCTCAACAACTCCCCATCACTCGTTCAATTCCCTTTCCCCCTTTCTGGCCCACAGCCAACCCACGTGCAAAGTATACAAGAGAATCGTTTTGCTCTCTTCTTTTCATCTTTCTCTTTTCATCTTTCTCTTTTCCTCGTTCTCTTTTCATTTCCACCTCTTCCCTATCTGATTTCATTTTCTCGCCGCTTCTCCCCTTTTCAAAGATATTGCAATAGTGTCAATTCTCTCCGTTTCTCTTTTTCAAAACATCACGAAATCTAGAGTTAGCTGTTGAACTCATTGATCTAGCTTGTACTTTGTAGAAAAGAGATTCGTCAGATATTTCTAAAGCTGACAGTGATGAAATTACCCTGTTGGAAAGTCATGGAACAAGGATTTGGCAGTGTTGATGAGATTAATAAAGTTGTTCAGAAAAGAAAAAGAGGTAGTGAAAGGCAGATGAGATTTCAAAGCCCTATAAGCATCTGTCTAAAAAGTTCGAGTTGATCAATTATCTTTCAGAAATTGACAGGCTTTTGATCAGTTGAATTGTCAAAATGATTTTGTTAAATGATTCGATGAATGTTCAAATAAAATTCAAAGAAAAAAAGAACTTGTTTAAGAAAATCAAAGCTAAAATTAAGAGGAAAAGATTTGAAAAAGATGAAAAGATGTAATTTAAAATATTTCGAAAATTGATAAACCTGAGAGCAGCGATCGAGTAGGTTTGCGCGTTCTCTGACGAGAAAACTTCTCGTTGATGAGCCTGGAAATGATTTTGCATTCATTTCAAAAAATTATTTAAATCAAGGAAAGAAACTATGCCCTTTTGATATAAGAGTTATCCTTTTTAAAAATTAAAACCAAGCTTGGAAACAGTATGGCTGATTCTATAAAGTATCAGCTTTGATAGCTTTGATAGCTTTGATAGCTTTAATAGCTTTTATAGTTTCATAGTTTCATAGCTTTCATAGCTTTCATAGCTTTCATTTCAAAGTTTCACCTTGACGTAGTATCTTTTTCTAGTAAGAAATAGATAGTAAGCTAAATAAGCTAAATAAGCTAAAGAAGCTAAAGATGCTAAATAAGCTAAAGAAGCTAAATAAGCTGAAGAAGCTAAATAAGCTAAAGAAGCTAAAGAAGCTAAAGATAGTAAGCTAAATCAAATCAATTAAAGAAATTTACTTGTTCCAATTGATCCTGTTGCTCTTGTTCTAATTCGAGCTCGCCCCGTTCTTGAAGAATCAACGAGAGAGAATCCTGAAAAAATACGAAATACTTCCTAAACTTGATCCTTTCCTATCTAGCTATAAGTCCTATCAAAAAATTTTATATGCAACTCTACAATATTTGTTTCAAACTTGCAAGAGAACGTGGTTCAAATCGTTTTTCCAAATGCTCAAATCAAAACAATCAATCTGCCGAATCACAAAAGCACTGACTCATCTCGCACAATTGTGTTCAAAAGATTGTGAAAAAAGGGAAATTCAATAAATTTCTCAAATTTATTGACCCCTCAAGAAAAGCTATAGCTGAATAGCTATCGAAATCGAAAACGAAACCCTCCTTCACTCACCTCAGGCACATCATCGGCGCGATAAAATCGGTGCAACTTTACGCTCAGCTGGTCGCGTTTCGTCTGAAATTTTCGAGATTCATATAGAGTTTTGCTTTTCTACTGTATTTCTTTTCTTTTCTTTGCTTTGCTGTTTTGCTTTTCTACTGTACTTGGTATTATACCCAACAATTTATACAAGGAAAACTGGAAAAGTTTGACTGGGAATAATATAAGCTAGGTCGGGATTCGCTACTTCTGTTTGTATTGTACTTAAAAAGACAGCTAGCTAGCAATTGTTAGACAATGTTGCAATTGTCTAGTTCTAAAATCTTCAATAATTTATCTCAAAATATAGCTAACAATTAGCTTATTCGTTTTTAAGATCGCTACTTTAACTCTAATGTGTGTATTTTCATTTCGATAGATTCATATCGGTTGGAAAAAAAGTGGTAAGCCGCTTTTGGAGAGCATCAACGGATAATCCTTTATGATCTGCCGATTGGAAAAAGAGAAAGGATCTCTTGAAAAAGAAAGAAAGAAATAGTGGGTGACAAGGGGATCTCTTGAGTCTTGAGAGAGTCTTCAGTTCATCTCTTCTCTACGCTAATTACCCACCATTTCTTGGGGTGTATGAAGGGGAGACTTTAGAAAAAGAATCGATCGGGTTTGATGCTATGATTAGGCTCACATAAAGGAACATTTCAAGAGAAGCTATCGTCATCATTATAGAGTGCATAAACTATGGCTGAATAGCTATGATGCTTATCTGTAGCAGATTTCAGCACTCTAGCTTGGAAATCCGAAGCCGGAGTCGAATGAAGGCTTATGAACTGCAAGGCTTATGAACTGATCAACACTTATGAATGGCGACGCTAATCACTACACCGTAACTGCTCCTAAAAAGTACAGCAACTTTAGGCGATTTATCGGTATAGACTCTTTAGAATTGTTTAAACATCAAGAGTGGATAGTTTTCGTTTCAACGGAACGAGTGTATGAATTACTGCTGTTACTGCATATGCAATACTGAATTTGTACTGTAATAATACTGTTCTCTACCTAGTCTAACTATACGCAAATGTTATCCTAGTCAGCGTAGACCATTTAGTCGACAGTCCCCCTTTTTCGATTTCCGTTGACAAACATTGAAAAGAGGATAGAAGGGGGGAAAAGAGTGGCGATTCGAGGGTGAAAGAGACACTGAAAAAAGGAGAGAACATGAGAAAGAAAGGGGGAAAGAAAGAGCAACACGCAACTTGATAGGCCATAAACAAGACGGCGCCACACTCTGTCTCTTCTCTTCCCTTCTCTTCCCTTCTCTTCCTTTCTCTTCCCTTCTCTTCCCCTCTCTTCCTTTCCCATTTCCCCCTCGAAATCCTTTCCTTCATATACCCGATTGCCGTGCGGAGTAAACCCGAATAACCATGCGGAATCATGAGCGCTCATTGTTTCGAGAAAAAAACTTGAAAGAGGGATAGACTAGAAAATAGAAAGTATTAGTGATTGGGAAATATTACGAGAAAAGTAGAATCTGATGAAACTAAAGAAATCTGACTATCTATCAGTCTCTCTACAGTATCCCAGCTGGCTTTGGCTTAGCCTGACTTGGCCTGGAAATTTTGGTCTAATAGCAGCACTGGTCTTAACGTTAAACTACTACAACGTTAAACTACAATGGGAGATTGAATTAAAGTGAGTAGATTGCATTGTTTTGCATTGCATTACTTATAAACTTTCACTGCTCTGTTTCTAAGCACTTGAACAAAGACCTAGCCATCCAGTTTTTTTTCTCTAGTTTTTCTCTAGTTTTTCTCTGGCTCTTTTTAAATCTTGCAATCTTGTTCACCCTTCTATTTTCATTAATCTCAAAATCATCCCTTGGGGTATTTCTGGGTGTGTAGAGTCACCGAAAAGGGGATTGACGCGGTTGAATAAGCGATTAGTCCCTCTCTTTCTGTTGGATCTCTTGGAGACGAGTTGTTCCATAAGACGGCAAAAAAGAGGAATGGTCAGGGATGATTCTTTTCTCTTCTCTAGTGGATCCCTCACCCATCCATTCCTCTTTTCCCCTTTCCCAAAAAAAACGATCGACAGAAACCGCACAATGGGTCACCGCATACTTGATAGACCGAGCGGAGTGCGCACCCACTCCCTCTTTTCAGAAAACTGCTTGTTTAGAGGTGTGAAATCTGATTATCAAATATCTTCAGAATTATATATAATAATATAATAATATCTTTAGAATTATATCTTCATATGAAAGCTAGACAAATCCTGCTTTGACCAGGCTCCACCCTTTGACCCTTTGTCCAAAACCTGTAGTTCAAAAATTTGACTAACTAGAAAGCTTCAATAAAGCCAATGGCTTAAGCTGGTTTAATAAATGCCCTTACAAAACAAATCTACAAGCTAAATCCAAATACAAATTAAATTCAATAGACTACTGTGCTAGAGCTAGGTACTATGGTACTTGACCTATATACAGTACTGGACAATGAAATATCATATTTGAAAAACGATCGCCACTTTTGCGCGTCTGTAACTCCCTTGTCTTTACCGTATTTCTAAATATTAATATTACCATCGTGTAGCCCTTGAAAAGAGCTTTCAGAGAATGTATAACACTAATAGTTTAAACTCTAATATTAATATTAAATAGGTAATATTAATATTTAGAAATACGGTAAAGACAAGGGAGTTACAGACGCGCGAAAGTGACGATCGTTTTTCAAATATGATATTTCATTGTCCAGTAGTGTAGCTTGATCATAGGACTATTACTAGACTTGTTAAGTTCTAGAGTATTCTTGACACAAGTAAAACTCTAAAACTAACACTGGATTATCGTACTAGACATTAAATGCTTGGTGACCAAGTCTATATCATTTCCAAAATCTTCAACATCGATTGTTTAGATAAGTAGCCATTTCTTCTCAATCCCCTATCCAATTTCTTCCATTCATTCTCATCATTTTGAGGAAAAAGAGACCATCTGGTGACCCTTTTCACTCCTTTACCCATTGATGCTAATGGTTGTTGATTATGAGATTGACTTTAAGGCAAAATCCCTGCAGGTCCAGGATCAACTCAATCTAACAGCTCAATCCTAATAACTGACTACTGACAAGTTACGCAACTTTCTAAAGTCTCATTCTTAATTTCCAACTCCAAGAATGATTTTCAATGTCCCCCCACCCATAGCGACATTCCATTCTCCCGCATTTGGGGGGCAAAGGGGAAAAAGGAAAAAAGGAAAAAAGGAGGAAATCGAGGCTGTGAGGAGTTCTTTTTCTGCTCAATGTCCCCTCCCCTTCACACGGGAAACGAACGCACACTCTATTGCTTTTCCCCTTTTTTTTCTTCCAAAAAGGGTCTAACGACTGGGAAAGCCAAAGAAAAAGAAGGGAAAAAAAGACCAGCTAGCCCTATCCGATGGCTCATCGATCTACTATTAGTTATTGTTGGTCATTGAATGTGAAAATGTGATCAATGTGGGAGAATCGACTGACTGGGGTATACCTTGGTGTCGGAAATGTGTCGGAAATGGGAACAGCACCTTGCTAATGCACTTGATTTGTAAACAAAGTCAAAGGTTGGTAAAAAGCTGATTGTGAGATCTGAGGAAGGTTCCTTTTTGTACCAAGGTGTAGGTAAAGAAGTTCTACGTCTTGTATAGCTTCAGATATTAACAGCGATGTTTCAACCGGGTTAGGGCCAAGCCAAGCCAATCCAGGTAAGGCAAGATTAGAGCTTGGTCGTCGGATCCAGGTCTCTAAGCTTACTTGCCCAGAGCTGACCTAGATCTGGCCCTGGCCTGGGTCTGGCTCTAGTCTTGTTCTAGCCTTGGTCTTGGCTTTTGAAAGCACTAGATAGCAAGGGGTATTTTGTAAACGATGAACAATAAACCAGAGTTTAAACCCTTTAGCTGGGATTCAAAAAGTCTATCGTATCACCTTGAATTGTGGTGAATTACTTAGCTATTTAGCTACGTATTTGAGCTTTGTTCAGATTTTGACTGGTTTTATTGCTCATCTAAGGCTTAGTCATACTCCTTTAGAATTGCCGATCCCTCCCGGGAAACTCGTGTTCTCCATTTCCCCATTGATTTCCCTTTAAATGGACTGTCTCCTTTTCTTATCACTTTTCATTCATTTCCCCAGAAATATCTGTGAAGAAATATATTGGTGTCGGGGGTTTTTCAAAAAGTGGGAAGAGTGAATGGGGGGTGCAATGGATGAGTGAAAGAGGCGCTTGTTGGCGTCTCTCCCGTCCGCATTGTCAATCGGGTATACTCCGCACGGCCAATCGGGTATATCAGGCTGTCCTTTTCGGGGGCACTCTTTCCCTCTTTCCCCCTTTCCTTCTTTCCCTCTTCCCTCTTTCCCCTTTTCTTCTCCACAACCCATTAACCCTTGAGCACACAATGGACATCTCTCTGTTCTCTTTTCTTTGCTCACATGCAATTCTCGGCCAATATCTTCGAGCGCATCGACACACATCAAAATTCGGCATGACTAATTAGAAGATGATGGATTTTGAGAGAATTGGCGAGAAATTGAGAACTTTAGAGAATAGATAAGCGATTTCTTATGGCCAGATTGTCTATCAGAACATTCCTGTTTTAAGGACTCAATATTGCTTTTGAAAAAAAGACTCAATTGCTTAGACTCAATATTGCTTCCCAATCTCATTACAGTACCATAATAAAAGTTTAGTTAGAAATATTGTGATGAGCGAAGAGGATGACTTTGTAGAACTCAAACATTTCTTGTTTCCTTTCCATACTACTCTCAACTTCAATCAAATCATTATTTTGTTAGTCAAAATCAAAAAGGAAACCAAAAAAAAACGCGTCTCTCATATTATTTGCCTATCGAATGTTTGTGTTTGGATTGAAGGAAAGGGGAGACGAGAAAAAGTTTATTTGCTTTTGCTCATGTACACATTTATCGGCTAAGAGTCTTCCCTGTGTGTGAAAAGAAATATATTCGGGAATCGGGTCAAAAAAGAACCCCCAATTTCTCTTGTTCATTCCCTGAGGCAACGGGAACTTATTATCGGTCTTAAAGGGAGGAAAAAGGAAAAAAAATAAGACTAAAACACAATGACGATGGTGGGAATAATGGGAAACGGTGGGTAGAAATGCGAAAGTTTGTTGAATACGTTTTTATGAGATTTAAGAACTTGATTAATCCAATTAATATTGCCTAATCCAGGCAATAGGCGAAATGGTTCTTTTAAAGTTTTTACAATAGGTGAATTGACAAAAAAGTCAAAAAAGATGACTTGCCAAATTAAAGCCAAGTTAAAAGCCAGATAAAAGCCAGATAAAAGCCAGATAAAAGCCAGATAAAAGCCAGTTAAAAGCCAGATAAAAGCCAGTTAAAAGCCAGATAAAAGCCAGTTAAAAGCCAGTTAAAAGCCAGTTAAAAGCCAGTTAAAAGCCAGTTAAAAGCCAATCTGGGTTTTGAATTTTTGAGGCTTAGATTTAAAGGTTTAAAGGTGCAAAAGTGTTTAAGCAAAATTTGGTAGCTATCAACTTAAAAGAAGTGTTTAGAGTCAAATTTTATATTTTGCTCTTTGACTTTGACTCAAATTGACTTGAAATTGAGTGCTTTTTTGACAAATTGACTGAAATTGAGTGCTTTTTTGATAAATTGACTGAAATTGACTGCTTTAAGTTGACTAGTTTTTTTTCTAGCTTAACTTTGCCTTGACCTCAATTTAATTACTACTCACACCAGTAAAAAGGTACTATTAGGTTAAGTATTAAGTCTTTCACCTTTCAGTCTTTCAGTCTTTCATTTTCTAATTGAATAAGTCTCAAGCTATCAAATGAAATACGGGTTTTTTTTTCATTAAATAGCCTAATCGATAGATATTTAGATAGACTTTTTCAATGACTTTTTAAAGTACAAATGACTTTTTAAAGTTTCTGAAAAGATTTGAAGATTTCATTATAGATTTAATTTCAAAAAGCTGAGTATTCAAAAACGAAACGAAACGAGAACGACATTCGATGATGCGATTTCGATCGTTTCTTTCAATGAAACCTATTTTAATGTCAAAAGAAAAAAGATAGTGCTCAAAAAGTTAGGTTTACAACCAAAATACAGAATAAATTGTTTAACGAATTGCTCATTTTTCAATATTTTTAAAAATATCAGTTTTCTTTCTCGCAAATTATTATAGAATACTAAAAATTGTTTTAAAATGACAAAAAGGTAAACAATAAACATTTCTAATGAAAGAAATTCGTTGGTATTTCGTAGTTTGAAACTTTAGAAACTTGTTTATTTAGAAATGAAGGGTGCAAGACTTAGTACTCAACTTAAAATATTATTTTGTACTGTAAGCATAGCCCTTGTTCATTCTTTCATTCATTTCCCACTAACCGTTTTGAAGTGTTGAATCGATCCGATGAGATACGGTTCGGCGGCGGTCGTCTCCACGTAGACGATGTCCCCTTTTCGATACACCGTCCCATCGTGCGCCTCAAAGCATCGCCACTCGCCGCCGCCCGTGCTTCGGTAGGCCTGGAAATACATATTGATTAACGTTTGCTTAATCTTTTGATTTATCTTGTTCGCTTTCCCCCAATGACTTCTTTTCTTCTCATTCACTTCACTTTCCAACCCCCAATCCAATCACTATGCAAATGGGGATCCCTCTCTCTTTTCGTTTCTCTTTTCCTTTCTCTTTTCACCCATCCGTTCCATTCTTTTCTTTCCCGGTTTGTCGCCTTCACTCATATCCTCATTTCTCTTTTCCCCTTTCTTTCCATCTCATTTAATGCATGGAAATATGAAACGTGAATTCCCAGGGCTTAAATGAAAGCTGAGAGAGCTCAACGTTCATCTTCTTGCCTTATTGCCAATTTGTCGAAATCTGCTAAATCGAAATCTGCTATCCCTAGGACCTTCAAGCTTAAAAATTCTGCTATCCCTAGGACCTTCAAGCTTAAAAAGTAGTGATACTGTAGTTAAAACAAGCTACAATAACTACAATAACAATAACTTCGTCTCTCCAGTACCTCAATTCATTTCCAATTTCAATTCAAAACACTTCTAAATAAGCTGTTATGTTTTTGCACTTTTCCGCAATATTTGATAGTTTGTAGGAAAGAGGATGGTCATAAATTACCCCCTGGTCACCTGTCTACGAGAAAAGGAGAGACTCTTATGAGTGAGAAAACAAAAGGCTTACCCAGCCAATCGAGGGGATGGATTACCCAGAGGGGAGTAGAAAAAGGAAAAAATAGAGAAAGAAAAAGAAATAGATAAAGGAAAAGTGAACGGGATAGGGGTGTTTCTCTTGACCTTTGCCTCTTTTTTGATGAAACAAGTGGGAGAAGGAGATCCCTTCAAGCGAACACCGCCCTTCTCAATTGCCCGCCTTTGATCTGTTGCTCTTAAAAAGCCGGGATTCTTCTTTCATTTCACCAAAATCATAATATCTAATAAATGAGTGATTCTTGTAATGTTGTATTACATAAGTAATGTTGACACTTTTTTAAAAAACGAATGGACTGATTTGATTTTAATCTAAAACTATTATGAATCAATGAATCACTCAAAATTAGCTTACTTATATATAAATGAGTTTGAAAATTGAGAGGATTGGTTCAAAAAGAGTCATTACAATTACGAGAAATGGGCGGACATCGTCTCTTTTCCAAGGGGCCAATTTCCTTTTTCCCTCTTTTAGTCTTGTGTTCGAACGGAAAACAACGAATGGGTGAACGAGTGGAGGAAAAGAAAAGAACAATAAAATGAAAAGAAATGGAAAGAGTGAGTGAAAGACAACCCAAAACCGGGAACAAATTGCGCCAAGTCGATATAAAGAATGAGGAGAAGAACTCAAGTGAATGGTGTAGGTTTGAAAAACTATTCTGATAATGAGAATCAAAAAGTTTACTCGACTTAAAGAGATCCAATCCTAGGGTTAGTTGAGTGGCCTGTTGATAAATGTATCGTTTGAATATGGCTGATCAAACTCTTGAACTTTGAAGCTTCAACTCCATTGAACTCGATTCTTCGTTCTTTGTTCTTCGCATTTCTTGAAAAACGGACTAACCCTTTGAGATAAAATTGAACAAGCCAAATCCTTTTAGGGCTTAAAGCTGAGACTACAAATGATCAGCTCTAAAAGAGCTCAATGATCAGCTCTAAAAGAGCTTTCCAATGCCCAAAACTTATGTCTTAACTTTCCGTCCAAACATAGCTAGCAAATGGTTTCGCAAAGAGGAAAAGCGGTTCGCTTTTCTTCTTTACGCTTGGCTGGAGTCCCGTTGTCGGGTGTGTGTCTGTGCATATGTGGATGGATGGATCGTTCCCTCCTCTCACTCCAATGATCTCCCCCGTCCAATCGAGTACTCTTCTATGTGCAAACAGACGTCTCTTTCCCTCTTTCCCCTCTTTCCCCTCTTTCCTCTTTTCATTCTTTGTCCTTGAGGGTGGTTGAATGCGTGTGTGTCAATGCTTGTCTCTATCTATCAAAAAAAGCGAGAGTTATGTGTCGATCGTGTACATTGCTGGCATAGTTTAGCGAGGATTTAGCTTGCTCTATCGAAAGCTTACATTTGACTGGCTCTTTAAAAAGTTAGCTATCTTCAAGATTACAAGATTACTTCAAGATTCAAGATCTATTCCTTAAAAACCTATAATTGTTAAATTGGATAATTGCTACCAAATTGCTACCAAGAACAAACTACCAACAATGAGCTGATCATTTACCCCAGCTTCTTCACTTACCCCAGCTTCTTCACTTACCCCAGCTTCTTCACTTACCCCAGCTTCTTCACTTACCCCAGCTTCTTCACTTACCCCAGCTTCTTCACTTACCCCAGCTTCTTCACTTACCCCAGCTTCTTCACTTTCCCCAATCCTCAATTGACATCTCCATACACTAATCTTCTCCACCCCAATAAGCTTTCTTATACGGGGAGGGGTTTACGTTATCGAAAAGAGGGGAAAATATATGGAAAAGGGGTAAGAGAAAGGAACTCTCTTGGGAAATCGTCACATAGAGAATAAGAATAGAGAAGGTGTCATCTTTACACCAAAACACCCAAAATGATCATATCAAAAAGTTGCTACAAGATCGATAATAAGCTAGTGCTCTAATTTTATTATTCAACTCAAGATTGTTCTCATCATTAAATCTTCAAACCGAAGCACTTTTTAATGACCGTAATCTCTAGAAAACTAGTGAAACTGTACGGTATTTGAATACTGTACTAATAAGTGAAACTGTTTGATCTCAAGTGATCAGTAAATCTTGAAATCGAAAAACGTTTTTAATTAGGCGTACTATTGCAGTATTTTAATATTGTAATAATAAGCTAAATGGCGTACTATTGCAGTATTTTAATACTGTAATAATAAGTTAATCAAAATCCCAAGTGATCTAATTTTATTCTAATTGTTTTGAAGGCTTTTTTTCGAATTCCGAATTAATTGGTAATCCGTTTTTGAGGCGTAGTTTTCATTTTGCTTTTCTTTTAGAGACCCTTCATGAGTTGGAGAAAAGAAAAAAGGTCACCCATAAAAGGAAAAAAAAGAAAGAAAGGCGGTCTGTATAAAGCAGTAGCACACACCAACCAAGTGATCGTTGGAGAAAAGGGGGGAAAGAGAAGAAGGGCAGCTGGTCGAGTGGGTGAGAGGAAAAGAAGAAGAAAAAGAAAAGAAGGGAAAATTGATTGAATATGGTCAAACAGGGAATGGCGCGTTAAAAATGGTGAAGGTGACACACAAAGAAGGAACGGAAAGAAGGGGGAAACGGGGGAAAGGAAGAGTTTGTGAAGTTTGGGTTTGGGAAAACTATCTTAGCCAGATTTTACTATTCATTTTGAAAAGCTTGCAAGAAATGAAAATATAGATTGAAATTCTAATTGAATTTTAAGGTTTGAAAATGTGAAACTAGAGATTTTGTAAGTTTGAGGCAAAAATCGGCTTTAATTCGGATTTAGATTTCAAAAATTTTAAGTTACGGTCTTTTTTGGCATCAATTTTCAGTTTTCAATGATTTGAAAAGAATTGGGGTGGAAAAAGGCAAAAAAATGAATTCAATAACCTTTGAATAAAGAGATAAAGAATAGATTTTTAAAATTTTTAGATTTGACGAACCTTTCCCCGGCGCGATTTGTCATTTCGACCGGGCAACGAGTAGTAGATCGGCTCGCACTCCCAAATGCCGAGTTTCGTGCTTTCCTCGGGACATCGGGAATTCTCGTCATCCGAACACGAGGCCGATGATGAGCCTGCAAAATGAGAATTGCAACAATGTTTCCTCTTGACTAATCGCTTCCCTAAAAGGGAAGACTTTACTCAAATAGTCAAATTCAATTGAATCAGTCCAAACTTTGTATTATTCAAACCATAAGGCTCAGTCAAAATTGGGTTGATTCAATGAAAACTGATAGTTTGAATAGGGTAATGATAATTTAAAATGATAAAATGGATGCTTTTTAGAAAATTCATTTGCTTAACAAGTACAAAGATTGTCCATCAGTACCAAAAAGTCTAAAAACTATAAATAATCCGCTTTTGCCATTTGCTATAACCTCAAATCACTTTCTTTTTTTTGTTCACCTGGAGCGCTCATCGAATCGGCGATGAAGCGAAGAGCCGAAGAGGCTTTGACGGGAAAAGAAAAGCACCGAGGAGTGGGAAACTCGTCCGGCGGAATCCTTGCGATTTCACCCACCACACCCGTACAAGAAATGACACCTCGAGACGATTCCAGTTAAATTGTTGTTTATGGAATTAGTATTGAATTTTTTTGATATCCTTTCGAGTGGGTTTTCGTTGTCTTTTGAATGAATAAAGTTTGCCTTTTAGAGGCTAGAAAGACGCTTTGAGAAAGACGATTGGCCACCACGATTGTCGAATCTGAAAACTGATGACCAAGGTCAGAACCGGAAAATCCAAGAGTTCGCAAAACAAAAAATTTATTCGTACTAGAAAAAAAAAATCCAGTTTGTGGACAGGTTAGCCACAGTTTTGTGATCAAATCAGTTTGATAAACTGACGCTTGACCTGTGTAGGACACTAGTGCTGTATGACTCAAGTGAGATTCTTGTCATGGATCTAAAGTCTTAAGTCTCTAAATCTGGCTATCGATTGTTTCAAAAGAGATTAATGAGTCAAAGTAATTGCCTAAAAACAAGCAATAATCAAAGAAAAGTGGGGAAATGAGAAGAAAAAGAGGGATGAAGTTCACATATCATTTGTGTGTGGCTGTGACTGCTGGGAAAAGAAAAGAAAAGACGAGAGTGAGTTGAGTGAATGAGTGAATGAAAAAGGGGGAAGTATGGGAGGGAAAAGATTGGAGAATTCGGAGAGAGTGCAGAGAAATGACAAAGGAGGGAAAGACTGAGCGCAGAAAAGATCGACACAAAAACACCCCGGTCTCCGTTCAATCCACCGCACACATATTGGTGCCCCCAAGGGATGGAAAGAGAGAGAAAGGACAGATTTGTTCCCCAATGGCTTAGCACATCTTGGCCTCTTCATCCATTCGGGGGGTTTGAGGAGTAATTGTTGACAAAGACCTCGGTCTTCTTATAGCCGACCTCCCCCCGGATACCCATCAAATAGGGGGATTCTTTTGAAGTGCTCATAAGAAATCGCTTTTGGAGCAAGCTTTTGAGATAAACCGGAATTGAAAGACAACTACAACAGTTTATAGGTTTGTAGGATGTGCTTAAGCCTTGAAAGAGTTGAAACGGATTATGAAACGGATTGAAAACATTTTGAAATAAATGGAAACTTTAACTACAGCAGCATGCCATTTATGGGATCACTCTGGGTAAGCCTTGAGAGAATAGTGGATTAGAATCGAGCGATTGGATGGGTTTGGATACCTCTACAATGATTACTCTGGATAAAAGTAAGGCATTTGGGATTGGGATACGCGTCGGTGTAGCTCATTTGTAGATCGCTCAATCGGCAAGCGAAAGGTCACGGGTTTTGATCGAATCGAATTATCGAAAAAATTTGAACAAACTATACGCCTACAAATCTTAACCTAGTTGGATATGGTTGTAAACTCTTCATCAAAAAGAATCCTCTAGATACCGATTCATGATTTTCGATATTTATTTTCAAAAGAACTTATTTTTTTTGCTCGGAATTACCCTCCTGGGAATCGAGGAGGCGATTACTGGGATGAAAAGAGGGAAAAAAAGGGATAACAAGAGATGAATTTAAATTTGGAAAAGAAGGGAAGATTTCGTCGGTAAGAGTTCAAAAAATTGAAATGTGAATGGGTGAGTTGATCAGGATTAGGTCAAAAATAGAAACCCGAGTAATGAAAAGATACCTTTGGTGACAAGTTTATTTGGTTCAGAGACTTTTAGGAGACCTTGAGCTTGGTTATTGGTACAAAATGATCTGAAATCCCAAGCATCAAAGCAATTAGCCTAACTTGGAATAGAGAGTTAACTTGCACGTATACTTCGTTACAGACCATCCTAAATCTGAAATCCTGAAGCTGACAATGAGGTTATGAACATCAAAGCAATCAGAACGACAAGTCAAATTTCCCCAAAAAAACCCATCTTTATTGAGAGGAAACATTGAGACACAAGACGAAGAAAGCAGGAAGCACGCGAGAAGAAAACACTTTGGTTGTGTGTGCGAGAGGTCTCTTAGCCGAAGAAAGAAAAGATATGAGAAGAGAAAGAGAATGAAAAGAGAGAGACATTGCCCCCACTGGCACCACCATGCGGGGAAAAGGGGAGAGCCTCCATTTCGAGGAGAGACGAGAGATGGGGAAGGGAGACGCCCCGAGAATTTTGGTGGTCTTTCAATGGAAGCGACGAGCCATTCCCGCTCAACGAGATGTCTTCTTCTTTTGCTTTTCTTTGGGTCCCCCACCTTTCTCTTTCTATGGGATTTTTGGAAACGAGTCGCAACTTTTGAGGGCCTTAATTAGGAGAAAAAAATTTAAGAACTAGAATTAATATGGTGAATTTGGGCTAAGGTAGTTCCAACCAGACTGGGTAGGATAAGGACTTGACCGGACGCCTGCAAATGAACTGAACCGGACCGGGCCGGATCGAACCTAATTGAACTCACTGTGAATGAAAATAACTGTAAGGTAGAATCGAAATATTTGACTTAAACTTAACAATATGACCTTTGAAGATACTTTGAAGCTGAAATCATCTCATTGTCAGGACTGGAAAGCTCAACATCGGCTATAGAAAAGCCAGATCAGTGGAAAAGACTGGAGAAATCAACAAATTAAGAACTTTTTCGAAAGTGGTAACTTTTAGTATTTGAAAAGCACCTGATCAGCCTGAGTGATAGGCAATTATACAAAAAAAGAATGGAAAAAGAACAGGGAATCAACAAAAGTACAGAAGTTGAGGGGAAAAAAGAAAAGGAGATGAACGAAGCAAGGTAATGTCAGCGAACATGAAACAAGTTTTTTTTTTGAATCGGATTTTGGTTCTAAATTGTTGGTGAACAAAAAAACAAACCTAAAGACAAGGCTTCATTTTATAAGCTTAGCAAAACAAAAAGTTAAGTAATGAAAGTAAAGCAAAAACATTCAGAGGTGATTTGATCAAATGTTTGAGTAAGAAAAAAGAAAAGAAGAGGAAAAGAGGGTGCCCCCCAGATAAATGTGGTGTGCCAATTGGCCTCTCCTTTTTCCCCCATAACCCTGTCCATTCTCTAATCAAGGGAAAGGACCGGTTTCCCCCTTTTCCCCCCATTCTGCCAAAGATAAACGATTGAGTCATTTACATTAAAAGTTTGAAATCTTAGATATTTCGTTGATTGATCGTTATCGGGAAGCGATGGAAAAAGGGTGACAGATTTGGAAAGCAAAAAAATATATAGTATCGTAGCAAAAGACTAGTTAGTAACTAACTTCCTTACCTAACATCCTTAGACTTCTTAACCCCTTTCTAAAGTGATTTGACCCGAAACCCAAAACAAAATAACAAGAATATTTAGATTTGCGTTTTAGTTAAAAAGAATTGGTTAAGTTGAGTTTATACGGCATGTGTAAACGAATTCAAAAAAATGGAGTAGAAGAAGCCGAAAAGAAAACCGTATTAGAGTTTTAAACAACAAACTATGGGCAAACAATATAAAAAGGAGGGGAAGGAATGGGGAAAGAGAGTACTTTAAAAACGCGCTACAAAAACAATAGATTTTACGAATGGTGAAGAAAACCTAGCATCAAAGCCAGGGAAAATACCCGATTCTATCATGAAATGAAGAAAAATGAAAAGAATGGCAAAAGGGGAACTTTTGTGCGGGGTACAGTAGCGCATCCACGCTTTAGAAAGCGCGCCACGCCGTTTCCACGCCAGTTCCTTAAAACCGCCCGTCAATAGGAATCGAACGTACTGGCTTAAGCAAATTGGCTGGAGATTTTGCTTTGCATTATCTAACCAATACAATAAGAATGATATCTTCAAAACTTGCCACGAAAATCACGGAAATTTAAATTAAACCATCTTTTCTCGAAAAGACTCTAGTGATCTATGAAAAAAAACGTTCCTCTTGAGATAAACAAATATTCACTGCAAGATCAAAAGAACTAAAAATACGAGAAAAGATTTGACATTGAGGTCATTTCGGGGAAATTACACGCGATTCTGGGTAATCGGGTTGCTGTTTTTGCGCTAGAAAGCGAGCAATTAAAGGTCGAGGTAATTTCCGATCAAAATACAGCTTTTTAAAGAGTTGAACGGTTTAAGTGAATCTTAAAGTTTCGCTTAGTTATAAAACTAAGCATCGTATTTCAACAAGTTGATAGTTTGAAGTAGAGCCAGGTCAATTTCCGACTCTGATTTGCCTTACCTGGTCTGACTTCTGGTCTTGCCAGATCTGGACTGGCTTTGACTTTACCTTACAAGCCCTAATGCCCGGCCCAAATGGCAAAATAGTTCAAAACAGGGAGACGAATTTAAGTCTGAACCAGAGCCTAAACCTGCCTAAACTAGCCCGAGCTCACTCTACTCTGGTTAAGTTCAGTAAGGTAAGTTATCGGAAACAATCAGAAATATCTTTAACTTTGAAACGTAACAATGAACAATGTCAGATTCTTGAAATGGCGCCTGAATCTTTTTTTAAAATGGATGTTTCTTTTTGCAATCAGTGGACTCAACATAAGATTTGTGGAGAGAGATTAATTAGTGAAGGAGATTTATTCACATAATCGGGTTCATAAACGCCGAATTGGGAATAATCGGATGGAAAAGAAAAAGGGGTGAATGGAAGGGATGAGAGTGAAAGGGGGAGGGGTCGATGGAAAGGAAGGCTAGTCTCCCCCTTCACCTCTCTTTGGATAGATGGTTTATGTGTGCTTTGGCTAACACTTTCTTTTCCTAGTACTGCTGGTGCTTAATGTTAGACAAACTATATATAATTAGCAGTCTAAGATGCCGTAAAATCTCATTTCATTGAATCGAACCCTTGGAATCTTACAATTAGATCAAGACTGCTAACCACTCGGCTAAAATACTTGAGCAAATTGCACCAAATAGCAGCTCTTAAATGCAAACTCAAGGAAATCATCGCTTTGCAAATTTCGTTGCGAAATCATTGCTCATTTGCAAATTTTACTCTAGCCAAATTTAT